AATAGTAGGTTTTGTAGTGTGGTAAGGCAGTAGGGAGCTCTGGCTGATAACACCCCCCACCCCATAATTTTCAAATCCTAGGACTCCATAGGAAATAACCAAGGTAGTTAAAGTGGAAACAAAGTACTATAATTGTATAGTGTGCAAGATCGTTCTGTTTAATAGGAGAAATGGTGATGATGGTATGGCAGGAATCCCCCTCCTTCTCTGCCTCCTCTTGTCTTTGTGCACACTGGGAAATAACCTATCCCTGTTGCATTGCCTTAGCAAAAAAAGTATAGTGCTGAGCAAAGAATTAGGATTCAGTGTTTCCCCTGACTTATGATCAATTGAGCTAGTTCTCAATCAGAACCAGACATAACTGACCTGATCTTCTCCAGGTTACATGGCCTGGGGACAAGGATGGTAGCCCCTGTCCCCATTCAGCCCTGGCATTATGTGGGGTCTTGATCCACAACACAGCACCTACCTTTCCCCTTTGTTTCCCCTGACATCAGATGTGGCAATGGGGAATACTGGAAAGGAAGTGGGGAGAAGATGGGGGATTGTAGCTGATTCTGGTGAGAGAGGGGGGCATTTGGAGTGGCTTGTTAATGGCACCAAACTGTATTTGCTTCTGCAGAAACTGAAAGAGCCCCTTTATAGCAGCGGTTCCCAACCTTTTTTTGACCGGGGCCCACTTGAACAGGGTCCACTTTGACCAGGGAGCACTCTCCAACATCAGTACCAAAAGGGACAATTCTTCTCTGAAGGGGTTCAGTTTCTTCATTGCCTCTCAGCTGAGAGATGAAGGACAGTGGGGCTTGGGGAGAGAAGGGGTGCTCTTTCTCCTTTGTGTCTCAGCTGGGGAGGAAAGCTGCTCCACCATCAGGCTGGGGCCAGCAAGTTTGCTGTGCTCAGCCTGATGGAGGGATAGGGGCCCTTTTGCCACATGATTGTAATGCACCATCGAATGTAATGCACATCTCAATTTTGACTAAACAATTAAGCCAAAAAAGATGCTCATTACATTCGAATAAATATGGTATTTTATATTTCATATGTTACTGTTACTAATGTGTTTGACAAATAATTCATTGTTGCTACTTGTTAACAGTGTTTTAAGTGATTCAGTGTGTTACTCATTGTGTTGTTCATTATGCATCCATTCTTTTTTTTTTTAATTTTTTCATGACTACTAAGGGAAGGGCACAATTTTTCAAAGCAAATTCCTGTCAAAATGCCTCAAATAGTCCTCTAAAATAACATTGAAAAGAAAATAGATAATGTTGTTAATTGCATTGATATATGATAAATTATTGATTGGCTCTAGCTTTTGATTGATATTTCTGTAGTGAATCTTGGCTGGAAGAACTGAATGGTAAGATATCCTTTTGAATGTCCTGAGTCATCATTTTTCAATAGTGTGTTTTCCTGTCTCCTTTTAACAGTTTTTTTATTCCACTTGAGAGAAAAAAATCAGAAGCAAAGGTAGACGCAGATGATTCATGGAAATTCATAAATAGTTAGTTGCCAAGATACAAACATGTATCCGGTTTCTTAATCTATTGATTTCACAAGGTGATAAAAATGTTGAAAAACCAACTTCTTCTCAATCAGTCTATTGATCCATCTTGCATAGAATTGCCTACACAAAGTGATTACTAAACCATAATGGGAAAGATTGATTGGTGGATAATTTCAAAAGGGAGAAGAATCACTTTCCAAATGTCTAACCTTGGCACAGAACAGTTCATTATCAGAGGAGCTACAACAATTTGTTATTAACTACAAACAAAGATGGGATTGCGCAACTGCAGTATAACAATGTTGTGTGATAAGCTCTCGAGTGGTGGTTGATCTTCTGGTTTCATTTTCTAGACTTACATGGGCTTGAACTTGAGAATGTCTGGGTGCATGTGGCGGAACATGTGCTCTGCCACTGAATCACAGCCCTTCCCTGAGTCTTCCTTGGTGATGTGACACATTTCTGCAAGTGATGACGGATGCTGGAGATGAATCATACAGCTAAAGTGTTATGAATATTTTATCCTTGGGATCAAGGGATGGTCTGACTTTAATTTTTCAAATTCTTCTCCTTTCGCAGGGAAAAAGTAAGATGGAAGTTGGGTTACTACCAGTACAGGACACTTATGCAGAAGAAGCAGTTTTATGGATTATTCACACTTGTCTCACAGTATGGCACAACTCCTTATTCCCAATCTTCATTCCACTGTTCACAACCAAGTACCAAAATGTTTGGAATTAAAAGATATACAGGTTCTATGTTCAATGTGTCCAAGCCCAAAAGAAGAAGAATGCCTGACTTGTTCAGAGATAGAACAAAATATCCCACTATTTGAGAAAGGAAAGCACGCAGTGCCACTTTATTGATTCTCTCTGAAGAAGTCCTTTCATAGACAAACTATTTTGTTCTGGTGGGTTCACCAAACAATCAAATGCCCAGTTCTTTACCTCATGGGGTCCTGCTTTGTGGTAGAAGAAGCTGTTGTTCCATGCTTCCTCAAGAGTTATTTTGATAACCAACACATCAATATTTAGTATGGATCATCTATGAAGCCCCTTTCAACTCTATGATTCAGTGGTTCTGTCATTCTAAGAGACTGTGCAGTTGAGAATTTGCTTCCATTTTCTATCTGGTATTTGCTACCCTCTCTCACACTCCCTTTCTTTATTTTTTGGTAAAATTACCTGACCGTTCACTGGCTGCAAAGCACAATTTCACAAATCTATCATGTCTCCATTTATCAAAAAGATTAGACAGTTTCATGGATGAGAAGTCTATCAACCTACTAATAGTAGTCATGATCTACCAAGTTCAGAGACATGTTTGTCACCAGATTCTAGTTTTTATTTTTGTAAGCTTTTTTTTGTGTTCCACCTTCTTCTTACTTTCTGTTCCAGGTCATCCCAAAGCCTTCATTAGATGCTGAACACTGATATGCATTACTGCTACAATTTCTATTCTATTCTGCTGTACACAGCAGACTGTGTACAGCAGAGAAGCATCCTAGTCCTCTCATTGATGGAGTTCAGCATCTCCTCAAAGCTAAAGCTGATCCCCTAGCAACTAATAGTGTATCCAAACAGATCAAAAAGTCCCAGATTTTGTTCCTGTTTTGCCCAATTTTATTTTAGAGATCCATGTGTGTATTGCTTGTTTCAAATTATTTTCTGGATCAGAGACTTTTTATACCAGTTTCCCAGGTTGGATTATTTGAACCTATTATAGAAAATTGGAAAGAACAGGAACAAAATCTGAATCAAGAATCAACAAAACATTTCAATTGATCTTGATCCAACCTAAGTCTATCCAGACTCCTCCTGGCTCACATTCCAATTTACCATGGCTAGCTACAGGTAGCCCCTGGTTTGGAGTGTACTTCTATCTCTAGGCTAAAGGAAGATGGACTTTCAAAGATTGTATAGAGCAGAAGGAAACACAAAACACCAGAATGTGCTTGCATGGCATCTATTTCTCCCCCCTCAGCAGTAATACCTGTAAACATGTTTTTGAGATAATAATAATAACAACAACAACAACAACAACAACAACAACAACACTTTATTTATAGACTGCCCTCTCTCCCTGAGGGGACTCAGGGTGGTTTACACACCAAAAAAGGCAAACATTCAATGCGCTACACAAATACAAACATCTCAAAAACAATAATAAATAATACAAAATAATAACCATAAACTTGTAACAAAGGAGAAATTAACATCAAAATAGGAAACAGAGTACGAATAGTCAAATAAATATAATTATACTAATAACATAATTAACAATTAAGACATAAACCCCGACAGAATGATTAAAATCCATAAAAATGGCTATCATGGTTGTTCTTTCTCATGTACCATAGCAGCAACTGAATATAAATAAGTTAGCCAGCATTCTGATGGAATTAAAAGTGTCCTAGTCCTCCTCCTCTCCATACGCAAAAGTGCATTAATGCATTTTCAAGAGGTATTTTTTTTGGAGGAGAGGGGGGTAGGAGGCCATTTTTGTTTCTTTAGGAAGGGGGTTCCAGAGACAAGAAGCAATCAAGGAGAAGGCCCCCTCTCTCGTTTCCACAAACAGTATTTGTGACAGGGTGGGACCGAGAGCTGGGCCTCCTCCATTGACTACAGTGCATGAGATAGCCTGTATAGGGAGATGCAATTAGATAAATAGCCTGGACTCGAACTGTTTAGGGCTTTATAGGTAATGACCAGCACTTTGTGTTTAGCCTGGAAGTGGACTGGCAACCGGTGGAGCTGCCGCAGCATGGGAGTCGTCCTCTCATGATACAGCACTCCAGTTAGCAATCTGACTGCTGATCTCTGCACCCATTGCAGCTTCTGAACTATCTTCAAATTCAACCCCACATAGAGAGCATTGCAGTAGTCCAAATGAGATGTGATTAAGACATAGACTACCATGGCTAAGTCAGGCGTCTCAAGGTATGGGCACAGTTAGTGCACGTTTTAACTGTGTGAAGGTGCTCCTGGCTACCACCAATATCTTGGGTTCCAGGGTCAATGGTGCATCCAGGATCACCTCCAGACTGTGGACCTGTGTCTTTGGAGGTTAGAAAAGTTCACTCCCCAATTCGAGTCTCATCTGAGTCTTCATATCTTTTCACAGTCTCAACCGGTGAAGTTAATGTAATAAAATATCGAGAAATGTCACTGATGCAAATGGATTTATAGTATTGGATAGCTGTTGACATTTGCCTATAATAGCTCCAAAACCCACCTGCCTAGTGGCAAGGTCCAAGTTCAATACATGCTCCAAATGGATGATTATTTAAGCAAGTAGGTTGATGCTTTAGTTCTCAGCAGTTAAATTTGATTCCTGGAGGCAGATTTTTTAACACACAGTGTGTTGGATAATTGATAGGGTGGAGTAAGGCAGGAAACCATGACACACCTTTGTTAAGACTTGTTTAGAAGAAAGGATTTGGGAAAGAGAATCTACGTATTGGGGGTGGGAAGGTGGGCGGGTGAAAAGAATTAAATACTAGGCACATTCAGCAGTTTTTGAGGACCACTTAGAAACAACATCCCACTGCAGGAGTGGTGTCAAAAGGGTCTTGTGGAGCAACATCTGGAAGTTGGGTTAGAAGTGAACATTAAGGATTACCAGCAAAAGCCCTTCAGGTATGTAATGCAAGAAAAAAATGGTGAAAGTGGAACCAATTCCTTCAATGTCTCCATCGGATATTTTGGAAGCAAACATAAATCTCAGGCAAATTTAGAGCACTGAAGTGATTGTTTATTCTGTGTTTGAATGTCTTCTAGCAGCTGTTGATATAGAAAATGAATATTGAGTTTAGTTTGATTCTGCCAGACAAAGTTTACAGTGGATATTGAAGAAAAATAATAATACCAATTCACTGAAAAATGCAACAAAGCAATTTAGGCCCCATCTATATTGCCATATAATGTCATTTGAAAGTATATTATATGGTTAGCGTAGACGCATATAATGCAGTTCAGTGCAGTTAAACATAGTCTACACTGACCATATAATACATTGTAGATGAGGCCATAAACATGTTTTCATTGGGTGCATACAGCCCCATTTTTAGATAGTTATTTAAGGGGAAAATTCAGTAATTTTGGAAGATGACATAAATGTGTACCAGGTATAGCTATTTTTTATCAGCAGAGAAAAATGTACTAGGAATTGCTCAATTTGTTTGTCTTTGTGTATATAACTTGGAAGATAACCTTGGACTATTAACTCTCAAAAATTAATAGTTATATTCCTAATAGAGTACATTTTCATTATCCTAATTTGACTCTGACTTAGTTGTGATGTTGGGTAAACTTCCTCATTTTTTGTTATTTCCCTCCCTTTTCAAAATAGCAAAAATAAGATTTATGTTGCAATCTTAGACAAATTTACCTGGGTATAATCCCCAGTGAAAAAAATGGGACTTGTTTTGAATTACAAATGTATAGAATTGTACTGTTATGTGTATTATTAAATATTAAGGACTTTTGAAATACTAACACACAGACAGGGGAAGGATTCTGATGGTCTGTATCACAAGTACATTCACTTAACAATCCTCCCGTAAGATATTGGGACAAGAACTGAATAATGTTTTGTAGTTAACAAAGCGCCCTTTCAAACCCAGGTTCAGATCCCAGGTTTTCTGCTTTAACCTGGATTATATGCGTTCCCACCACCAAATAATCTGGGATAAACAGAAAACCTGGGATCAGATCCTGCGATATAGGGCCTATCTGGAAGAGCTGAAACTAAATACGTTCCTAGGCATGAATTCTTTAACAGAAAATTAGATACCAGAGGCATGAATAACCTGGGAAGAATAAGGATAAGTTCCTACACCACAAAAATAAGAGCCGTCCAATATGTTTCAACAAACTTTCTGTTAAAAATTAATAAGACTGAAATATAAAATGAAACCATCAGACAGATGAGCTTTGCATAAGTTAACAAAAACATATGAATCTTCTAGAGATCACTTGAATGTTTCTTCCAAATTGCATACAGGATTGACCATTTCTTTCTCTAGCCTTCACTTTTGGCCAAATGTATACATCTATCCTTTGCTGAAATGCTAGAAATAGCCCCTTTCTCTGTCTTGCTGCTGTGACAGCTGCTGTTTAACTTGCCTGTTGTAGTCAGGCAAACAGGGAAGAGCAGCAGCAAGGGGGATTAGCTAGAATAGACCCAATTCTTCCGTGGCATATGCTACATTGCATTGTTTACTCCAAAAGGCTACTATAGCCCACCATCAAAGGTCTATGTTGCTTCACTATTTTCTGAATACCAATGTTGCTACAAAAGAAATGCTTCTTACTAAACCAAATGAGGATGGAAAGAGGGCTAGGGGGTATAAAAAGACTTAATAAAGAGAAGCTTATTTGTTGAAGGCTTTCATGGGCAGAATCACTGGGTTGCTGTGAGTTTTCTGAGTTGTATAGCCATGTTCCAGAAGCCATGTTCTCTCCTGATGTTTCACCCACATCTATGGCAGGCACCCTCAGAGGTTGTGACGTCTTTTGGAAAGTAGGCAAGTGAGGTTTAGTTATTTCTCCCACCCTGGACATTCTACAGATAAATAAACCCCACTTGCCTAGTTTCCAACAGACCCCCTCAACCTTTGAGGATGCTTGCCATAGATGTGGGTGAAACGTCAGGAGAGAATGCTTCTGGAACATGGTCATACAGCCTGGAAAACTCACACCAACCCAGAAGCTTATTTGTCGGAGGTTTTGTTAACTGATGTATACCTGTACTATATAACTTTTTAACAGTATGCCAATGGTGATTTAAAGGGAACTAATAGAGTCTCTCTTCCTATGATAATAATTCTTTTGAAGCACCAAGGAGAGCATGACTGAACAGACACTAACAGGATAGTCTTATTTTTAAAAGCAAAGGGTTGTGGATGATTTCACTTTCAAGTACAAAGTTTGTCTGAGAACAGTTCTTAACAGAACAATGAAAATGGATGTGCCCTCAGGGTGGCGTAGCTTTTGGCTCCTGGTGCCTTTCTTCTACCAATGAGGCTACAAATGGCTCCTCGGAGCCTGCTGGGTGTGTCGCACTGAACATATCCCTTGCCCTAAGGCATTTGATTCCTAGAGGCATGACACATCTTGCTTGCTCCTGGCCCCAACTTGTGGAGCATGCTTAAGAATATAAGTGAAAGACAGCGGTTACTGAGGAATCATCCTTTGTTCAGAGAGAGGAGAACGAGAGTTTAGAAAAGTTACTTTTTCAGACTACAATTCCAAGAATTGCTCGTTTAGCACAATCTGGAATCCTGCTCTGACTGACTGAGCACACTGTTATATTCATTTCACTATTGTACTAACATTACACAGTATGTATGTTAATGGAAAAATATGCCACGAGAATGAGTGTATGCTTTTCAATCTATTTAATTCTGAAGAACAATGACGATTCAGAAAGAAGACATTAGACACAGATATCCCAAACTCCAGTGGTCCTGCTGGCAGAGGGATTTTGGGAGTTGCAGTCCAAAACCTAATTCCCCTCTGATCTATATTCCTCTGAACTCACCAAAGAGACTGTGTTCTGTGGTTTATTACAAGGTGTTAACTTACACAGCTGTTAAATGCTGAATTTTAAAGGCTTAACCAAATGATGGGTTTTACCTCTCCTGATTTGGTACTTTGAGCATATTGTCCAGAATGCTGTTTTTGATCTGCTAGGTTGGCAGGAGCTGGGCTGAAGGCTAGGAGCTCACTCTGACCTGGGCTTCAAATCGCCAACCTTCCGATTATCAATATTTACTGCAGCTGGCAGTTAACCTGTTGTGCTAAAGCCTGGCCACAACATTGTGGGGTGTGAATTCATAATGTCCCTCCTGTTGCACTTAAACATCTATGAGAGACCCCTTTTTAAGTAGGAAGTTAACTAGAATTGGATTTTTGAGTGAAGGCTACACCTCACAGAATTCACTGCCCTAATGGACTGAGGTGTCTGGGAATGGTTGTCAAATTGTAGCATATTCTGGTTAAAGAAAAAGTCCCTGAACATCCAGGTTCAACGTCTGGTCCAATTTCATGCATTAAGCCAGTGTAGATAAGCCCTTAGGTCATAATTTTGACACCATTGCCACTATTTCTACCTGCCTCTCTTTCTGCCTTACACTCACCAGAAAGAAAGATACCAATTGAATCCTTTCTGATAAAGCATCTCCTTTATGCTGAGTCTGGCCATTAGTCACACTAGTTCAGCACTGTCTGTGATCAGTAGTGGCATTTCTCTGTGGTTTCAAATAAGACTTTTTTTTTCTATCCTCCTCTATGCTGTATGCTGAAATGCATGTGTTTAAAGCAAATGTGCTGTCACTGAGTTATACCACCAAAATTGCTTCTGTGTAATCTACAAAATCTTGTATGCATGCAAGCAGTCACTTGCTCTGTGTATGATTAGATCACATATTTATTAGTCATTATCTCTCTTTGAAGAACTCCTAAGATAAAAACTTAATTTCCCTCCCTCCTTGTAGACCATGTGCCTGTTGAGTGAGGTTCTAACATCTTGTTTACTTGAACATTATATTTTGTCCTCATTACCTCCTTCATAATAATAAGTGGAATTACTGAGACTGAACGTAATTCCTTTTAAGGCACTGACTTTAATTGCATTATAGACATCTGTGTAATACCTTAGTGCAGGTATGGGCAAACCTAGGTCCAGGATCCTGATGCAAGCCCTTGGGCTCTTTTCTCAGGCGCTCCTCTCATTCACCATCCTTTCCTTTCCTTCCTGCTCTCTTTCCTTCCCCCTTCCCCCCATCCCTCTTCCCTTCCTCTTTCTCCCTCCTCCCTCCCTCTCTCCTTCCTTCCTTCCACCATTTCATCCTTCCTTCCCTCTTTCCCCTCCTTCCTCTCTCTTCCTTCCCTTTCCTTTTTTTTTCCTTCCTTTCCCTTTGTCTTTCCTTCCTCCTCTTCCTCCCTCCCTCCCTTCCCTCCCTTTCCTCCCTCCTTCCATTCCACCCTTTCATCCTTCCTTCCTTCTCTCTTTCCTTCCTTCTTTCTTCCCTCCTTCTTCCTCTTTCCTTCCTTCCTTCTTCCTTCCTTCTCTTTTCCTTCCTCCTTCCTTCCTTCCCCTTCCCTTTCATCTTTCTTTCCTTCTTCCTTCCTTCCTTGCTTCCTTCTTCCTTCCTTCCTCTTCCCCTTTTTCTTTCCTTCTTTCTCTCTTTCCTTCCTCCCTTCCTTCCTTCCTCTTTCCCCTCCTTTTCCTTCCCTTCCACCTCTTTCTCCCTCTTTTCCTTCCCTCCTTCCTTTCCTTCTCCTTCCCTTTTGTCTTTCCTTCCTTCTCTTTCCTCCCTCCTTCCCTTCCCTCTTTCTCCTTCCTTCCTCCCTTTCCTCCTTCCCTCTCTCTTTTTCCTCCTCCTCCTCCTCCCCTTTTGATTCTTTCTTTCCCTCCCTCCTTCCCTCCCTCTTTCTCCTTCCATCCTTCCCCTCCTCCCTTTTGTCCTTCCTTTCTTCTCTCTTTCATTCCTCATTAACTTCCTTCCATCATGGGTCAGCCAGTCCTCTTAGCAGGGAGTCCTAGAATGTGGCCCCCAAGCTAGAAAGTTTGCCCATGCCTGCCTTAGTGGTTCTCAATTGGACAGAGTCTTATCACCATGAGTTTTCTGCCTTTTTTTTAAAGTGAACATCTGGGTTCATCCTTTAAACATCTCCTGGAATGTTCTTTGTGTCTCTATGGCAGGAGATGGGAGAATGTTTTTATTCACACAGCATGTAGGACCAAATGGAGGTCTTACATTTTTCTCCTATTTTATTTCCAAGGAACTTAGGGTCACTTCCAGAATTCTTCATCTCCACATCTTATCCTCATAATAAAGTTATGAGGCTAAATTAGATGGCGGTGCTTGCCACAAGGGAACTTAATGTCTGGGTAGGGATTTGAATCATAGTATGCCACTCTGTCTGCTCTCTATAACTTGGCAACTTTTGGGAGCCAATCCTGAGCAAAGAAAAGGACAGCCGTTACAAAGTCTAAGTTAAACAATAGCAGGTAAAACAGTGAGGCTGAGACACAACTGAGAGCCAAAATATTCCTGCTTCTTGGCAGGGGGTTGGACTAGATGGCCCATGAGGTCTCTTCCAACTCTTTGATTCTATGATTCTATGATTCTATGAAAATCTTTCCAATACTTGGCCTCATTGTTCTGTATTTGTTGTGGCATCTTCCAGGCATCTTCCTTCAATGCCTGTGCTTGTTTGAAGTGAACTCCTGTTATGACTCCACCTATGACTCAAGGTTTCAGAAGCTGTGGTTTTGCCAGTGTGCTTCAGGCATCCCTTATGTGGAGAAAAAGGACCTAGCTGGAAGATGTAAAAAGAATTGGGTGGCTTTAAATGCTTTGGGTGGATTTACCTTCTCAGCCACTTCAACATATTCAAATTTTCCAACACAGAAACAGCATCGTCTATGTGAAGTCCTCAATCTTAGAAGAAAAGTACATGAAAACAATCTCATACACATACAGCAAAGTATTTTGGCAGTAGACATAACTAGGCAGCTGCTGTAGGCATCTTTTCGCATGGGTTGCCAAACAGAAATTCCTTAGATCAAGCTATCAATCTTTGGGCATGTGCCTATCTGTTTTCAAAGTCATCCCAACAGTAATGGGAGTCAAACCCATTTCCATATCTTAATTGAATGTATGTGGGTGGGGGAGTTGAATCACACCCATTGCCCATGCATGATTTGAAAATGTTTACGAATTCAGCAAAGCATAGTTAAGGCTCGTAGTACCCTACATCTGTGGCAAAGGAAGAGAAAAATAATCCAAACACAACTTTCCATCTCTTGCAATCAAAATGCAATAACAAATTTAATACTTAGCCTTTTGCTGTCCTTTCATAGCACCTGAAATGTGCTACCTTCTAGTAGGACTAGATCTGCATTAGAGGTTATGTGCACACAATGATAAGCGTATTGGGTTGATGCCTTCCCTCCAAGAACTTGGCTCTTCCAGAGTTACTTAGAACAATCCTTATTCAATATATTGGTATATGCACAGGGTCAACAGATGCAAACTACATGTGTTGATATAGGAAGGGAAGACTCAGTGCTACAGCCTTCCCTTTCCTAAGTGTAAAGGTAAAGGTAAGGGTTTCCCTTACCTTTACCTCGTGATTGCATCTCCCTCTATGAACCAGTGCGAACATTAAGATCTACTGGGGAGGCCCTCCTCTCATTCCCACCACCATCATCAGTGTGATTGGTGAGGATGAGGGAGAGGGCCTTCTCGGTTGTGGTGCCCGCCTCTGGAATGCCCTCCTAGGGAAATAAGACAGGCCCACCCCTCTCCTCTTTTTGTAAGAGCTTGAAGACTTGGTGGTTTCACCAGGTCTTCGAGAATGATTAGCATGAGCTCCAGCCCCCTAGCCACTAGTTAGAATCTGGCCCTTTACCCCTACCTATTACCCTGGTCAGTTCCTCAATTGGCTTAGGAAATGAACATCTACAGGTCCCATTGCTACTACTGTTGAGTCTGGTTACTGCACTTTACCCATTTCCTTGGCTCCCTATGGCTTACTTTGCACTACCTCTGGCCCGTCCATCCCAAACTGCCTAGGTCCTTTCTGAAAGTCCGGCCCTAATAGTTAATCCTGGCACAATGAATAAGGTTGATTGGCTTTATTGTACATGTGTTGTTTGACTATTTTATGCTTATGTATTGTTCTGTTCGGTTTTGTTCTGTTCTGGGGTGGTTTTTTTGGGGTTTTTTTGCTTACTCTGTATAGTTTTGTGTTTTTACAATTTGGAAACTGCGCTGAGTCCCCCAGGTGAGATAGAGCGGTATATAAATAAATTATTATTATTATTATTATTATTATTATTATTATTATTATTATTATTATTATTCCCCTGAGATTAAGTCTTGTTGTGTCCTACTCTGGGGGGGGGGGGGGGGTGCTCATCTCCAGTTCTAAGCTGGAGAGCTGGCATCATCCATAGATACCTCCAAGGTCATGTGACCAGCATGACTGCATGGAGCACCATTACCTCCCACCAAGGCAGTACCTATTGATCTACTCACATTTCCATGTTTTCAAGCTGCTAGGTTGGCAGAAGCTGTGGCTAATAGCGGTAGTTCACCTCGCTCCCCGGATTCGAACCGCCAACATTTCAGTCAGCAAGTTCAGCAGCTCAGTGGTTTAACCCGCTGTGCCATCAGAGGGCCTAAGTGTACACATTATAAAAGTAGTTTTGCATGTCAACAAGCAGTGGGTGATAACTCCATGCCAAGTAATAATCTGGGCCTAACAGGGCAATTCTTGATGCTCCTGAGAAGAGATTTGTGATAGAAATATAAATTAAGATAATACATGGACTTCATATTAAGATTGCTGTTGTTGTAAACTGTTGTTCAGTCCACTTTGACTTATAGAGACCTTATGAATGTGAAATCTCCAAGTCACCCTATCATCAAAAGTCTTGCTCAGGTTTTGCAGACTCAGAGATGTAGCTTCCTTGATTAAATCCATCCATCTGGGATGTGATCTTCTTTTTTCCCACTGCCTTTTGCTTTCCCAAACATCATTGTCTCTTCTAATGAGTCATTCCTTCTCATGATATGCCCAAAGTAGGACAGCCTCAGTTTATTAATCTTAACTCCTAGGAAGAATCCAGGCTATCATTAATCTAGGACTTATTTGTCTTTAGCAGTACATAATATCCACAGAACTCTACAGCCCACATTTTAAATGTGTGGATTTCCTTCTTATCAGCTTTCTTCATGGTCCATTTTTCACAACTGTACATAGAAAAGAGAAATACAGTGGTGTGGACAATCCTAACTTTGGTATACAATAGTATTGTATCTTGACACTTCGGGATCTTATGCAATTCCTTCTTCGTTGCCCTTCCAAGGTCTAGTTTTCTTCTGATTTCGTGACTACACTCTATATTCTGATTCATGATTGAACCAGTTATGAAAAATTTTGAACTATTTCAATGTTTCTGTCATTTACGGATCAACTTTAATGTTCTTCAGTAATAATTCAAAGTTTTTGTTATTTTTTTATTTTTTGCTAATAGTATGGTGTCATCTACATACCTTAAATTGCTATTGTTTCTTTTCCCAATTTCCCCATCTCTTTCCTCCAGGTCGAATCCTATTTACATATGATATATTCAGTATATAGGTTAAATCAGTGGTCCCCAACCTTTGGTCCTTCAGGTGTTTTGGACTTCAGCTCCCACAATTCCTAACAGCTGGTAAACTGGCTGGGATTTCTGGGAGTTTAAGTCCAAAAACACCTGGAGGAGTAAAGGTTGGGAACCACTGGGTTAAACAAATCAGGTGGTAAAATGGAGACTTGCCTGACAGTCTTGCCAATTGTGGTAATTTAATTGAAATAAAATTGTTATGAAAGGATGAAATAAAGCTATGTTGGTTTAAAGCTCTAACAGTAAAAGAGGTGTAAAAGTGACATGATCGTGTTGTGTAAAAAAGACTTCTGTATGTTTATAGTACAATATTGTAGAGTTCAAATTCCTGACAAAATAAAGGTCTTAATGAAAGTCTTGGAAAAAATAAAACTTGTGAATTACAAATGGAAATGTGTGTGCTTGGTAGAACAGAATAAACTCTGACTGAATGCCTTGAACTACCACTAGAAGGCACTGTTGCTTAACATGTTGAAGGACTTGAAAATAGACCATCAAACTTTACTTCTTCAATTATTCAATTATTAATTGAACTTTTTGAAGGCAACTAGAAACCATTACTCACTGCATGAGTAAAGAAACATTACATTCGAAACGTGTTTTTATCACATCCTCTTTATTGCAAAAGTAACTAGTTACACATTATTGTGTTACTTATAATTCATTACTGTGAGTTCTGTTTATTAACTCCTCTCCCAGGACCACAGCCTCAAAAATGAATGGGAAGAACTACTAGTATTGGGTGTTAAAAAAGTTGGAGCATTTTAGGGGAAGTAGAAAGAACTAAAAGGCATAGTGTCTCTAAACATCTACATTACCTCCAAATGCATACAATGCCTCCAAGCATATACTCTCATATAAGACTATTACATTTATCTCTCTTTTGAACATGAGCACTTTAAATGTGCAGTGTATTACACAGTTTTACACTATAACTTGCATGTTACAGTATTTACACATATTTATTTATTTATTATTTATTTTATTTACCATATTTAAATAAATAAACATATAATCTGTTCACAGAAAATTCACAGTCGTGGTTGCTTGTATAGTTGTTGTGTGCCTTCAAGTCATTTCTGACTTATGGCAACACTAAGGCAAACCTAACACAAGGTTATGTATGTGACTCAAACAAGGTCACCCGGTAGGTTTTCATGGCTGAGCCAGGAATCAAACTTTGGCCTCCAGAGTCATAGTTTAACACCCAAAACATGTTACCATTCTGTCTCTCTGTCTAGATAGACATGTGGAAATTATAACGCCTAAGGAGCAACATAACATCACTTGCAAAGCAAGGAATGAATCACAACTTTACTGTCCAGTGGCCCCTATAGGAAAGAATAGCAATTATGAAGTTATGAAGGTATTGATTCTTTTCTCTTATTCTTCTTGTTCAGATAGAAATGATATGGATGCTGTAACAAAGAAAAACAAAAGGGATGGAACAGAAGTCACAGAGAGGCGTAAGTGATGCATTTTCTCAGAATACGTGGATTCTGGTTATTACCTAATTGTGGGTTATTACCTGCAAAGCCCTACCCGTTTCAAGTCCAGCCTATCTACGCAACCGCATCCCCCTCTATGAACCAGCGCAGGCTCTAAGATCTGCCAGGGGCGCTCTCCTCTCGGTCCCATCTCCATCCCAAGCACGAATCATGGGGATGAGGGAGAGAGCCTTCACGGTGGTGGCTCCCCGGCTTTGGAACGCCCTTCGGTGGGAGATCAAGCATGCCCCCACACTACAGTGTTTTCAGAGGGAGTAAAAATGGCTTTTCAAAGAGGCCTTTGACAATGATTAAGGCACCAGCTAAATCAGATGCCAAAACAGACTGACATTTCACTCAGTCACTTTAATGTTGACATTTTAACTTGCTTATTTTATCTACTAACTATTGTTGTGTTTTTATTTGAGTTTTTAAAATTGAGTTGGGTTTTGTTAATTTCTGTAAGTGTTGTTTTATGCTAATTGGTGTTGTTCTGATATTTATAAATGCTGAGTTATTTTATGCGTTTATGTGGCACTATTGTGTGCTGCGCTGTAAGCCGGCCCAAGTCCCTTTTGGGAGATGATGGCAGGATATAAATAAAGTTGTTGTTGTTGTTGTTGTTGTTAGTATTATTATTATGGATCTTGATGTTATTAGTATTATTATTATGAGTCGCCTGCGGGCTGATATGGGCGGGATATAAGCGATGTAAATAAAAATAAAATAAATAATCTTTAAATATCTGGATGAATAATCTACTTCAGAAATCATTTGTGTGGATCAGCCACGGGGTGGAATAAGACGGATTCTAAGTACCAAATTGAACTTCCAAAAGTAGATGTTTATAATATGGATAGGGAAAGAGATTGCAAGATCAGTTGATGGATGCAGGACTTCACCTACAGTGGTACAGATGTGGGCAACTTAAAGGAAGATTTACATTAAACAGTAAAAATATTGGATTTGAAAGAGACCAGTCAGAAAAGAATTATGTCCTAATGAAGAACACTTTTTTTTAGAAAAATATATAATGTATTACTGAAGATGGAAATAGAACCAGAACTGATAAAATAATGTATGAGTAAATGAGCACAAAATGTCAGACAAAACAGAATTAGATAAATGGAAAAAATGTGAACTATTCAATTAAAGAAAATTCTGTGCTACAAACTTAGACAAAATGTTTGTAAAATGATGAACAGTTGGTACCTGACCCCAGTAAAACTTTCTAAAATGTATAAGGGAAGAAACAATAAGTATTGGAACTGTAAGGAACAAAAATGAACTTTCTACCACATGTGTTGGCCTTGTAAAAAAAAAAAACAAGGGCAAAGTACAAAAACACTACAAGAATTTTTTCATTCAAATATATAGTCAGAGCCTGAATTATTTTTGTTGGGAATGACAAACAAACAAACAAAATCATAAGACTACAAAGTATCATACTACATGATAATTGCAGCACAGATGCTATATGCACAACATTGGAAGAAGCCAGACGTCCCGACAATAGAAGACTGGATTGTAAACATTTTTAAAGTAGCGGAAATTGACATATTGGCATTGATGAGCAAAGAAAAAACACACAAAAAACTTTATCAAAGACTGGGAAACATTTCTAAATTTTGTAAAAAGAAAGATAAAGAGACATTTTTATAGAAGGCTTCATAATTTAATTTGTTAGAATCCTTCGATGGAATTTATGCCAGTAGGAAGAATGGAAAAAAAAATACTGTAATAGGAAGAACAGAACCCTACATGACTGTCTTTATTAATAATAACAATTTTATTTTTGTACCCCGCCTCCATCTCCCCAAAGTGACCCAGGGCAGCTTCCATATGGCACAATGTGCCTAAAACAACACAGAATAAACATACATTACAATATAAGACAAAACCAATAGCATATGAAACAATAATTTAAGCTCATAACAGCACCCAGTAACCTATGGTGAGAACTGCTGTAAAACATGGCCAACTGTAAACAAGAACAAGAGAATAGGATAATGCAAGTAGTAGCTCACGAATTAGGGCATGGGACGAAAGTGCAGTGCTGTGTCATTAATTGCAGACTAGACATTTAACCCAAACGACAGGAAGTCATTACAACAGGAGAGCGGAGGGAGGGAATGGCATAGTAAAATACAATTATTGTTAGGAAATATTGCAGTGGTCCACACACACACACACACACACACACGAGTATAGAATGGTTTGGGGTTTTTTTATGAATATGTACATTAAAAAATAAAAATGAAGACAAAAAGGAAAAGAGAATCTAATAATCTAACTCTGAAAAAGAGGATAATAAGAGCTTAACACAATATGAAATCAGACACGGTGCTATTGGCCCTGTTGAATATTATTCAGAAAAGTTGCGTCTTGCTATAATCTTAGTACTTGTCTGTAAAAAAAGAAATTTCAGGGTACATTAAGGCTCAAGTTAACTTTCAAACCTATTCATTGACTTTCTTTCACACTTCAATTTCAGCTCTTAAGTTTTGAAAAAGGAGTCTATCTTTAGTGATAACTCATCTACCTCTTGTTCATTATGCTGCATTATATCCTATATATTTATGATTCATTGTTTTCTTTCTTTTTGTTCACAGTTATTACAGAAACAGTTACCACCAGGTTGACATCTCTTCCTCCAAGTAAGTAGTGGCTATATAGAATTCAGTCTGACCCCAGTTGTGCAGTCACTTATACTGCTCCCTGTTTGTTTGTTTCTCCCCCCCCCCCACCCATAAGTCCTAAAAGGGACAGATCCAAAAAAAAGGGGGGTGAGGCCATGCTGTTGCTTTCTGCTGCTCTTTTGACATGCTATTTAAGTAAAAAGGTAGCATTTCAATCATTTTTCCCTGTTCTTGTGAGACCAGAAATTAATCACATTACTGGCCGAGTATCCCTTATCTGAAATGCTTGGGACCAGAAGAGCAATTTTCTGGTCCCAAGTGTTCAGTGCTCAGGTCAAACTCTTCACCCCATGCTGTCTCTCAAACCTTTTAATTTAAAATTTTCATTTCTAGAATTTAATTGGAGCCCCCAGTGGTGCAGCGTGTTAAACCGCTGAGCTGCTGAACTTGCTGACCAAAAGGTCAGTGGTTCGAATCTGGAGATCAGGGTGAACTCCCGCTATTAGCCCCAACTTCTGCCAATCTAGCAGTTCACAAACATGCAAATGTGAGTAGATCAATTGGTACTGCTTCGATGGGAAGGTCATGGCACTCCATGCAGTCATGCTGGTCACATGACCTTGGAGGAGTCTATGGACAATGCCGGCTCTTTGGCTTAGAAATGGAGATGAGCACCACCCCCCAGAGTCGGGCACGATTAGATTTAATGTCAGGGAAAAACCTTTACCTAGTAATTTATTTTTGTTTCCACCATTGTTACAAATGCTGAAATTGTTACCAGATAGGCCAATTAAAAAATCTTCTCAAAATGGTCAGATACACAAGAAGCATATTTAAATTGGGTGGCCAAACTGAAAGACCGCAGTTCTTCTGTTACCCTGCCTTTTTTTCACCCTTGGTGTTTCTTTTTGTGTTTTCTCTGACAGAAGGAGGCGGGAGCAGTGGGCTCAAAACAACAAGTTACAGTGGTGGGAGTGGAGTGGAAAAGAGGACATACAGTCACGGTGGCAGCTATGCCTCAGCCAGTAAGTGGGTCTCAAACTTGGACTAAATGTAAACAACATCACAAGAGGCAGATAAATGGAAGTGGGAGGAGAAGAGAATGCATCAGTCACAGGATTGTTTACATTGTAGAATGTCTAGAAGACAAGCAAGGCAGAGCCCTTCCCCAAAGTTTTTACAAAGAGAATGCTCACCACAAAGCATTTGTGTTGAAGGATTTAAATGTCACCTTTTTTGATGAATGCTTTGTTTACCCAAAATAGATTACATTTCTTTGGACTTTTAATCAGTCTTTTTCTTGGGTCCACCCTGTGGGAGAAGAGAGGTGTAAAGTGGGATGGCTCTCAATAAAAATTAATTGCCTACAAACTAATTTAGCTTACTGGGTTGCTGTAAGCATTCCTGGCTGCATGACCATGTTCCAGAAGCATTCTCTTCTGATATTTCACCCACATCTATGGCAGGCATCCTCAGATGTTGTGACGTCTATTGGAAAATAGGCAAGTGGGATTTACAGTATATTCTGGCGTATAAGACTACTTTTTAACCCAAGAAAATATTCTCAAAAGTCAGGGGTCGTCTTATATGCGGGTGTAGTCTTATGCACGGGAGTCATCTTAACTCTATATTTTAACTGGAAAAGTTGGGGGTCGTCTTATACGCCCAGTCGTCTTATATGCCGGAATATACGGTATATATCTGTGGAATGTCCAGGGTGGGAGAAAGAGCTCTTGTATGTTTGAGGCCTTTGAGGATGCCTGCCATATATATGGACAAAATATCAGGAGAGAATGCTTTTGGAACATGGCATTACAGCCCAAAAAACTCACAGCAACCCAGTGATTCCAACCATGAAAGCCTTCAACAACACATTGATGTTGTTTATTCTGGAGTAGCCATACTCAAGAGAAGTTAGAAAAGACAGCCACGTTCCTTGCTGGCCCTTTGGAGAGCCACAGAAATGTGCTATTTTAAAGTTAAATCTTTATGAATTATGTAACTACAAAAGACATAGAAATAGCATAGTGGCAACTGAAATCCACTGAAGCAGCATATCTGCTTTGTGTTTTTTTTCTGAACCTTGAAGGAATTATCCAAGATACAAAATCTGTCTTGGGGAAAGAGTTCAAAATAGCTTGAGTAGTTTCCCTTTAAATCTCACTAAATCACAGTGTAGATTCATCACTTCATGGATGGCCCCAGCTGCCCTGGCTCTCCATAGACCCAAAATGTACTTCCTCAGTTACTTAATCTAGAACAAACAGTGTGTTTTCTTTTAGTGCTTCTCATTGAAATACCATTTTTGAAACCCTTTGTTTCTCTGAATGCTTCACCAATACATAGTGGATGAAGCGTGGGGGATATTGGGGCTTTGAATTCCCCAAATTGTACTTTCTCCCCCGGTCTGGTTAGAGGTATGATTCTCAAAACAGCATTAAGCAAGGCCAAGTTTCTTAAATTAAGAAGTTCTTTGAGATTTTTGTCTTTGCAAGCTGATCTGTAAGTTGGATTTAAAAAGTGAAATAGAGCTGGGGCTGGTCAGCAAAGGTCTCCAAACAATAGTTCTTTGTTCCTAAGACAGTTTAATGGGGAAGCCTCTGAATGATACTAGTGCCAGAGCTGCAAGAAACTACACAAGAATAGCCCTCTGCTTAGAGTACAAAGGGCCCATTTTCCACAAACTGAAGGCTGACATTCACATGACTGTGTCTTCTTCAACCACAGCCATACTTCACTTTGAAGAACTGACAAAAATCCAAGGGGCAGAAAGTCATACAGTTGCTAGGTCTTTTGTCAAACTGCATATTAGCCATAGTATTCCAGGCATGGCTTGTGTTTTGCTGTGTCCTCACTACTGAGACAGAAATGACCCCATTGCTCATCACATCTAGTTCTGTGTACAAAATCCATGCCATCTGTTTCCAAAAGCGGGTTTTTTTTTGTTAGTAGAGGAAAGAAGGAAAGAGCAGAACTGCATGAACTAGCAGAAAAGTTCAATACATAGAATCATAGAATCATAGATTTGGAAGAGACCTTGTGAGCCATCCAGTCCAACCTTCTGCCAAGAAGCAGGAAAATCTCATTCAAAGCACCCCTGACAGATGGCTATTTAGCCTCTGTTTAAAAGCCTCCAAAGAAGGAACCTCCACCACACTCTGGCGCAGAGAGTTCCACGGCTGAACAGCTCTCACAGTCAGGAAGTTCTTCCTCATGTTCAGGTGGCATCTCCTTTACTGTAGTTTGAAGCCATTATTCAATGTCCTAGTCTCCAGGGCAGCAGAAAACAAGCTTGATCCCTCCTCCCTATGACTTTCCCTCACATATTTATACATGGCTATCATGTTTCTTCTCAGCCTTCTTTTCTGCAGGCTTGTGTTCTGCACAGCAAAACACATGCCCAGCCCTTTAAGCCACTCCTCATAGGGCTTGTTCTCCAAACCATTATAGTTGCCCTCCTCTAGACACCTTCCAGCTTGTCAACATTTTCCTTCAATTGCAATGCCCAGAATTGGACACAGCATTCCAGGTGTGGTCTGACCAAGGTAAAATAGAAGGGTAGCATGACTTCCCTGAATCTAGACAATATACTCTTGTTTATACAGGCCAAAATCCCACTGGCTTTTTAGCTGCCGCATGACATTCTTGGTTCATGTTCATGATATTGGATTAGACTACAATTTGCAGAATGGCAAGTGGCTGTGCAAGCTGGATGGTTTTGGGAATTTCAATTCAAATAGTAACTTTTCCAAGATGAGTCCAACACTAATGTTGGTCACATTGTCCCCTCAATGACAGTATCTGAAGATGGTCTTCTTACAATTATATGAAAACAACCCATGTTTCTATTGATACATGCACAAAGAGGCTTTGTGGCTAATCTGTAGTCATTGCATGGCCAAGAAACTAAAGAAAAACACTCATTCCCGTCACAGTCAAATCCTTTATTGGACATGTATTTGAGGAGGTTTTGTTTCATCTATAGGTGGAAGTACTAGAATGAATACCTCCTCTTCCTCCTCCTACAAGCAAGCTACTGCTCCTTCCTCTACACTTCCCAAATCACCTGGCTCAGCCTTCGAACGAAAAACCTATGCCACTCGCCATGCGACATATGAAGGTATCACAGTATGAAGAAAACTGGGAATTGCACTGACCAATCGTTCTGAATATACTAGGAACCTGTCAACATATAGTTGCCCTTTGCAGTACCCGAGTCTCGCTTGTTTTGGATCCATCTGTTCCGCCAGTGGCTTTTTGCATCCTGTAGAATAAGAAATTGAAAATAGCTGATGTTTTTTCTATTCCTGATTTAGACTAAAGCATGATACATGGTTGTCTAAACCAATGCTCCATCAATGGTAGCCATGTACTTCCTTCTGTCTATTGTAGACTAAACAGTGGATCTTCTGCATATGTTCTTGGATTCTGATTAATTGAAAGTACCAAAAGGTCTATATTACTCCTTTTACAGAGAGACCAGGATTCAATTCCTTGTTCTGTCATGGGAACCCACTGGGTGACTCTCAGCCCCTGAAATACTTGTGATGTGTTCCTTAGAGTTGCCACAATTCTGAAATGACTTGAAGGCACACAATAACACCAGCAGCCACAATTCTTTCACTTGTGGCGTTATTGCCCTAGTTTATCATCTGGTTTCTGCACTTTTTCCAATTGCCCTGTCCTTACAACTTTATTGCACAAGTCCCTTCCCGCCCGAGTTAGTATTTGACTACCATGTCAGGCCATTGGCTCTTGTTGATGTTATTTTATGTTGTTTATGATATAGTTTTTATAAACATTGTGTGATGTTTTTAAGTTTTAATCTATGTTTGAACAAGCTAGTCCCCATGTAAGCCACCCCAAGTCCCTTCATTGTGATGTAATATTAGTGCATTGCCCCTTGCAGTATCACACAATATGTAAGAGAGTTTTTAAATATATTTTTTCTTCTTTCTTCTTCAGGGAGCTCAAGTGCAAATTCCTCTCCAGAGTTTCCCAGGAAAGATCTTGGTAAATGTTTATTATTCATACTATGAAGAAGAATTTGGGAAGAGATTATGGTCGGGGAGCTTAACATTCTATAGTTCGAAATTCTTCTTATTCTCCTAATGGAATAAATTATGCAAATGGTACTGATTTACATATATTTTAAATTGTTCATTTTTTAATCCTGGTCTAGAATCCTTTATTTAAAACAAATTGCTTCCTTCCTTCACAGTCATGCAATTAATAGATAAAGTGATGCATATGTCTACTATCTGCAGAGGTGACTGATTTAGAAATGCTCTGTGAACTGCAAGAATAACCTCTTTCCATCCCTCTGGTACCATTGTGGGTGCTTGAGTCCTAGCAGAGGGCTTAATGAAGGCATTGTTCTGCCTAGACTAGAATAACACACGGTGCCCTCTTCAAATCAAAGTTTCCTACCTGAGGGAGAAAGTCATATGAATATCTGTACTGTTCTGGGTGATAAAAATATGTAATAAGTAACAGTTTGACATCCACTACCACCACATCCACAGGACCGATACTCATGGTTTCATGTATTCATGTCCAACAAAATATGTCCTCTCTGGGCATTTCCTAGGTCCTCCAGCATAACTCTAAGGTGTTCTTAGACCAGATGACCATCATTATCCACAGATTTATTTATTTATTTATTTATTTTATTTATTTATTTACAGTATCTCTATCCCACCTTTCTCAGCCTGAAGGCGACTTGAGGCAGCTTACAAATTGGCAGCAATTTGATGCCTCAACAGTCATAAATACAATTAAAAACATTTAACATGACATAATAAAAATCCACATAAAAACCATTAAAAACATATAATCACCAATGTCTTTCAGTTAAACTCGTTTTCTATTAGCATCGTCTAAGCCGTTCAATGTTCACTCTTTCATAGTACCATATTTATCTATTATGCTGCATTTCCAAAGGCTTGTTTAAAGAGCCAGATCTTTGGAGGGAGGAGGGGCCAATAAAATATCGTTGGGGAAGGAGTTCCGCAGCCGAGAGGCCATCACTGAGAAGGCCCTGTCTCTTGTCCCCGCCAAACATGCCTATGAAGAAGGTGGGATTGAGAGCAGGGCCTCCCCAGAAGATCTTAAATTCCTAGATGGTTCATAAGGAGAGATAAATTTGGACAGGTAAACTGGGGTGGAACCATTTAGGATTTTATAGGCTAAAGCCAGCACTTTGAATTGTGCCTGGTAGCAAACCGGCAGCCAGTGGACCTAGCGCATCAGAAGAGTTTTGCATATCTGTGCGAAGACTGAAAACTTTAAATACAGCATATTGCTTTTGCTTGTTCACTAACCTCAGATCTTGTGATCTAGGACAAAATAGGAATATTTTAATAAATTTAAACATGTCAGCCAGAATCCTATGTGAGCTTATACTTAAGGACTTAACTGAGTCACTTCTCCTGGCCTGACCCCAATCCACCTAAAAACCTGATGGAAGCCTCATTTAATCATATCACATTCACCGTCAATGGACCTCCTTTTCTCCATACAGCTGATAGCTGGTAAAATAGGTTGAAGAGTGAACAACTATCAATTAGATAACTGTTTCATATTCATGATCATAACTTTTGTCACAATTATGATATTATTGTGATGAGTGTAACACACCTACTTTACCAGGCATCAGTTGCATGGGGAGAAAGAGATCCATTTTGCCACCAATCAGATCATGGATGAATGAAGTTTCTGTCAGGTTTAGTTGAAGGGGATGTGGGGGTCAGGCCAGAAGAAAATACTTGGTTAAGTGTTAGCTGATACAAGATTCCAGCCATCATATTTCAGATTACATTTCATGCAATTGAATTTAATTTCCCCCCATTTTTTACAGGTTCCTCTGCTACTAGGGGCCGGAGCCAAACTCGTGGTAAGACAATAATATATCTAGGTTTGTCTAGCTCCTGAAATCACGTTCTCCTTCTCTTATCCGTGAAACAAATTGAAGAGAGCAGGTTGTAAATAGGATTCGATCATGAGTGTTCAGTTAGCTACAAACTCAGATAAAATTGGTAGAAGGACCAAGAACCTTTTCACACAATATAGTTGTTGCTCAATGATTCCACTTTAACTACTCATCCCAAGAAGGAGATTTTATTTACAGTATCTCTATCCCACCTTTCTCAGCCTGAAGGCGACTTGAGGCAGCTTACAAATTGGCAGCAATTTGATGCCTCAACAGTCATAAATACAATTAAAAACATTTAACATGACATAATAAAAATCCACATAAAAACCATTAGTTTGGGAAAGCAATGGAGCTCTGAGACAAAGGATTCAAAATGCACCTCCCTAAACAGCAATCCCAAGATTCCTTAGGGAAAGAACCCTAGTAATTAAGGGAGTTGTAGTATTATAAATGTATAATGCGAACGGACCCTAGGAATGTAAGCATAGTGCAATTTTATAATGGCAATCCTGTCATTGCAGTCAATCATTTGCAACAAGCAATTAAGCAAGGCATGTCAAAGCAGCTGTACCGTCCTTTTCAAACTTTGGGGCAAGTGAGTCTGACAAACCATATCACTCACCAGTGTTATTAATCCATTGCAATACATCTTCTGCAATTCAAAGCTACGTGCAGGACATCAGGTTACTAACAAGTGTCCCATCTTACAAAAAGCCATCTCTTCCCTTTTGTCCCTTTCCAGAGAGTGAAATCCGAGTGAGGCTGCAAAGTGCTTCTCCATCAACCAGGTGTAAGTATTGCTGCGGGTTTTGTGGATTAGAACAATGGTGGCTGAATCCCTGTGGTTAATAATCCATGAGTTTCGGCTTTGACCTCTTCCTTTGACCATTTGGCAATTGTTCTGTTTCTGTGATGTTATTAAATATTTTTCTAATCTGTGGGAACAACAAGGAGGAGGGTCACAAAACTATTTCTTAGAAATGGGAAGTGGGAATCTTTAGTAATCCAATTGCTAAATGATACATCATGTGGTCTTAGAGGATAGATCTTGGGGTGATACATGAAACATATATGCATCATTTATGAGGCAATTGCCTTGCCTCATTCAGTCACAGAATATTACAGGGGCCTAAGCATTGTTATCGTCTACTTATAGCCCTTGTATGGTTTCCAACCACTTGCTACAAGCAGGACAAAATGGAGTAGAAATGCTAAGAAATGTTCACATGGCAGTAGCCATAGTTTGAAATGTGCAAGCAAAATAGACAGGGGGCCTTCATCATTCATTTCAGATACATCAGGGTTTTTTTCTAAAATGATTTTATTACATTAAATAATTCACTACATTTTTAATTGTAACATGTATTTGAAATGAGCATGTGGATCTGGGTCTCCAATATCTCTTTACTCTTTCAGGGACAGAACTGGATGATGTCAAACGACTGCTTCGAGGAAGTCGATCAGCTAGTGCCAGCCCAACTCGCTCCCCATCAGGCACGCTTCCTATACCCAAGAAAGCTGTTGTGGAAACCAAGATGGTTACAGAGAGCACACAGTCTGGTATGGCCTTGCTAGTCTCTTAATAAAATGAAACCCAGGCAGTCCCTTGGGACTTCAAGTGGTCTACCATGGTTTTAGGAGCCCCTGGCGGTGCAGTGGGTTAAACCATTGAGCTGCTAAACTTGCTGACTGAAAGATCACAGGTTCAAATCTGGGAAACAGCGTGAGCTTCCACTGTCAGCCCCAACTTCTGCCAACCTAGCAGTTTGAAAACATGCAAATGTGAGTAGATCAATAGGTACCGCTCCAGCGGGAAGGTAACGGTGCTCCATGCAGTCTTGCTGGCCACATGACCTTGGAGGTGTCTAAGGACAACACCAGCTCTTCAGCTTAGAAATTGAGTTGAGCATCAATCCCCAGAGTCGGACACAATTGGACTTAATGTCAGTGGAAAACCTTTACCTTTACCTACCATGGTTTTAGTCTATGGAATCAATTTTTAAAAATCAAAGGCAAAATACATTGCATTAAAAAACACCATATTCAGGCAAAAACAGGATCCATGAGTAAAGAATAGACAAAGGCTCTAAAGCAGATCTAAGGAGCATATAGGCCTCTCGATGTACTTGAACTCCAATTTCTGTCACCTATACTCAGCTTGTCCAATGATGTTCATCTACATTTGAAGGATCAAAGACCACATGGTCTTAATCTAAAAATACAAAATCAATAGGGAATGTGTAGACCTTCAACCGAAATTCCCGCTATCTCTTATGCTCCCTCTTTCAGCCCCCATCATTCCTATGCTCTTTACAATTGATAGGAATTCTAATCTAATATCTGGGGTGCCAACACTTTCCTCACCCTTACTGTAATAGTGTGTAATTGTTGTTTTCCCATTAGCTTTTACTGTACATTAATCTGTCAAAACACAAAAGTACAGAGAATAGCAGAGAATGCATTCACAAATGCAAAGAAGATCAGGGTTGATAACAAAGTTTTCTTCTAATCTCCAAAAAGTGGAGTGAACGACAATGCCATCAATATTTAATTTTTAGGTCAGTGGCAAAACTGACCTAAAATGTGCCAAAAATGCCCCAGTACCTCATTCAGGGGCCCATTTATATAAGCCCCTAACCAGAAGTTCCCAAAATTTGGTCCTCCAACTGACATCAGCTCCCAGGTGCCCTAGCTCATTTGGCTAAATGTCAGGATTTCTGTAAATTAAAAATACTTGGAAAACCAAAATATCTTAGAGAACTTTTTAAAAAGCAGATTAAATCAGAATTTCAACAGAAATATTAATCTGTGAGCTGATTATTAAGTATAAACTACTAATCTAACCTGAATCTAATTTGAGGTGTCACTCTTTGATTTTCCACCAGTGTCAGGGACATATGACACCACCATCTTGAATGCTGCCCTGCCATCGTACATGTGGTCCTCCACCCTGCCTGCAGGGTCATCTCTTGGCGGTTACCACAACAACATGGCCCAAAGCTCATCTCTGATCAACACTGCAGCCCATTCGACTGGATCAGGTATATTATCAATGAAGAGCACCATTAACAAGTCTACACGAGCCCAAAGGAATGGGATTTCAAAGTAAAAAAACTTTTTAGTTACATTTATTTCAAATGGACCAATGGTGTTCATACTGATCAGTTAACTAGAAGACAAACAACAGCACAACATCTTAGATATATTGCTTGTACCCACACCATGAAATAAAGAGACAAGGCAATAAAGTGTGGTAGTAATGAGCCAGCGTTTGACCCATTTATGTAATTATTTTAACTTCTGCAACCTGCAGAAAAAGTGGGGATTCAAGCCACCTAACATGCATAGTCAAGGTCTAGGGGTCAGTCCTGGGACTATCTCCACAGACCACTCTTGGGCCAATACCTAAATACCGGAAGTAATCCAAATGGTTGCTCACCCTAGCCATTTTAATGGAAGGCTATCCTGGGGAGATTCTCTCCCAAACCATAGAGTTTTACAAGGGTGAGAAAACCCCATTCTAGCTCCAAGGAGAGCCCACTTCCCAGCGACCCAAGTCACAGAACCCAGAGAGGTCATTTTAGAAGCCTGCCTTTCACCCACAATGGGAGTGCCATGGTGCTTAATGAATCTTTTTTAAGCTTTATATCATGCCATAAAAATTGACAGGCGTCCGCTTAGATATTTTTCCCACCAAGCCAGCCATGTATTCAATCCCCCTCTTTAAGTCTTCCAAAAGCAACAAGATCCCCTTAATTCAGTGAAGTGAAAAAGAGAAACCAGTATGAGGGGCAGCCTCAGTTTATAGCAGGCTGCTGCCCCTCATCACGTGCCCAGGAGGATGGAGTGAGTGGAGGGAAAGCTTCGGGTTGGACAACTTTTCACTCTTTTTCTGTATAATCGATACTATTCTTTCTCTGCCTATCTTTCCTACAGTGTTTGGGGTCCCAAACAACTTGGCTCCCAGCTGTCCCACTCTCAACACTGGTCTCAGCACATCTTCCACAGGTATTGGAATGGTTCAGAACTTGGAACTTTTATTAAAGGAATCAGTATATGTTAGTTTATGCTGTGTTTTGTTACTATTATTTACTATTGTTGGGGGAAATGATTGCAGCACATTCCTTTTAGCTACTATATATTCTGAAAAGATGGTTCTCTGATTTCTAATTTCTTATATTAGTGACATCAAAAGACTTCCTAGGTTTCAGTGGGATCCATCCCTCTGTAAATTGAGATGCCCATATTGAAAGGATTTTATTGGAACTGCATCTGCTTCAAAGAAAATCATGGGCTCTTTCACTGTAAAATTAATGCAGTTTGACACTAATGACTATGGTTCAATGCTATGTGATCATGGGAGCTGCAGTTTTACAGCATCCCTAGACTTCTCTGCCTTATTTATTTATTTGCCATATTTATATACCGCCCCTCTCAACCCAGAGGTGACTCGAGGTGGTTTACATTCGGCAGTCAATGCCCCCAAACAACATAAATACAGTTTAAAACTTTACATATAATATAAACCATATAAAAGCAATAAAACAATAAAAAACATAAAACACAAGTCCTCAGCATCTCATCACTTAAATCATTTTTCCATCAGCATTGTCCTTAGAGTGCTGATGCGTCGCCAAGCTACAAATCCCAGGATTCTATAGCATTGAGCCAGGGCCGTTAAAATTGTGTCAAAATGCATGGATTCTACATTGTAACTGCACCCATAGTCAACTGATAATAATAGTTTCCCTGAGATGGAGTGTAAGTGGGAAAAGTTATGCTTTGTTTCCTTTGTTTGATCTCAAAGGAGAATAGGAAAAGCCCTCCAGACCAAGTTTTCAGCTTCAACTACCTTTCAAGAGGGGTTAACTCCCTGTATTGCAAGAGTTTCCATTCCTGATTCTCAGTAAGGAGACTGCCATGTTTTTCCTCCAGAATAGGATCCCTAAATCTGCATAGATCTAGCACGATTACATTGTTTGTGTATCACCTGAGCCTCAAAATTAATCATTGCATAAAAAATATGGGGATGTCTCCATTTCTGAATTACAATGAACAGATTGTAGTGCTGTCCTGTAACTATCTTGACTGTAGATCAGACATTTGATTCTCCAGGTTCTCAGCTTCATTATTCACATTATAGCTACACCAAGAGTCAACTGATACTAATGGTTTCCCTGAGATGGAGTGTAAGTGGGAAAAGTTATGCTTTGTTTCCCTTATTTGATCCCAAGAGGAGAATGGGAAAAGCACTCTAGACGTGGTTTTGGGCTTGAACTACCTTTCAAGGAGGGCCACCTGCCTTTATTGCAAGGGTTTCCATTCCTGATTGTCAACAAGGAGACTTCCATGATTTTCTTCCAGAATAGGATCCGTAAGCCTGCCTAGATGTAGCACCATTACATTGTTTGTGCATCACCTGATCCTCAAAGATCATAACTGCACAAAGAACATGGGGATTTCCCCCATTTGTGAATTCCAATGACAAATCACATAGTATGTTATGCAAATTCAGGCACTTTTGAGAAAATAGTTAGAAGTGATGTGAAACATAACAGATTATTAACAGATTATAGTGCCGGCCTGTAACTATATTGACTGTACCCAGAAATGTAATTCTCCAGGTTCTCAGCATCACTATTTAAGAATGAATTAGTTCAGAAAATTCTTTCCAAGAAGAGAATTGTTCTGGCTATGTATTTTTTCTTTCTTTTTCTTTCTTTAAAAAAACAAAACAAAACATGATCTTCAACTAAGGTATTTTACTTTGCAGTATATGGTGTTCAGAACAACCTGGTACCAAACACAGTTGGTGCTGCCAACAGTGCAACCACAGCCTCCACATGTAAGTAATACCACATTGCAAGTCATTTTTTCTGTACTAATGCAAGTGTGAGTACATCAATAGGTACCGCTTCGGTGGGAAGGTAACAGTGCTCCATGCAGTTATGCTGTCCACATGACCTTGGAGGTGTCTACAGACAACAAAGTTGACTCTTTGGCTTAGAAATGAAGATGAGCACCAACCCCTAGAGTGAGACACAACTGAACTTGATGTCAAGGGAAACCTAAGGCATACAAGGGTCCTAGGAATTAAGATCCTCTTGGGAAAATATTGAAAAATTACTCCTCCCCATTTTTCTCACACAATTTAGATAGCTGATCATAGAATAACTACATTGTATTCTATCTATATTCACTAACCACAGTTGTGTCTCAGCATTTGGAGTAGGGAGGGTCATAGATCAGTGGAAGAACACATGGTATGTGTTGCAAAAGATCTCATATTCAATAATGAGTGGAAAACTCTGTGGAATTTTAAAGGATTATTGCCAAACATTATATAAATTCTAATTAAATGCTTGTAATTTTGGTTCTTATGGTTTTTGACCTCACTGTTTATGGTGCTTTCCCAACCCTTGCCAAAGTGTGCATCTGATGAAGTGGAGTGTGGCATTGTAATTGTTTTTTCTTTAAAATGCTACAACATGCTTTGTCCTTGGTAATAAAACACACCAAACTTTACTATGCTAAAGAACACTACACAGATTTTGTAGAAACAGGGTTTATTAGTGCCTAGTACTTGAACTAAAACAGCAGAACAAGGCTCCAATTTCCACTCAGCCATAGAAACCACTTTAGACGAAGGTGACCTCCTCAGAATAAATTGTGGCAAAAAACTCCATAAGTTGGTGTCAGAGTTGACCATATTTATTTATGTATTTATTTATCATGTCAAAAGAAATTGAGAATACAGTTATAATGTATTTACAAAACCACAGAGTTGACCTGAAGGCACAGAACATATCTTTTCTTCCAGCTGTTGTGAAGTTTCCTTTCTCTCTCTCTCTCTCTCTCTCTTTCTTCCTTTAGTAACAACTGGATATGGGGTAAAGAAAAATACTGTGCAGCAGAGCTCAGGAGTGACTAGTACTGGTGTGTCCACCTCATCTACAAATGGTGAATTTTCCTCTTATTTCATAGAATCATATAAGCATAGAGTTGGAAGAGGCTACAAGGGCCTCCCAGTCCAGTCCTCTGCCATGCAGGAAAGACACCTCAAAGAACCCCCAATAGATGGCCATACAGAGACAGGATGAAGCAGGAATGGGTTACTTGTTGACTGCTACACAGCACAACTCCCATCACTGTTAATCATATAGTCAATATTGATCTGTGCTAGCAGCGGGTTAAACCACTGAGCTGCTGAACTTACTGACTGAAAGGTTGGTGGTTCAAATTCAGGTGAGCTCCCATTGTTAGCCCCAGCTTCTGCCAACCTAGCAGTTCAAAAACATGCACATGTGAGGAGATCAATAGGTACTGCTTCTGCGGGAAGGTAACAGCACTCCATGCAGTCATGCTGGCCACATGACCTTGGAGGTGTCTATGGACAAAGTCGGCTTAGAAATGGAGATGAGCACCACCCAGAGTCAGATACAACTAGACTGAATGCCACTAAGTAATACCTTTACTTAGTGACTCAGTCATGCTATGCAGTGCATGCTATGCTATGCAGGAATAGTCAGAAATATCCCATGTCATTGATAGGGCTAGACTAGTATTGCTGCTGAGTGACTGAGAGGTCTATGTAGGCATGTGCATATGTTTCATACAATATCAGCCATGCACTTGAGGATAGTTTGAGAATGATTTGTATTCTCTGAGGGATTACTTTTGGGCGAAAAGCAACAAGAAAGACACCAATTTAAAATAACTAAAATACTTTAAGAAGATATAATTGAATGGCACCAAGATTTGTGACATGTTGCAGATTACTGTTGCAAGTGCTGCCCAATGGATGCTCTTAATATTTGTGTATTTCCATTTCTACAAATAAACACTCCATATTTGCTATGGAGAGCTAGACTTTTCTAAATCAGAAATCAGGGATTCGTTCACTAGTTGTGAGAGTGTTCTTTGATTTCCTGGATGTCCTTTTGGAGATTTCTCAGCACCTGAAAAGGAATAGTATAATGACCTACCAAAACAGATATGAATCCACTGAGGAGTTGCACATTTGTTACACTGGCAGGATAAATGCCTTTATGTACTGGTTGGTAACATGAATTATCAACAGGAAAATCCCACCAAATGGAAGTTATAAACCAGATTGTCCACTAGATGTAGCCATTGCATTTTGGAAACAAGGAATAAAATACTGTTTATGAAATATATTTGAGAACTGATACTTCTTCTCAATGCTTTTTGGCAAGTGTTTATCAAAGTGGAACAGCCTTTGATTTACATAATGTATAAAACTGCAAAACTAAATCTAGTATTGTTAATCTAGTGAGTTAATTAAAAGCTTTGCTATAGTCTTGCTGGATAAATCAATGACAGAGGTAGTTTCCAATCTGCCCTTTTTGCTATGCATGTTGCTGCTCTCAGTCTTTTCTTGTATTGCTGCTAGAAGAGAAACAGATTACCTACACATAATACAAAATGAAATGTGCTACTCCAAATACTTAGATTGATGTTCTCCTGGTATATTTGTATCAGGGAGTGGACTGTCTGATGTTTTTATAGTTTCCATAGCCAGGAAACCCATAATAAAAGTTTCAATCCAGATGTGGAGACTGGAAAAAAGATGGGTTTTTGTACAAAACATGCATATTTCAAAGGCTAGTGTTCATTCTCTCATGTTCTACATCTTTGCCACTTGATTTTTCTATTCCATCTAGCTGCCACCACAGTAGGCTCTCAGAATGATGACATCCTGCGGAAAGACTGCAAGTTTGTGATCCTAGAGAAAGAGAATATAACACCCAAGAAGGAGATGGAGCTGTTGGTCATGAGTAAAGACAGCGGAAAAGTTTTTAATGCATCTGGCACTGGGTTCAGTGGAGGTTTGTTTCCTTCCTGTTTGTCATGGCCCACTTAGGACTTTATCACATTAGGTTGATAAAGCACAATTACGACAGGAATACAGCACCTTTTGGTTCAGGCTTATTGCATGATTCCATATCTGTCCTGTAACTGAATTGCTCTTGAATCATGATTGGATCATCTATTTTCATTGACAGGAAAATACCCATCGATGTATCCAGTATCACCACTGTTTCTTGTCAAATAATTTCCTTTTGCTATAATCACTATAATGGAAAGTGTAGTAAGAGCTAATGACATGCAGTTGCCAAAACTGCTCAACTATGTAGTTGTGACAAAGCAGAAAACGCAGCACACATGTGCTGGGTAGGGCAAACACCAGTAGAAAATGAGGCAGCGTGGGAGACTGATTATGGTAATTCCCATCACCGAAGTGTCAATGGTACAACTTCAGAAAGGCGTGAAAGTGATCATTCCAATCATACTATATTCTCATTTCTTAAATAACCCATTTGCCACAAGACTACAGGTTGGTGTGATAAAAGTCCTCAGACTTTATAAAATACATAGTTCTATTTCATTTCTGATCACACAAATCTGCATGGGATGAAAAGATTGAAGCAATATAGTGGTTTCTGTTTGGTGGTATATGAGCGGTCCACCTGAAAGCCTCTTAAGCCAATATGAACTGTAGAAAAATATGTTGACTTTGGAACTTGGCCAGTTTACAAAATCTGAGTGTCAGGTTTCCTTCAAGGTACCATGAACTGTATTTTGTTTGAATCCTCTGTAGGTTATTATTCAGAAGACACTCTGAAGAAAGACAAGCAGGGCATGTCCTCCTCTTACGGTGGGGATTCCTACCTGAAATCAGAAACTAATGGTAAATCCTTGATCTTCTGCCTTGATGTAATTTTTAAAAAAAATCATGTAGACATGATGAAAATATATACATTTATATATACAAAGATATATATATATATATATATATACACATACACACACACACACACACACATATATACACACACACAATTATATATACAAAGAGTCACAACTTGTTGTGATGGAGTCTTCGAGTAGTGATACTACTGGGAGTATTCCCAGTAGTATCACTACTCGAAGACTCCATCACAACACTACTATTCTGCAATCAAGGAGTCCTGTTATTGCAGCTCGTCTTTGAATAATTGTTTTAGTACTTATCCTTATGCATTTATCATTAAAATAATTGTGTGTTGCAGTAGCTATTCTAATATTGCTACCCCAGATTATTACAAATTTGAAGCAAAGTCTCTATCTTTGGCCAACTATTCCTCCGTGATGTATGTTTGGAGCAGCTGTGCTGCAGTGACATAATTTTCATCTAAAACAAAGAGTGTGGCTGTGTGGAATAAGACATTTCTCCTTTTGTTCCTCTTTGTCTTCTAACAGGAGGATTAAAATCTGTTTCAACAAAGGACAAAGCCACCTATGCAGGTAGGTGCAATCTCCTTCCTAGAAAAGCAACATATTATTTTAAGAGGTTCAAAATGTTGTTAGTTAAAATTAATATATTGTAAATTTTATAAGGATAGTTATCTGTTTTTAGTGCTGTAAAGGTTGAGGAGACAACCTGTCATGTGCCAAGTAAATAATATACAAAATATTTAAGTAGGAGTGTTTTAATCTCTTGGAGATTATAGCTAGTAAATACAATGAACAGGAGCTTCAAAGAACTTCCAGAGGCCCCACAACCAGCATGATTAGGATTGCTCAGGTTATTCCCTCCATCCCATGTCTTTCTGTTGAATTGGTGTTGAGCATTTCCTTACTCCAGAAGCTATGCCTCATGCAATCTTGTCTGAAGGACAAAAGCTAATCCTTTTTCCCAGGGTGCACAAGAACTGATGAGATGATGCGTGACAATGCCCAATGGCTAATCAGTAGTTGGGTAACTAGAGTTGTACAGTCACATGTCCTTGCACATCCAAGAAGGAGGTATACAGATCATTCCATGACCAAATTGTGGGTCTCTTGGTAGAGATTTATACTCTCCCAATGGTCCATTGAACATACAGAAAAAATGGTTAATATTTGGTTAGTTGCCTCCAGGAAAGTGGAACCCATCACCTCCAGAGCAGCCTAGAGATTCTGGGCATGATTCCAAATTAGGTTGTTTGTGTGATATAAATGTGCACATGTATTTATTAGATAGTGGCTATTTATTCATACAGTGGAAAAATGATACAAAATCTGGAAGAGAAATTAGAGATCTGGCAGAAACATGTTTGGACTGTCTACCGAAGAATGTGGGAGATGTCTCACACAAGCAGAATAATTGGTATTTGCAAGCAGAAGGGTGAGCAATAATCAGTTCCACTCCCACAATCTATGGTCTAGCAGAGAAATAAAGCAGACTTAGCCTTCATTGTAAAAAAATATGAAGTAGATTTATTTACAAATATTAAAAGTTTCATAAATCTATTTGTGAAAGGAGTTGTAACATATGCTCTTCAAACTGGCATCTGTTGGATATATTCATCCTATGGTTTCTGACTCTAACAACTCTCTCTGCCCCACCTGACACAAAGCTTTTATGATGTTGCAGTCCAAGCTCTTAACTTTTAAAAACCTGATTTTTTTTTTCTAATTGTAGAAATCCAGCGTGATAATGGCTGTGGAGGGCCAGGTGCTGCTCCTGCCTGGTGTCCTTGTGCCTCTTGTTGCAGTTGGTGGAAGTGGCTCCTCGGTTTGCTCCTGGCCTGGCTGTTTCTGCTTGGCCTGCTCTTTGGGCTTATTGCTCTAGGTAGGAAATTATAACTAAACAGATTAAGAGTCAGGTTTAAAGTGTTGATTATGCTGAGAGTGTGTATGTGGAGATCTCAGATTTATTTATTTGCTTATTCCAGAGCTTGTAAAAATGTTTCCTTTCTTGTACTACAACTCCCTAGTTAGTTTGGCCTTGGAACTATAGTCCTACAAGGCAGATCTTGTAAGAAATGAAGTTTTGTATAGATCTAGGAATATGAGATGCCTTTGTCTTCCTATTCATTTCCACAGTCACCACCATCAACATGAGCAAGAAGAACTCTCTGTTTGGATGAGACAATGTGGAGTTAATTTCATAGTTACCTCTAAACTGGAAGGTTGCTCAGCCTGGGCCACCCACTTAATTATGCAATTGGCCCTCCACATTTGTGGGGTTGGCTACTGCAGAACTGATTATTCACAGATGGATTAAAAATTCAAGGTCTCTCTGGGAACTCGAAATTTCTAGACAGAAGACCTCTCTAAAAGTATGTTTTGCAATGTGAGTCTGTGGTTAACTTCTGCCAAATGTTGACCACAGAGTTGTCCAGGAGAATCTATATTTCCTAGAAAAGTATTAACGCAAATGAAAAAAATGCATTTTTATTTATGGTTTTTCACTTTTTTAGTGGGCTTTGTGTCCCTAAAATGTGAAGGGATGACTATACAGAGTTCTTTCAGTTAACTCCTTGGAGACTGGTGTTATGAGCACATGGTAACTTATCACCTCAGATAGCTCTTTTCATACATATTTGACTCTGGCAGGCACAACTTACATTTTTCACAGTTCAAGGAGATGGTCAGTTGTGCTTTACCTCTGGAAAGATTTTATGAGTTCCATCCATTGGAGAAAAGCAGGATAAAATTAAAATAACAATAATAACAACAACAACAATAATAATGTATACTATATAATAAGGTTTGATCCTGGAAAGGCAGAAGCAGTTCCAGATTCAGACCCAAACTGAGTAATCTATGGCTTAGTGCCTCAATTTTATAGGGAGACTTAAAATAATATTCATGATACATACACATTTCAATATTTAAATAATACATTTCTACAAGGATGGGAAAAGTGTAGATCAGAGCCTCATTTTTGCCTCCAAAGCCTTCTGCAACTCCTCCAGATGCCCGTATTTTAAAATTTGAATATTTATTTTGTACAAAGATGACTCAAAATATCTTACAATCTGTAATTTATTTTGTATGTGTTTGTTTGTTTTGACTACTTTTTCAGCGGAGGAAGTGAGGAAGCTGAGATCCCGTGTGGAGAGTCTTGAGTCCCGCGCCAGCTATTGGCAAGTACCTGCTGATGGTGACCAACAGCTGATTGCCAAGAAAGAAGCACAATATGCCAGACTTGGAGCAAAACTGAGTGACATGAATGAATATCAGCTATGGTCATTAATGAAAAGTCGACTCGATGCAGAGATAAATCAAGGTTAGGAGTTAGAAATAATTCTAGTATAGCTCTGTTGTTTTTCTGGAAACAAAAAGTTCATAATGATGATGTCACAAGGGTTGGTGCCACCCAGTGTGGCAATCATGATGTCACCCCCACAGACCTTCTCCTGTACCAGAACACAATATTCTAGCTAAAATATCAGAAAAAAATGACAAAATTAGCAACTATAAAAAGCAGCAGCAATGAAAATAACAGTGCATGTGTGTAGTGAGTACAGATGAAATTGTTTGATTTGAAGCATTTTTGTAATTGGGTAAACTTGTAATAGATCTCTGACTGGAACTTATTCACAGGAAAAAATTAAAATACTAAAACAGAATAAAGTTTTAGCCTTTTAGGTGTACATATAAGCTGGGCTTCTGAAAAATATTTTCAGGGTTATATATACGAAATAACTTTTGTGTCGTGTCAGGACTTGAGAAACTACAAGTCGCTTCTGGTGTGAGAGAATTGGCCATCTGCAAGGACGCCTGGATGATTTGATGTTTTTATCATCCTTGTGGGAGGCTTCTCTCATGTCCCCACATGAGGAGCTGGAGCTGATAGAGGGAGCTCATCCGCCTCTCCCAGATTCGAACCTGCAACCTGTTGGGTCTTCAGTCCTGCCGGCACAGGGGTTTAACCCACTGCGCCACCGGGGGCTCCTACAAAATAACTACAGGAATATTATTATTCAAAATAATAAATTTCTACTGAAACACTGAATTAAAATTGTATAGACAGTACTTTTTGATGCCACCTCTCTGAAGGTGTCGCACGAAGCACTTTGCAGCCCTGGTGACAACATTGTTAATCTATTTCTGAATGTGCACACTAGCAAAGCTTCCTCTGCTATTGTATGGCCAGCCAATAAACTTGACCAATCCACTTAAAAACGATGATAACAAGCTTTGGCCAAGATCCTTGACCAGGAAGACATAAGATGGAGCAAGGCTACTATGCATTATTCAGCCGTAGCACAGTTTGATGTCCCTCTGTTACCCCCCCCCCCCATTCTCTATTGTCTAAAAATGGGTATGTTGTGTGGATGCATTTGTGAAGGGGGTGACAAATCTATAACTAAATCAGCTCTGCTGTTCCCTTGCAGAGCCAACCCAATAACTTTTGTTCCCTAAGATGGAGCAAAATGCTGTCTTTTTTAGAGAAGGCATGACTAAATGTAATGGTAGACTGCTCCATTCAATTTATGGAGGAGGCAATGGGCTCTTAGTACTACCAATCAAAAGACATTGTGAAAAAATGGTGCCAGCACAAAATATTCTAGATTTCCAAACTACAAGCATCCCATGTAACAGCACTGCTTTATGCCAGGCTTAGCACAGCAGTCTAAACTGCTGTGCTGCAGAAAATTCCTGCCAATTGAAAGGTCAACAGTTCGATACTGGGTGGCCATTAGCCCCGGCTCACCTGCCCACCTAGTAGTTCAAAAGCAGAAATGACAGTAGATAAAATAGAGACTGCTTTTAGCAGGGAGGCAATAAAAGTGTCCTTAGAAACATCGATCTGAGAAAAGCTCTTCAGCATGGAAGCTGGAGCAACAGCACCCCCTGTGGCTGAAGTCAAGCACAGCCTCCAAGATGCCAGAAATAAGATGGGGGAAAATGCTTTTACTTCTGTTTGTGTTACCTGTCCATGTTAATTATATAACCGGCATTGAATGTTTGCCATATGTGTGTTCTGTAAGCTGTTCTGAGTCTCCTTCAGGATGAGGAGGATGGGGTAAAAATAAATAAAGTAAATAAATGGGGTAAAAATAATAAAGTAAGTAAATAAAAATAATAAATCACAAATAGTTGTAGATCATTTCTGCAAAAGATGTCTGATTGGTCTTTCTTTTGTTTTATTTTTGCAGGTTATTTCCGAGGAGAAAAAGGTAGCCATTTATCACACTTCTGCTTTAATATATGATTGAGATTTATTTTTATTTTTTATGGTCTCTTTTGTTGAAAAGCACCTCAAACATAACCATGATTCTTATCTCAAAGAATGGAGTTCTGTAAAAAGAGATATTTAATTTTCCGGTACTACTCTGAGAGAAAGCCATTAAAGCTGAATCCAGTTGAATTTGTATTAAAGGCATTTTAACAGGGAAATGTTTCCTCTAAAGAAGTAAGGAGAAAGGTGTCGTAGTGTACACATTGACTGAGGTGGGCAGCTACATGCCTTAGACTGGGCTTTGGTTCTGCCTTCCTTGAGGTTGCCCTATATATGAATGATACAAAGAGATGAACAACGAAGTGAGAAAAGCCTGGAGAAAAGAACCTGGGCAGAAGTTGATAGTCTTCCTGTATTTTCCCCTTTTAGGTGATATGGGACTTCAAGGACCGAAAGGTGAGTTCAGACATCTTCAGTGTCTGTGTATTTGTGTGAAACTGTGTATATCAAGACTACTATTTGCCAAACTGTAGCAAATATCCAGATGGAAAAATGGTTGTAGTTAATGAGCAGATACGGCTTTGTCGTATTAAAAAACAAACAAACTCTACCAATCCCTTACATCACATATCCTTAGAAACACTGGTGTGTATAAGGAAGTTTCAACAGCTATTAGAAACTGTTGGATTGTAATAATATGCTTTTACTTGCACAAACGTATGCAAAACAAAGAGAGAAAAGTAGCAATAAATGCTAAATTGTGTAATGCCTAGTATTAAGCAACAATTTTGTTACAAGATTGTCTGTTATGCAAACTAAAAAAACACAAAATAACTTTTATGCAGAGAGTGGATTAATAAATAAGCCCAATTATTACATTTAGAAGGCTAATTTGATGTGTAGATAGTATACAGCAGAATCCAAACTTTCTGGAAAGAAATAGTGAATGCTAGAAAAATTATAATATGGATAATATTCATATAATGTGAATAATTATAATTTTTCATGCTTTATAGTTTTGTAATTATTCTGATTGTGGAGTTCTTGAGTAACTTATTTCACACTCCACTATTCCTACTGATTATGTATAAGTATTTGCATATTTATGTATTTATAAGTTGACTCTTTGTCACCAGCTATTATAATATCCATTAAGTTTTATGATTTTAAAATGGCCATGTTATAATGAAAATGTAAATACAGTAAATAAAAATATTAAGTTGGTGTATACAGGGGCCCCTGTTTCTTCTATGAGCATATTTAAAATATTCTTTTTTTTTTAAAAAAAACTCCATTAAGATAACCAAAAAAAGAGCCAGTGAAATGATTTTAATGTTGGACAATGACTCTGGAGACCAGGGTTTGAATTCCCATGTGTGTCAAAATGAAATGATTGAACCTGGCCCACCATGTCATTTTATTTGGACCATGAAACTTTCAATGCTAGGGCAGCATAGTTGCATTTATATGGTCTTACAGTTACAAATGGCCAATTAAAGGCAACCATAAGGCTCATGTGGCTCTCTGTGACCCTTGGCAAGTTACCTCCCCTGAGACCTTATTATAGGTTTACCTTAGGACCGCCGTAAGTTGAAAATGACTTGAAGGCACACAACAATATTAACAAAATTTATATAAAGAAAAATATAGCTTCCTAATTATTTTGGTTTCAGGTGAAGAATTAGCATCTTCACATGCCTGTATCACTAGAGAACTAGCATGACATCAAGCAAATATAGATCAAAGATGAATGTATGTTTAATAGTGTTTGGGATCATTGGCACACGTCAGTCACTAGATCCCATGGAAAACTTTATCCATTTTCCTTGCATCCCAATACAATGATTTTATGTTTGTTCATTAAACAGAAGGAAAATTTATTTATCAAGAGTATTAAAAGCAGCCAGAGTGACAAATCTCAATGTTAACCAGCACTGGCATGCATAAAAGCATCTGGATTCCCTGTAGCTCAGTGGTTCTCAATCTGTGGGTCCCCCTAGGTATTTTGGCCTACAACTCCCAGAAATCCCAACCAGTTTGTTTACCAGCTATTATGATTTCTGGGAGTTGAAGACCAAAACATTTGGGGACCCACAGGTTGAGAACCACTGCTGTAGCTGTTGCATTGAGTGATTGCAAACAATAGATTGCAGCTGAAAGGACAAAGAGCTGTTGTTGATACATCCCATCACAATTTTTCTTTCTTTTTTTTTCTACAGGAGACAGAGGGCTCCCTGGTATACCAGGTAGGCAATGCTTACAAACCATTGTCAAAATCTATCTTCTATAGGCTTTCAAACTGTTTATACATCATTTAGTAGTAACGTCAGGACAGAGTTTGTCACTCATCATAGCCTCAAAAACTAGTGAGTTAAAAAATCTACCTTCATGTGCTACATCAAATGTAGAGATCAAGTTTACATATGGAATTAAAATACCAATGTTTTGGACTGGATTTGCATTCTAGAAATTAATATCTAGTTCCCCACAAGCAGACATGACATTTTGTAAAACTATTTAGGCTTAAAATAAATGATATTTCCAACACATCCATCGATTATTCCTTTTTTTTGTAAATTGTCAGTTATTTCAAAAATTGATTTGTAAACCACTGATCCAAACCTGATGGTCATTGGTTTAAATGTCAGCTTTGTTTGATTTTCTGTTCTGCCATGTTTAGTTGTCACATTTAGACAGTGGTGCAGCTTGCTCTAACATGCTTTTTTCCCCTCCAAAAGGTGCACCAGGCATGATAGGTCATGCTGGACCTGAAGGACCTAAAGGACAAAAAGGTAGCATGGGTAAGTGGGGCTGGAGAGCCTTTTCTTTTTCCTTTGTCTTTAATAAACCCATAATTCACATAGTTCAAATTCTATTGACACTATTGACACTACATACGACTGTGCTGTTGTAGGGAAAATGCTGTGCTGTGCTTGGAATATGTGATGAGATGTTCTTGAACTACTGGTTTTCTACAGGTGAATCTGGAACCGAGGGTCCCATGGGCCAAAGAGGCCGAGAAGGACCTCCAGGACCTCGTGGGGAGCCAGGTCCACCTGGATTTGGAGAAAAAGGCGACAAAGGTAAGAAATTATGTTGTGACCTTCTTCTCCACTTAATATCATAATTCATTAGGAGATAATGCTTCTGGAATATGGCCATACAGCACGGGAAACTCACAGTAACCCAGTATCATAATTGTCTGTCACTTATTGAGTGTGGGATCTTCAAAATAAGAAATCTGTTAGGATTGTGACCACCTAGTGACCATGAAGACAGGAGAAGCAATGTGATTATGGATCCTGTATGGGACTGTCATCCATAACTCCTCTGTTAACGTTCCAAAATATGTTGGCATTCTTCCACGTTATACATTGCTGGAAATTCAGTGAAAGTGCAGCCTGCTCTCTCCCCAAAAGCTTTGACCATCATTGCTGATGAGGAATCACTATGAATGTAAAATTTGAAAACTAAGAAGAATGATCAGAACAACAACAAAAACTTTGACAATTACCACAAAGACAATGAGCCTTTTACATGTATCTGAGTGGCATAAATATCAGAAGACCTTGAATGTGTGATCAAAAGAGACAGTCTCCACAATGTGCTATTGATCTTTATTTATTAATCATAGCTGCAAGGAGAGCTGGGCCTCAAAACTATCTTATTCAATATATAAGTTGCCATCTCTCAGTCATTCCAATGAGTAATAGGGTGCAATAAAATGCATACTTCTGTTGGTTTCCTTGGCAAGGAAAATAAAATGTTAACTGTCCATAGAATTCTGGTTTCTATCAGCTTTGTCCTTGCACCTGACATTGGGTGAAGAAGTGATTAAACAGGAGGATGGAAAATTATATTTCCCCAAAAGTAATTGAGACATAGTTTTATTTTTTTCCCAAATGCTGGGGTGGGGTCACCTGATTACCTAAAAGACCACATCATTTGTTATCTGCCTTGAGCTGCAGTGAGAGGTGGGTAAGAAGTAAAATAGTAATAGTAATAATAATTATTATTATTGTTATTATTGTTATTATTGGTGATTTATTCCTCACATGTCAGTAGAGTGACAAAGACATTCCAAGTTTTAGTCCAAATATTTAAGGATATAGTCTAAACTATTCTGGAGGTAAAGGCTAACACAAAGGATAAACATTCTCCTTGAACATTCAGGTTGAAACATGGAATGAATTCATCATGGCACTAACATGGAAACCAATAGCTGTTGCTGGACCTCATAGCTCTCCAGTTGGCCACCATTTAAAACAATATCCCATTTCCAGGGTCAATGAGAGAAGCATCTTCTCACAAATGCTTCATATAACAATCAACTACAGAGTTGCACACATGATCTCCACAATGAAGGGTTTCTAGTTTAAACAAGTCACGAGGAATTAGACTTCAGCAGGCTAATGAAAATGTTTCTCTTTCGCTTTATTCTCTAGGCCCGGTTGGAGATTCAGGACCTCAGGGTCCACCCGGTGTCCCAGGCTCTATTGGGCCTAAAGGTAAAAATATCTGCCAGTTGTCTCTAAAGTAGGGGTGGAAGATCCTTTTTCCTCATAATTTTGAGTGACCACAGTTCCTGGAGATATATTGGGGATCACATGCTAGGAGATGGGGACTGTGGTAAGCAACACACAGGGTTAGAATTAAAAATAAACAGGACCATGCCTTCTACCTCTTTTGAAAGGAGAGGGACAGATTATTCCTTTAAAATGAGATTAAAAGCCACTTTCACTGAAGTTAGGGACCACCTGCACAATGCTATGAAGATGTAGGAGCTGCTGGGCTGATTCAGTTATGCATTTTCACCTATTCATTTTTCTATTAAAAAGAAAATATGCATCACTGTTCAATATGAAATTGTGTCTCAAAAATTAACCACTCCATGGATGTGTATAGTACTGGAATTCAAAGGGAAGACTGAAATAATAAAGGGGGTGAGACTCCTTTACTATTTCAATAATCAAACCACTGTTCAATATCTGTAGGAATTTTGATTCATTAGTATCTGAAAACTTCAACACTGCAGAACTTAAAAGGCAATGACAAAATAACTCAGTATTCCTGACCTATGGAAAGCCTATGGAATTTCTGGCATCTCTCTTGTAAACCCTGAATGAACATTGAACCATGCAGAGTAGACCCAGAAAGGCTTGGTTCAATTCAATTAATGTTACATTTCACAATAACACTGTAACAATCTTTTTTTTAAAAAAAAAACTGTTCCTAGTTTGAAAGTGTTACTTCCTGTTTCATTGTGCCGTACTTACTTTGAAAGCAGTTGTTATCAACCAATTCAACTTCATTTTTGTGGCTGCCACAAATTATGTTGAATTGGTTGAGACTCTATGAGATATTCATTGAAAAACTATAGCAAAATGTGTTGCAGGATGTCCTGCAAAAACAAAGTCTCTCTGCAGTTTAATAAACTTTTTCCATGTTTTTATGATAGTATCAATTAGAAAATTTATAACCCAGTTATAATATTTTCTGTTCTAGGTATGACAGGTTCACAAGGTCCTCCTGGTCCTCCTGGTAAGTATCATCTATTCATTATGCAGAGTACTAATGCAGAGTACTGTACACCTATATAGCATGGCAAACTGTTTTGGTGTTGGCAGACCTAGGAAACTACTTTTAATAATAACCTAAAAATAAAGATGTGATGGAACCATTTGTAAGTGAGCAGTGATAGAATGATGCTCTGAACTTCAGGACATCATTCTATGACTAAGCAAATATGGATATTTCGGTATATCCTTGTACAGATTCTTCTTAAAACAAAATGCTGGTTACTCGGCAGCATTTGGTATGTTGTCTCATCCTAACTCCCAGCACCAACAAAATGGAATAAAAATAAAAGATACATCTGTCTTTTAAAAATATGGTCAGTTACTTGGTCATGCTTAACTCTTCATGAACTTGCTTTTCTTTTAGGTCTTCCCGGGCTTCAAGGATTTAGAGGTGAAGCAGGTCTCCCAGGTGTTAAAGGTATGTTTCAGGGCTCACACTTTTCTAGTGGGACAGATAAACATTACATCTAAAACCATCTATTGAATAAATATGGCTTATTGTTGAACTCCTGTCTAAAGCAAGATTTAATATTAATTGCTGAGACAGAAGAAGAAGAGGAGGAGAAGGAAGAAGCGCAGGGCCATAGTTGGGGTGGTGGTGGTGGTTAAGCTTTCTACCCCCTCTGAAAAGTTTCTAACACACACACACACCGAAACCTGGTTTACTCAAGAATTTTAACTGGTTAACTAAGTTATGGGTAAACCAAGTTTCTTTTTTAACCTGACACATCTCAAATTAGAAGAGACTCTCAAAAGATCAGTAAAATGTTTTTTACTGCCTAACCCCACTCTCAGCAAAAGAAAAGGAGGCTCTGGGAAGAGGAAAACATTAGTGTAAACAAAGTAGAAGGTAAAAGGAGATTGTTTTTCAACAGAATCAAAAGACAATCTCATTTCCCTTTCTTTTGGAAACAGCTGTTTTTTTTTTTTTACATATAGTAGACCATATACTGAATTATAGTTTAGTCACATGAAGGTTACTTTGGGAATTAATGATATTTTGAGTCTGTGACATATTCCCTTAGCAATTTGAACATTTCACTATTTTTCAACCCAGTGTGGTTGAACAATTTACCTTTCTGAGCAGTTCTATTTTAAAGCCTTGAGTCGCCGATATGGCTGAGAAAGACGGTATACAAATACAGTAAATAAATAAAATAATAAATAATAAAGCCATTGTCTTTGTGTCTTTCAGGTGAAAAGGGAGCCATGGGAACATCTGGTCCAAAAGGTAAGTCAATCATTTAGATGTGTTTTCTCATAACTCTTACGCTCTTTTGTGTATTTAATTGCTCAGTGCAGAATTCTTTATACTTATGTCATGAAGATTTCTTGGCTTTGATAAGAGAGTTTTAACATCAGTTACTTTCAAAACAGTGACTCTTCACCTCTATCCAACTTTGTGTTTTTCCTTCAGGTGATCAAGGAGAAAAAGGTCCCCGTGGTCTCACAGGTATGTAAAAGATCATCAAGGTTATTGTATTTTCACTACACAAGTCTCCATGTTTTCTATGATGGCTGTGGGATATATATGGAAGATTTAGCATTTGAGTTCTGAGGAGACTCATGATGTCTCTCCAGGGCTGACCTTGCCATTAGACAGCATGGTGCATATCTTAGACTGGCCTTTCTGGAGGCAGTAGCAAAGTGTTAGAACAGAACAAGAAAGTGTAAGTGGGCCTGTTCTATCCTTCTTCCATGCATAATGGACAATATTGTCCCATCCTCAATGCTGGAGAAAGATACAATTTCTAGGACTTGGATAGAAATAGGATTGTTTCGTCTTCTACAGCGTAGGCAACAAAACGTTGTGGACTCTGCCTCTCTGTGTTAAGAAGACAGAGCAACAGTGATTCCTCATTTGGGCACAATTCCACAGTCTGGGGATGTTTGCTGGCAGTTTGAAACCTTGTTCAAAGATTTTTACCTCTCTTCGACCTTTCCCCTCCATCCCTTCCTTCTGGCTGCTAACCATTAAATAACAATAACAACTTACTGTGTGAAATTATAACTGCTGTCTACACATTGTGCAGAATAGTTCTGTAAAATAGAGCTTCAGTAATTTTCAGTCGAATCTTAGAAAGGTTTGTGTCTAAGGTAGAGCCTATTATTGCTATAACACAGCAAGATCAATTTATCAGTATTTATCAGTATTTGGTAATGGGTTGGCAGATGTTACTTTCAAATGTGGAAAAGAGATTCTGGTTATGACTTCTAAATATACCAAACCAACTGTGTTTGATTTGAAGGTGAACCAGGTTCCAGAGGACTCCCTGGACCTACAGGTGAACCAGGACCTAAAGGATCAGCAGGTAATTGGGAATGTTCTCTAATGACATTCCTGCAAGCTACCACTCTTACAACTTCATCACATCCAATACCCCCCTCCCGTTTCCACGCACTTCTAAAACAATTCATAGATGAAGTAACAGGGATCCCACCATACAACACAAAGGGACTTCCTTCCACCTCTCGCCCAAACTGCTCCATCGTTGACTGTCTGAAGCGTAGGGAAATGGGGGGGGGGGGGACTGGAGCCAGCTAGAAAGTATCTTCTGAGCTCCTGATGCTCATGGAAATGGGAGAAAGCAAGAGAAAAGCATGCGGAATCGGTTCTGTTAAATTTGCCTGTGTTAAATTATAGTGCCTAATAGGTTTTGGATTTCCACAATTGAAGGTAAGGAGATTAGGAGGGAAAAGAAAGGAGCCCATGGAAAGAAATGGTGTCTGTCTTAAGAATGATGCCTTCTGTCTCCTCTAAGTGGATGGTTGAGCTGGGAGGAGGCGATTTTGTGTGATGGGGATAAGTAAATTCTCCATGTTCTTTAAAGATGGAACGCCACATGAAGAAAGTGATTCCATACACAAAGAAGACAATTTCCCCCAATTCCCCCAAGTCTGTCTGATGATGACCTTATTCAATCTAAGATTCAAATACTCTTATTCTATCCTTTTTGAAATGTGACACTCTTGGCATGCAAGACTCGGTGCTTTTCTACATTGCCATATCTGTATTGAACATGTTGCATATACGTATAGATGTATATAATTGAGGTCAATGCAATTAAAGTGCATTCTGAAACTGCTTTATATGGCAGTGTAGATGGGGACTCAGAATGAAATATAATCCATATTTATTTAAGAAAAATATAATGGTTTAAGAAAATATAATAGTTCTTAAACTGGAATAATTTTTCCTTTGGGGGTGTATGTGATATCATTATAGATATAACTCTGCCTTTAGATAGGGTGAGACAACTACTTCAGGCAAAAAAATTGGGGTATCTGCGAATGTTAGTTATAAATTAAGTGTTATATTTTTACAACCAAAGAGGTGGAGATAAGTTCATGTGGGATTTTCTGCCCCAGATGCCAAACTAATTTGACTAGTGTTAGATGCTATGCAGCATGACTACAAGCAATGAAATGTATTGGACTGGCACTATCTGACCAAAATATGTGCATGTATGAATGTCCTTTTTGTACAACTTTGCGTAGGCCAGTAACTGTTTAATACATTATCACTGCTAAGATTATAATAATGTTCTTCCTGTCTTAAATATACATTTCTGTTCAGAAAAAAAGATGTGTGTGTGCATGCGCTACATATGCAGCCTAATCAATCTCACTATTTTAAACAAACAATCATGTTCTTCTGTCTGTATGGCTTTACATCAAACTAATAATGTAGATACTTTGGAAGAATTCATAATAGCTTTTTAAATATTTGAACAGGTCCTCCTGGACCAGATGGACACCAAGGCCCCAGAGGTAAATTATAAATATTTATTCTCATTGTAGACACTGTTGTTATTATTGTTGTTACCATCATCTTTATTATTATTATTATTATTATTAGTAGTAGTAGTAGTAGTAGCATCCCATTTTCCCCCCTAAAATCTTTTAATGCCTCCCATTCAAAACTATTTCGTACTTAGGAGATGGAAAGAGGATTCCTATCCTTCTGATTATGCCAACAATCAGTGGGATACGTTATAACTGCTTATCTTTTTCCTGGCACTGGTGTACATGGCTTTATACTGGCATATGTTGGGCTTCAGTTGTTTCTGTTGTTCTAAAAACCCTGAGTTTCACCATATTGTTGCATAAAGTACAAATACTAATAGCCCTCTTTGGTTTGGTTATTTCCTAGGAGAGCAAGGCCTTATGGGAACACCAGGCCCACGAGGTCCACCTGGTCCTTCTGGAGATGCAGGGCAGCCAGGTAATGCAGGATGAACCAAAAATATTTATTGGTCATGATTTTGTTTTCTAGTATAATTATGTTGGTGTAAGTGACAACAGTGGTATACGGTGTAATGTGGCAGCAGGAAAAATGTGCTTTGACAATGACAGTGGGAGTGAATGATAACACCCATCTTTATCAGAAGAGAAAGCTGCCCTAACATGATCTAATGACCATGATTTCATAGCTGGTTGGCCCGGGGTTTTTCAGATGCCCCCTCAACCCCTGCTCCCTTCCCAATGTAGAGTGGTGCTGTGGTGGCACTCATTTTGATGATATTGTATTTACTAATTTAGAAAGGTTGTCAGTGTGATTTCCATCTGGTCCTAAGGGATGGTCACATTCTGTACTCAGAGGAAGGGGGTCCCTCCTAAGAGAGAGGCTTGGTAGAAGAGGTGGGCACAACAAAGGAAGGTCAGTGGAGAGGACAATTAGCAGGATAAATATCACAAAGGAATGATAGATAACTAGTTAGGTAACTACAAAGACAACAATGAAAGTATAGCTCTTCAAGATGCTGGAAAAGACTTGAAAAAAAGCCAAATTAATGGGTGCTAAGTCTTTTTATCTACCTGCCCAACACCAAATAAGATGTATTAACCTCACATTTATCATTCTGTACTTAGGTCTCACAGGACCTCAAGGACCCCCAGGTAAGACATTGGCTAGAAAGAGAAACAAGTTTAATGAGCAACAGAGAAATGCTTTATAATGATGCATTAACATTTTTGTTCCTTGTTAAGAAAATGCAAACTGGTCGATCTAAAGCTGATGAGCTGTATTCCTGCTTTAACTGAAATCACACTAGACAAGCTTAAAAGGGGCATGCCAAATTTGTTCAAAATCTCTGAGACTTTGGATATAGATTGCATTGCATGTGCTGAAGGACTGAGAAGACCAATAGTTATAAGTAGGTAGGAAAGAATCTGGTTCACCTTAGCAATGAAAACAGATGAAAAGAAGAATTGTGGTTCCTCCTTGGATATCTTGTGGGTGGGGAAGAAGAATAAGAGGTATACCTTCTAAAAAGTCAGAGAAGGGTCTTTACTTCTGTGAGGGAATACATGCTTTGCATGCAGAAGCTCCAGAGTTGACCCTTGGTGCTTTTAGGCAGGTCTAGGGAAGATCCTTCCTAGAAATCCTAGTCAGTATTGATGATTGGTCATTGATCTGTTCTAGGCGAGTGCAGTTATTAATACTGGGCTTAGCTCAAATAATATTAACAATAGAGATTCTGGCTCAGTATAAAATAGCTTCCTCTGTAATGAAGAAACTCTGGGCACATGATCCTATATGGTTTACTTTATAACACTTATGAGGAAGAAATATATACTGTATGGCACACCATTATTCATTCTGAATTGTCTCTTCAGGACTTACAGGTAGTCCAGGCCGACCAGGACTTAAAGGTGAGTCTGAGTAAAGATTGGAACACTATTCTCAAATTAAGTCATGCACTTGGACATCTCCTTCAATAGTCACACTAAAATCCAGAGGAGATTCACCACCAGATGGAAAAGACCACCCAGCAATGTACCAAATAGTTGTAACAGGGCTGCTGCAGTTGAAATGCAAGATTATAGGATTACAGAGTTAGAAGGGGCTAAACGGACCATCGAGTCCTATTGCTAATCAGTGTAGGATCTCCCAGCCTCTTTGTGAAGATGTCCAAATAAAGAGACTCCACCATCATAACAATTATTCCACACTTTTGTAAGCCACAAATGTCCAAATCAATGAAATAATCAAGTTCAGAAAAACAATCTTATTAAATATTTCAAGTATTAATATTGATACTAGTACGTGTATACTAATACTAGTATAGATATTTGTAACAATTTTTAATAAACTAAAGTGTTCAAATGATTATGCATTTATACATGTGAGATAAGTAAAAAAAACAGCTAGGGAGTTACAAATACATTAAAAGTTTTGAATACTCTTGTAGAATAATAGATTTAAATATTTATTTATTTGCTTACTACATTTATATACCGCTTTTCTTCCCCCTAAGGGAACTCAAAGCAGTATCCAACATTATAAAGACAAAATTCAAGGCCGTACATACATGTGAAAACTGAAAGATAATAGCAAGACAATAGCATATAGCTATAAATTAACCTAATCAAATTAAAACATAAATATAAAATAGCACTGAAACATAAAAATGAAGCATCAATAATACAGTAACATGTATGTTAAAACCCACCAATCAACAACATAATTTAAAAACAGTTATTGAAATCACACCATCCAAAATCAAGTCCATAATTACAATATAAAATTTATATAAATTTAACTACCAATGTGAGAAGGGAGACTTCATAACTGAAAGAGAGACTGCAAATGAACATTAGGTACTGTAGGCTAAATTTTAGAGTATTTCTTATTGAAGAAAAACCCTATGAATGTGTGAGGTTGCCATAACTCAATTTCAGATTTAAAGGCACATACACACAGACTTCAGCAGGTAATAGAGTTTGTTTGAAGCTCAATAAAAGGATTCTGCTTCCTTTCCCCCTGGTGACCACATCATTGGCAGCTGTCAGCTGTCAGAAATGATAGTCTTCTTTAGATCTGGATACAGTTATGATGAAGTGATGCTGTACTCAAGTGGCATACATGTATTAGAGCTGGTGCATCTGGCTTTAGCAACATTGCTTTCTCTCCATAGTCCAAAGTTACAATGGTGATGATTTTGGCAAAGAATTGAATGGCATAGATATACAATGATGAAACAAAATGGTCATCCACAATTCATTTTTCAATTAAGGGAATCTAATGAATGCTGAAAAATTTGGCATCTGAAATAGCCTAGTCATATCCATTCTTCCTCTTTCCACAGGTGAACCTGGACCACCAGGCAGAGTTACTTCTTCAGGCACGTATCCCCATATAGGAAATAGCTGAAACTGCCTCATATAATAGCAATCATACTGCTGTAGTGTAAGCTTTCCAGGTAATTTATGATTCCATCTCTTCTGTGTTTCAGATGGTGGATCCACTATTGCTCTCGCTGGACCTCCAGGCCCACCAGGGGCAGTTGGACCACCAGGCCCACCAGGTGTTCCAGGTAAGAACCTATTTTAATTCTTTGCCATCTGGACTTTGTGGCCTGCCGTGGCTATAGAAATCTCTGTGAATATTCCATTTTGTAGACAAGTATATTATTTGATGTCTTCAGTTCTTCTTCAGGGCAGGAGATTGATTTATCTATTAAGAAATATCACTATTTTTTTGTTTTATTGTTTAAATCCAGGTCCAATTGGCCCTGCTGGTCTTCCTGGAGCTCAAGGTAATGGATGCAATGCAATCCCAACTTCTGTTTCCTTTCTTTGCCAATGCTCTGAAATCAATTCAGCTGACTCTTGGAAGCACTGACTGGATGTGCAATAGAGAGTAGGATCCCTGGTACAGTAGAGTCTCACTTATCCAACATAAAATGAGCTGGCAGAATGTTGAATAAGTGAAAATGTTGGATAATAAGGAGAGATTAGGGAAAACCTATTAAATGTCAAATTATGTTATGATTTTACAAATTAAGCACCAAAACATCATGTTTTCCAACAAATCAACAGAAAAAGCAGCTCAATACATGGTAACATTATGTAGTAATTACTGTATTTACCAATTTAGCACCAAAACATTGCAATGTATAGAAACAGCTGGATCTGGGCAGTAGGCAGACTGCATTGGATAATACAGAATGTTGGATGAGCGAAGGTTGGAGAAGCGAGACTCTACTGTATCTCCAATCTTGATCAGTGATAGTGAGGAATCCTCTAACATCTAGGAGGAAGGGGAAGGGGAACTGGAAGGATGAGGTTTTGTGGAGCTACTATAGCTTGGATTAGGAACTTCAAGCAGTAGATAAGGCTCTTCCCCCCACCCCACCACCTGGCATCTCTTTTGATCTGTTTGTTGTGTATCTATAATACACCAATGTATGAGTTCAGTTCCACTTTAAGTGCAATGGTTCGTTTCTACATAAGAGGATTTGAAGTTTGAGGAATTACTTTTTACTCCTGTCTGTACAATAGACCCTCCACTTTTGCAGGGGTTTGGGGCACAAGAGCCACAGAAAAGGTGGGAAAAAACATGATTTTTTTTTGAAAAAAAAATAAACCCACAATTATTACACCTGAAATAGTGTCTGTAGGCAAAACTCTATGATCAGCATTTCCAGAAGTTGTCCACAGAATAACATTAGAGGAGATTCCTAGATAGAAAATACTCATCAAATCTGCAAAACCTAAACCTGCCAATGTGGAAGGCCAACTGCTCTTTTTCTGACACTTTATTTATAGCGGTAACAGCCATACTCTTTTTTTCTTGGCTGTCCTCCTGTGGTTTTTTATTGCATATATTCATGTCCCTGCGGTAAAAAAAAAAAACTTCATTCTTATATCCCGCCTCCATCTCCCCGAAGGGACTCAAGGCGGCTTACATGGGGACCAATCTCAATATAAAAGGTTACAAATAACACAGTTAAAAACATATAACAGTAAAATATATTAAAACAGTAAAACCAATAAAATGTAAAACACCATAAGGCATAAACCAAATATCAAACAACCAGTTGCCGAGAAAAGTGGCAGATTTGAAACTAATAGGGCAGGACAAGGGCTTGTGCAAATGCAAAACTGTAGGACCGGGCCTGGTGATTCAACGAAAAGATCAGGGCTAGGCAGTAGTTAAACCATTATTCAAAGGCACATTGGAACATCCAAGTCTTCAAGTCCTTCTGGAAGGTAGACAGGGTGGGGGCTAATCTAATCTCCCTGGGGAGAGCGTTCCAGAGCCGGGGAGCCACCACTGAAAAGGCCCTCTCCCTCGTCCCCACCAACCATGCTTGCGACAGAGGTGGGCACAAGTGAAGGGCCTCACTGGCAGATCTTAGTCCTAACACCATTTCATATAGGGAGATACAATCACGAAGATAAGCAGGACCCGAACCATTTAGGGCTTTATAGGTAATAACCTATATTATTTAAATATTTGTTAATATTTTTAAAGGAAAAGGCAGAGTATAATGGATAGAAGTTAATAACATTGCAAAGTTATATAGCAGTATTTCAAAACATATGCCAGAGATTGGCATGTGTTGTATGTATGCCAGATCTTGAAAAGAAATATAACTCTCAAAACCTAACCAGAATGACTTGTGGGTTTTCTTTTCTTTTTGAAGACCTCCTTTCAGCTTAGGTAGAAATTGGAATCTAGCATCTTGAATTTGCAATGAAATGTTGGATTTGAGCCCTGACATTTAAATAATCTGGCATGTTTGCATTCTGATGTAGGTCCTCGTGGTGAGAGGGGCATGCCAGGTGAATCAATTACGGTCGAAACTAGCAGACTGGTAGAGGCTGCTCCTCTTGGAGGTAGGAAATGGTCTTTGTGTAAGCAACTTTATAGTTGTTATAAAGCAGTGCTTCCCAAAGTGAGCAATATTGTCCCTTTTGGGGCACTGGAAGGATCGAGGGGGTGGTGGTTACCTGCGGTGTAATGGGGGGCGGGCAGCAAAAACATAAAGAATATTCAAGGTCAATGCCCACTAAATCCTTCCAGTATTTTCTATTGGTCATGGGAGTTCTGTGTGCCAAGTTTGGTTCAATTTCATCATTGCTGGAGTTCAGAATGCTCTTTGACTGTAGGTTTACTATAAATCACAGCAACTACAACTCTATGACAAAATCAATCCACCCCAACCCCACCAGTGTGGGTGTAATTGGGTATTTGTGCCAAATTTGGTCCTGTGAAAGAAAATACATCCTGCATATCAGATATTTACATTATGATTCATAACAGTAGCAAAATTACAGTTATGAAGTAGCAGTAGAAATAATTTTATGGTTAAGGTCACCACAGCCTGAGGAAGTGTATTAAGGGGTTACGGCATTAGGAAAATTACGGAGATATGACTAATTTCCAGCATGTCCCAATAGTGGAGAATCAGAATTGTGGGGTCCTTCTCATGATCATCAGAAGCTCAGTGCAGAACTGATCTCTTAACAAATTCATGATTTGAGTAGTGCAGATTTTTTCACTAGTATAATTTCATTTTTGGGCATTGTAACCTTCCCACTCCTCAAAAAAAACAAAAGAAAAACCTTTGGGGAAATGTGAAAACATCTGGATCCAATGGTAACCAAAGTTTTATTTTTGGGGGGATGACTACATGGGCAAAAAACACAGCACATATTAGTATGATCCAGTGATTAAATAGCATGGATGGGAGTGTTTAAAGCTAAGCTATATGCTATGGTAAATGCCTGGAAATGCAAATAGTTGCTAGATCACAACCATCCAAGACTCTGAGATTTCAATGCCAAATCCTGATACTTATAGATACCCCCTTGTGATATCACAGTGGCTGGCCCCTGGTGATGTCATTTAAAATGATACCTTAAGTGTTAGCTACATTTGCACAGTCTGTGCCATTGAAGTAAAAATGGCAAGTCTATCAAGTGAGGAAAATGTATGTACTGTACGTACTTTCTAATGAAGCATTCTTGTGCTGAGATTCCTCCCCTTTCCTTGAGGGCTAGAGAAGATGGCCAGGTTCTTGGAATACTATGCAGTTTAGGAACACTTTGTATTTAACACTCAAATAAGACTATACAGATCAGATCCATTCTGGGACTATCAGATGTTGGTAATGAAGTGTTATACTGCCTCCCATATAGCTCCCATATTGCAAAAGCCCAACAAAGTAGAAACCTAAAGCGTGAGGATAAGTCTCCATTGTCAACAACAGGACTTTTACCCTATCCTTTTTTATTCCCATGCTTTTAAAGAAAATTACGAGATTGATTGGGGAAAGTACCAATTGGATCAGGAAAGAGTTATTCATTTACTGTGGTTCAAATTGGATGGAGGGTGTATGCGTTTTCTTTGGGGTAAAAACTTGATGGACACATATTGCATATTTAATATAGTGTGGTGTTTAAGTATAAGTAAAAGCAGCTGTGACTGATTTTGCCCACATATGTCTTGCAAGCATGTATGCGAGAAAATGTTTTGCCAAATATCCCACTGAGTCAAAATTCTTAAACCCATGTGCCAATCAGCAAAACTCCATTGGATTGTACTGAAAGGATTTGGTTGTTAAGGAGGAATAAGTCATCCAAGACTTTTACCCCAAACAGGATTCTTCCTTAATTACATTTGGAGTTAATATTGTTTTTATCCACCTGTCTTCCAGCCCTCTCCCTGGTCTTCTGATCTCCATATACAATAAATGATTTAAGACAAGTCTTCTGAAACAGATTTTCCTCTAAGTTCTTTTAACTGATGGGTTTTATTTTATTTTTAAAATTCCATGTTTCCATCTCAGAAATATCTCCAAGCTCCAGGTATTGTCTCTAAATTGAAATCTGTCTGCATTTCTTTTTCTTCCCCCTTCAGCAAGTGTGCAAGGACCTCCAGGACCCCCTGGACCTCCAGGTCCACCAGGACTACCAGGTATGCATGCTACCATCTTTTGTATCCATTTTAAAAACCACTTAAAGTAAAAAGAGTGGGAAGGAGAGATACACACACACTTTAAATGTATAGTCTCATCAGAAACAACCACTTCACCATATGAATGTTTGGCATCTTATATTAGTAAACCTCAGAAATGAGCACCTGCTTCCTTCATATCATTGCTGGAAAATCAGTTTTCTTGCTTGCTGCTCTATTGATCCACTGTTTTAAAACATTTTATAAGTGATTGCCATATACTGCAGATATAACCACAACCCAGTGCCTTCCAGATGTGTTGCACTACAGCTCTCATTATCCCGAAGCAGTTTGATCAACAAAAATAAGCTTGAAAATGAAAATTACTTTTTATTTGCCTGATTTTCGGGCCATGTGGTACTCCTCACACGGCCCACGGAGAATTGCTGTGTGTTCTCCTATGAGCCCTGCCTGTTGGGCCAATTGGAGGATAATAATGTCATCACATAGGCATGCATTGGTCATTGTATTTATTAGAGTGACTGCCTCCAAAGCCCTCATTGCGAGGCATGCATCTGCTGCTGCTGGAGAAGTTAGTTAGGGGGTAGGGCCAGTGAGGGAAAAGATGGAATGCTTATAAGGAGATTTTATTTCTAGAAAGAAAAAAATTCCCTAAAAATCGGGAAATGACCCAAGCATTATAAAGCATGGTGTGCTAAAAGTGATAGATGAGTTGCCCCATCCTCAAGAGTAGTGATTTTCACCACGCTAGCTCTAAAAATGAAAGAAGGAGAGCCAGAGTGAGCCTGCCCATGTTGGCCAATGGTCCGAAATTTTTTGTTTTTTCAGATGCAGAATGAAAATGCTCATTTTTGAAGGCACACAGAAACGAATGAAACAAACAGAAACAAATAGCGATTCTATACAGATGCACAAGACTAATTGCTGTTATACCACAGGTCTTTGTAACTATTCCAATAGAGTAAAAATTAAAAAAGGGGAATAGACTAGATCCAAGTGATATTAAATCCATTAACTCAGTGGAGATTTATATATACATCTTCCATGTTTACAGGGATTAGGAGTATTGGACCCTCCCATGAAAGTGAAAAAGCATGAATAGGGAAAATGCTATATTTTTACTTGAGTGAAGACCTCTCTAAGAATTTCTAGGTTTTTCAACACAACTCTTTAGTCAACTTCCCCTGAAAGCTGAACACAGAAACTTATTGGATGATCTACAGATTTCAAGAGAGATGTTCTCTCTATAAATTTCTATGTCCTCCAGCAACACTAAAGGAAATTGACCATAAAACCTAGATAATCCAAGAGAGAACATTTTTAATCAAACTCATCAATAATCTGCAAATATCAAAACTGCAAAAGTGGAAGGACATCTGTAGGCAGATTTACAGTTCAGCAACTAATTCAGTGTTTTTACTTTAATAGGGACTAGCAATGAGATTTCAGGTGCTTCAACATTTCACAGATGCGTGTCTAAGATACAACATTTATTGATATGAAAGACCACACAACCTAGCACACAACCAGACAAAAGCAGTTTGCTTTTTTCTGGGCCTACTGGGAAGGGCAAAATGCATCCTCTCCTCTCTTCCCTGCTCAGTTAATTGAGTGCAAACTGCTTTTGCACTTTGAACTCTTTTTGCTTCAACTGAAATAAGCTGACGACAAAGAGAGAAGGTGGGGTGAGGAAAAAGAAACTAGGACATTTTTAAAGCATCTGGGGTAAGGGGGCAGTATGACAGAGAATTGATTGGAACAGTTTCTGCCAAACTGGAACCATTGGAGCATATGGGATATGGCAGTTCTACCATTTGGGAAAGCCTGGATAATGTGATTTGAGTTGAGTGGTGTGTCAGAGATCTTAATGCAAAGGCAGAGAAAAAGGAGCACTCTGGTACAGAGGATCTGTATATGATTCCTACTAGAGTTGCTTGAGAAAGCTAATATTGTACATGAATAAAGTCAATTCATGTACATGTACTATATTATAAGTTAGCCAGGGGTGGAAACCAGCATGATGAAGATATCTGAGCCCTTTCCTGTTGTTGCCATGTTCCCTAAACCTGTCTCTATTTTTAAAGGAGGAATACATGGAATATAATTCTCTTCTTTCTTTCATTTAAACTTCTCATTTTTTTTCCAGGTGTATCCGTTGAAGGCCCTCGAGGACCCCGTGGCCCACCAGGTAAATCACATTTATGAGAGCTCATATTGCCCTGTTGTATTGGGAAAGCATTATTTTGATTTGCAAAAAAATCAAAAGAGAGAGACAGAAGAAAAAGAAGAGGAGGAAGACAAAGATTTTACAACCTAACCAAGAAGAGGCCAGTAGCCATATTTATATGGTGCTTTCTGCATTGCCGTCTTTAATGTTTCTTTTAAATCTGTGTATTAATCAGGAAATACTTAAAGATATTGATCATGTTTGTGGTTTTGTTATTTAGGAGAAGGTCTTCCAGGTCCTCCAGGCCCACCAGGAAGACCAGGATCCTTTGTGCCCACATCAGGTAGGCATTTCCCATTTGTTTTGTAAATTCCCATTCCCATTTTGTATCAAAATTAGGAGTATAGAAGATTTTCTGTGAATCTGATAATATTGGGCATAGCTTTGAACATATAGCAGCATATGGCATTGAATGTTTTCCATGTTTGTTCTGGAACTTGCCCGGAGTCCCTCTTGGGATAGCGCAGGTTACAAATATTATTATTATTATTATTATTATTATTATTATTATTATTATGCTATATCTTGTTTTTGTTGCAGAGATCAGAATTCTGTTCTGACCATGTTATGACCAAATCTCACAATGATTTGTATGTTGTCAGAAAGTGGAGAGATGAGCAAGAACATCTTCAGCTATATTATTGTAGGTGTCTGTGCTGAAAGGACTTCATTTTTAGAGGTCTAACAAGGGCCTGCAGATACACATCACAAATGTCAAACTACAGAACATAGCTGGATGCATCCCTGATGCATCCATCAGGGATGTGGGGGCTGCACTACTTTTCAGACGTATCTAGAGACTTAGCTACATGCTATATGTACATCTCTAAATGCAGGATTTCAACCAAAGAGTCACTAGATGTCATTAGAAAGCATGGCCATCATGTGGCCCCTATTCATATGCATATCTTTGATATTGTTTGGGTTCTTTTTTTTCTCCCAATACAGAAACTTTCTTTGCTGGCCCACCTGGTCCACCTGGTCCTCCAGGTCCAAGGGGAGAACAAGGTGCGTTTTTCTAAATCTGATCATTTGGATACCATGAATAGGTATGTGAAGACCTGATTTACAGCCTGGAGTATATGGCACCATTGAAAGGCCATAAAAGAGGAGAACAATGAAACACACACTCACACATATCCTTGCCACTTGACCATCTTTGTATTGTTCTGAGATGTAATGAGATAGTAAAGAATAAGACACTTTCTTGAATGTAAGAAATTGATCACAAGAAATTGACAATTAAAATAGACCCAGTGAATCTATGAGTTTTACATACCTCTTGCTTGAACTCTTGATTCAAGCATTGGGGCTATCAATGGGATTGAGACCAGAAACAGCCATTGTCACACTGTCGTTTTTGCCCTCATTACTTTGTTGACCCATTTCAACCTAAGAAATATATTCTAGATGCTAAACTTTAATAAGAAAGCCTTTTCTGGTGCCTGTTGGTCATTGGTGTGTATACCTGGGTTAGTTTGCAGGATGTCTTCTAGGGCAGGTGCCTTCAGCCAATAAATTCATTCAATCCATACTGCTAAGTGAGGTGGTTGGAGTATTGTGTGGTTTCCGGGTTGTATGGCTGTGTTCTAGCAGCATTTTCTCCTAATGTTTCACCTACATCTGTGGCTGTCATCTTCAGAGATCCTCTGAAGATTGCAGCCACAGATGAAGGTGAAAAATCAGGAGAAAATGCTGCTAGAACATGGCCATACATCCCGGAAACCACACAACACCCTAGTGATTCTGGCTGTGAAAGCCTCCAACAATACAATGAGGAAGTTGTACTTCCTCGTTCTTTCAGAAACCATTACAAGGTTTCTCAAGACCATGAAGCAGACTCCCGAATGGAAAAAAAATCAACCTGGCTCAGAAATTGGATTCTACTTTAGGTATTATTAGAGTCCTACATTGTTAGAGAGGAGTAGCCTTGGATTTACATAAGGAGATTTAATGCATGCTACTGAATCATGCTGTGTGGTTGCATGTAATGGAACGTTTTAATGTATTCAGCCTCCTGTAGTTTTGCCTTTGATAGAAATAATGAAGATAAAAGTTGCTCTAGCATGTCTACCAGTAATGATGTTGGTCTTGGCCAGGGGACAGGAAATAGACCCTGACTCCACAAGGATCACTGATCTGATGGCTCCTCTTTTTTGCAGGCACACCTGGCCCACGAGGATTCACAGGTAACTATTACTGTTTCATCTCTGTAAGGAGTAGTAGTAGTTAAGGCATTTTAATACTCAAGTTACATGACTTGGCATCTCTCTTTTTTTGCAGGAGAACCAGGCCAACCAGGCCTCCCAGGACTTTCTGCAGGTAACTCTAAAAACGTACCCATTTTTAGCTGGATGCTTTCAGCTCAATCTACTGATTTGAATGGGAATTACTCATAGGGAGATAGGTATAATATTATCCTTATACATTATACAGTTACAGACCTTGGTTGATAGATAGGTGCCACCTGACAGAGAGATCTGGGTATTTCTACTTCCTTTAAGAGCGGAGTGTATCTATGTCTATGTGTTGCATTCACAATTTACATTGGTTATTTTACATCAGGGTGGCACTCATGCAGCCCTCCAATAGTTTCTGGAATGAAATTCCAAGTAGCTCCAATTAGAAGTGTCCATGATGGTGGAAGCTGAGACATTCCAATACTCTTACTCAACCCATTCTAGATGCACATTTTAATAATGCAATGTCATGTGTGTCATAGCACTTCCGTACTCTGTTCCATTTCCACTTCTGAGTCTTTTACTATCTCTATTAGCAGGTGCTGGAGTTGCCATTCAAGGACCACCAGGGCCACCAGGGCCACCAGGACCCAAAGGTTTGTGAGCACTCAGCAGCTCGTCCTTCCACAAAACAATTTTTGTGATCTCACAAAAGCCAGATGGCATGGGACTGTGTGCTTCTGGCCTCCTTAGGTGAAAAGCTTGTCACTGTGTTACCTTGTAGAAACAGCCAAGTTGATGAATGGAGCATTCTGTTTTTAAAATAATGATAATAATTAAAATAATTCCCTTTTTTAAGAATAACCTGTTATCTCCTTCTTATTTCTTCCAAAGAGGCAAAATAGATTCTATATAGTGGTTTTTACTCCCTCATCTCTGGAAATTATACAATTAAAGCTGGCAACCTGTTAGGCCATCATAAATCACATTTTTGGTTATTGCAGAAATTGGTTTTCTTTACTGACCTTGCATAATTATCAAAATTCTCTTTCCCCCCCCCCCCATCATTTTTCCTCCCTGACTCCTCCCCAAACATTTAGTGACATGGGAAGAGTAAGGGGGCATTGAAGAAGCATTTGACTGTGTCTTAGTAGCCAGATGCAGGACAATGAGATCATCTGCCAAGACCTCTAGAATATTCATATGGCAGACAATCTTGCTCTATGGATTCAATTAACAAACCTTTCCCCTCTTTTTTTCCATTAGGTGATGCAGGTGTACCAGGAGCCCCTGGCATTCCTGGAGGAGGTAAAACAATCACACTTTGTTTGCATAAAGAATGTACATATTTGCATGTGATGTACACTGAGGTGGGCAATGTGTGACCCTCCAGGTGCAACTCTAATTAATATTAACTAGCATAGCTAATAACAAAGGATGATGACTATTGTAGTCCAACAACACTCCAGGGGCTACACATTGCCCATCTCTGATGTCAGCTGTTGCAGAAGTCCTCATGCTAAAGCATACTTAGGTGCTGCTAGCATACATCGTAGGGACGAAAATTAAGCATTGTAGGTCACAGAGAAGATAGGTAATAACGTACGGAATCTAATCTGTCTTGATATTTGAAATTTTGACTCTACATTTTAATCATAAGATGAAGTGTGTGTAGATACAAAGTGAGGACCTCCAACATAACTTTTATTATTTGTATGCCTTTTGGATGGGCCACAGAGTGGATTTAGATTTTTTTTGTTTATTTGTTTGTATTTTGACCATCATGGCTATCCCTAAAACATTTCAGAGCAAAGCTGTGTGAAATGGTTTTCCAAAACTCTTGTCACCAATGGTACCATGGAAACATATCTTCAGTTATTTATAGTTTAAATAATAAATAATGGCATTATTTATTATTTAAACTATAAATGCACCAGCCAATAAGTAAAATATGCTTAACTTATAGTTAACTACATTGCATACAATAAACAAGTAGCATCTCTTTGCCTAAGTCCTCCCCCTGACAATTTATGCATCATCATGTAGTTCTTGCACAAACCCATTAGGAGAGCTGATGTGCAAAGATTGTAAGCCACATCAAAATATCCCTTATTGAGCCAGTAGAGATGTTATTTGAAAATCAGGGGCAAATGAAAATGAGGCAATAGAAAATGACACAATTACACAATATACTGGCAAATCTCTTTCCTGAACATGCCAGATAACAGCATTGTGGTATTGTGGCTGAGGAGAAATGTTGTCAAGGAAAAAAATCAGTGGGCAAGAGGTAGTGCTTAAGAACAAGTAACACCCACATACACAGAGCCAGAAACAGTTCCAGGGAGAAACTTGCAAGAGAACTAAGGGTGTAGTAGGTGCCATCTCGTGTTATTCATGGTATACCCCCATAATCATGCAACTATTTATCTATACCTGAGCCTTGAAGATTGCACTCCAGGCTTCTGGAGTGTAATCCATGGAAGTTCATGCAAAAATAAATCTGTTAGTCATAAAGGCACCACAAGACTCCTTTCTTCTCTTTTTTAAGACAAACACACATTTTCTCTGTTTCATTTCACTGAAATGAAAGAGTTTTTGTTTTATCAGCTTGTGCCTTGCTCGCTTGGTAATAAAACCAATTTTACTTCTACAGCGGGATCAAGAACTTCTCAGGGTCCTCCGGGTCCACCAGGTCCTCCTGGACCACCAGGGCCAGGAATGAGCTCCATGCGAGAGATTCAGCAGTACGTCTCCCAGTATCTGCAGAGTAAGTACCCACAGAGGTCTTCTCTGTCTTTTCCAAGATCGCATACATGTTCTTGTCTTAAACTCAGGGTTTGTCAGGAAAATCTAGACTCATTGTGCATAGACTACTGGTTGTCTTCATGATATACAGCAGCTTCTGATCTTTCAGCTATACTCTGACTTTGCAGTGCTTTAAGCAAAGTCAGCAGATACTTCAAAGTTTGCTCAAAACTCTTGAATATCCTGAAGTAGTCTTGACAGCTGCATCAGGTTTGACCCATTGGCCTGATCCCTTGTCCAGACAGGCACTGTCCCATCACCCTTTCCCTCTGCTGGTCAGCACAGGGAGAGGAGATGTGTCCCCACCACCATAATCTCCTAACCCAACATGGAGCTCCACCTGAGCACCTGTCCATTAACCTCTGCTAATGTCACAGAGGGTCATCTGCATGACCAACAAGAAGAAGGAAAGATCACAGTCTTTCTTGTGGGTCATGTGAACATCCCATTTTGTCATTAGCAGTCACTCACAATGGTCATAGGTTTGAACACAGCTCAGTTTACAAGGCCAATGTGGTCTAGACCACATTGGCCTTGTGGTCTAGACCTGCCTCCTGGCAGAATTAATTGAACATGGACTCAGGTGCAAAGAGAAGGTCAACAGAATGCTACAGTTAATTCATAATTTGCTCATCTAGACTAGGACCTGATCTACACCCCATGGAGTTTGTGGTGACAGACTGAAGTGGTAGAATTCTGGACAGTATTAGTTCTCCAATACCTTTAGGAGATTGTAATAACTTTTCAATCTAAGAGGGTTTCCTGAAGACGCCCTTCCTGTGCAAATATACTACGACATTTGTTTAAGTTTATAGAAGTTCTACACAATGTGTTCAATTTGTACTCATCCAGTTTATTTCCTCAGTCTCTTTCTTCATCTGATAAAATCCACTAAGGAATGGGATGGAATAACTGCACGTTGCCTTTTAATTGTGAACAATAGGTGTCATAAATATCTAAGTGTTTTATTGAAAATTATCACAATCATATAAAAGTAGCAGCAGTAAACACAGGAAACGAGTGTGCAAATCTACTCTGAATCAGATTGATAGCTCAATAGTGTCTACTACACTGACTTGCAGTGGTTGCTCAGAGTTTCAGACAGAGGCATTTCCACTCCATGTGGAAAGGATGCAATTAAGATCCTACAAAAATCTATAAAGTCAGAGTAGACATTACATTTCCAAAGTATCCACTATCCAAACCTCCGTCAGTCATGCTTCTCTTCTATATCCATCCTCCAACTCTTAGACAACAACACCCATTAAACAGCATGGCTAAGATAGCTAGTTGGGAAATAACGGGACTAGATAATTGGTATAGGTCCAATTCTTGCCGAAGGAAGGAACAAGTTTTCTCCAACATGGTGCCATATGCTTAATTCTCACCAGCCTTACCAGGCATTAGTAATTACCAGGCATAATATCAGGCCCCTTCTACACTGCCCTTATATCCCAGGATCTGATCCAAGATTGTCTGCTTATCCCAGATTATATGGCAGCGGAGTCTCCTATAATCCAGTTCAAAGCATATAACCTGGGATCAGATCCTGGGATATAAGGACAGTGTGGAAGGGGACTGAGTTGTAATTCAAGATCTTCTGCAACACACTACCTTTGGAAAAAGCCTATGCATACATTTCATGTCAACTAAGCATTAAACGTATTAGGCAGGCCCTGCATGTTTGTCACTCAGGATTCCACATCATGCTTTCCAATGTTTTCCTTGAGAGCTAGCAAGAACTATTCATTAGATACATAGGAAAAATGAAGAACCCTCAAAAATGTATTCTTAAAGTTATCCTGATAAAAGTCCCCAAATAACAATGCTCCTCAATTCTCATTGAATTTTATAGTAGCTTTATTCTTCTGTTTCATTAGGTGACTCTGGACGTTATCTCATTGGACCTCAAGGCCCACCTGGTCCTCCAGGACCTCCAGGAATCTCCATTGGTGGCTCATCTTTGGACTATGATGAATTGGCCCGCCGTGTTATGAACTACATGTCTAGTAAGCACCATATTTAAGTTTGCATTCCTGCCAGTCAATCTAGCTTTTTACATGTGACTACAATAACAATAAGGACCAGATTTATTCTTTTCTTGTTTGTCAGGCATATATGAGTATTTTGGGGCACTGCCGCTTTTTGTTTGTAGTCATCATCTCAAAAAAGTCTATTTCTGGTTGTTTCATTACACAACAGATCGCTTGGCAAGCTGTTGGTTTTTATCAGATCTTTTCTCTCTTTCGGTACAATATCTCACCAGCCTTCCAGGTTCTTTAGCACTTCAGTTTTCCTATTTCTGAAGCCACTGTGGCTTTTTCAGCAAATATGTTGAATTAAAGCAAAATTCAATATAGAAAGATTATTCTGAGCTATTTTATATGACAAAACCAGATACCAATTTATTTGGAATAAACCCCATTGAAAGCGTTTCCAGCCAGGGTGGATTCCTAATAAATTCAATTAAAAGCATGTGGCAATAAAAGTGATACTGAATTGTAGTGCAGTGTTTAATGGTACTCTTCAGTTCTACAACTTTCAATGAAACTTGCATAGGAATTCATTTTTGTGGGATTACACCCTTTCTCCCTTTATTTTTAGTTTTATTGCCAAATCTGAGTCGAAGGTACAGTTGGTGTCACCTAAAATTATATCATCTGCTGCAAACTTAGTAAAAGCAACTAACATGTTGACCATGAAAGTGGCTTGTCCATGATTAATGGGAGAATAAGCATTGAAAGCTGAGTTCCTTTTATCAATTTTACCTTTAATAAAAATTAAACCTTCCTTTGAGACCCCTTAAACAGCCTATAACCTCATCTTGACATGTTTTAGAAAGCATTGTGCCAGGTATGCCAGAGTGTTTTATTTGTAGTAAGTCTGTGGTGGACTATTTTTTTTACTAGAATTTGGGGGCTCTTCAAGTGAAGTCAGGTGCAAAAAGTATTTCAAGAAGACAGCCACTTAATAGCTCAGTATTAAAACTGAAGTTACAATTCTTACACACATATACACACACACAAGCTACTCCTAATTTCTTAACAAGCTTTCTGTGTTTTAGCAGCTTGATTTTAATCGGCTGTGTGCATGGCTTTTTGTTGTTGAATAGTTAAGTAAGAAACCCTTAAAGATCAAATGCAGACCACACCACTGTATATCAGCAAATTCCAATCTACATTTTGATCTAAGGAGTCATGATGTTTGTGCAAGTGTTGTTCTCCTTCATGGTCTCTGTGAAATGCACACATATGGTAGTTGATGCACTATTGGTGCGAATTTCACAGATGACTGACAGATCAGCGGTTTGAATCTGGAGAGAGCGAGTTGAGCTCTATCTGTCAGCTCCAGCTCCCCATGCAGGAACATGAGAGAAGCCTCCCACAAGGATGGTAAAACATCAAATATCCGGGCATCCCCTGGGCAACATCCTTGCATAATGCCAATTCTCTCACACCAGAAGCGACTTGCAGTTTCTCAAGTCACTCCTGACATGAAAACAAACAAACAAAAAAACAACCATCATTTCTCCTTCATGGTCTCTGTGAAATGCACACATATGGTGCCTCGACTACCATATGTGCAAATTTTGCAGATGACTGCTCAAAGAAACATGGTTACAGCTAAGCAACCCTCATTTATGAACATTACCAAAAGGAGGAACCCTCAATGCCATTAATTATCCATACAGACCTTTCACCATGTTCTTAGAACAATGTTAGAAGGTAGTGTATTCATCTGCCAGAACAGATTGTCTCACCACTGTGATATCTTTTAATCAACTTCCCTCCATTATTGTTCAGTTTCTTCTTTTGGTACATCGAGAATTTCCTTTCCAGTCTTCTGTTTCCTCTGTATTTATATGACTGTTTTTGTGTTTTCCCCCAAACCAGCTTCAGGTTCCTCATTTGGCATGTCATCCTCTTCTATCTCTTCTTCCTCAACCACACTTTCTTATGAAGATCTTCTTGCCTTGCTGCAGAGTAAGTTGATATAGTCCAAATACTGCAGAGAATCAGTACCATTCAGTACTTATGGAAATCTGAGGGGAAAGTATGTTTATACAATAGGATTGTTAGCAGCATTCTTGAGGACTCAGCAAATCTGGTTCTATTTCCAAACATGTTGGCCAATTACTGTAAAAGTACTAGAATGATCAACAACCAAAGGAAACCAGGTTGATTTGCTTCATTTAGTGTTCTAAACAACAAAGAATAAGGAAATCCTTGCAGTGATTTTCTGTTTTTCTAGGTTCTTTTCATTTTATGACTAAAAATATTAATATTAAAAAAAATTAAAAATGAAGACTAAAAATAGCCTCAAACATATTAAGATTTTTATTTTGTTACATTCATGTGATGGTTCTCCAAAGCAAGTTTCTGGCTGGAAGTCCTAGGAGAGTGGGGAGGAAAGTGTAGTCCTTCAGATGTTATTGAGGTGCAATTTCAATCATTGCTGGATTGGAAAGGTGGGAATTGAGCAAAACATCTGGGGAGCATGCATTTTCACTCATGTGCTGTTATATTCATGTAATTTTGACAGAAAGATGTAATAGGAAGTTTTTGTTATGTCACTGAAATTGTAAATGAGTTATTGTAGTTACTAGCAACACAGCAATCAGTAAGCATGGAAAACTAAAATCAGTGAAGAAGGCATTTATAAAAACAGGAGGTCAAACATGACAAAATTGCTTTGCAATGAAGAATTGAGTAGAATTATCTGAGCTCTTATGCTGCAAGTCATATGATTCTCTTGCACCAATTTTCTTTCTTTTAGGAGAGGAAATCCGGCCATATCTCATTGGTCCCCAAGGTCCCCCAGGTCCACCTGGGCCACCTGGACTGGGAGGAGATGGCTCATTTACATCATTGGACTATGATGAAATGACAAGACGGGTTATCAACTATATGACAAGTAATTACTCCATTTTTTGTTATCCAGTCCCATCGTTCTACATGGTGGTCAGAGTTATTTCCTCAGTAATATCCCATGAGGAGAAATTTAGCTTTCCATACCACCTGTTGTTGCTATCCCATTAGAAAAGTCTATTATATCCCTATGGCTGCTTTCTACTACTTTTTTCTATGTGACTATGGAAAACATTTCTTGGCCTATGCTAATTGATTGTTGTCAGTTTGAAGTTGCATGAACAATCAACATAGTGCTATTAGTCATGATGCTGTATTGCTCCAGCAATCAGCATACCATATTTTAAGGACTGAATTTAATATCATTATTTACAGAATAATCAATGAAATTTAAAACGATCATAATTTTGTCCACTGGTGGGAATCATTCGGACCCCCAGATGTTGTTGGACTGAAACTGCTAGTATTCTTCACATTCGTTACCCTGAGTAGGATTGTTGAGAGTTGTAGTCCAACAAGAATGGAAGGATGAATGAATCTCTCCTGATTGAGATCCATTAATTTCAGTTGGTTTACTCTGAGTCATAGAATCATAGTTGGAAGAGACCACAAGGGACATTGAATCCAACCCAACATGTTTATTTTTCACTATTACTGTTCACTATTTTTCACTATTTTGGTTTAAGAGTTCCTCTGCTATTAAGACAACCAAGTTATGCTCAGTTGTGTTTGCATGTGGTGTCATTGCTGTCAAAAGATGAAAAGATATACAAATTTTCCATTTATTGTGATCAGGCCATGACTGTTAATTCACAAGATTCCATGGGAAATTATATTCTAGCCTAAAATGGAAATAACACATCCCTCCAGATGTTGGGTGCAAATTTCTAGCCAACATAGGGAATTGTGAGGAATGCTGGAAGTTGCCATTCACATCTGGAGATCATATATCATAACCAGAGAACATTTTCAGGTTTTCAGATAATTAAGGTAGTAAAATGCTGTAATTTTAAGAGACATGCAGATAAGCAGGCATTGTACATAGGGCTGCTTTTAAAGTAAAGGTAGGTTTTGAATATGTTCTCAGGATGCTATATATATTATGTCTTCAACACATTAATTAGCATATATTTTGTGAAATAATCTTGCAGAAATTATTAGAAGTTATTGACAAGCAACCTGAACATCATTCAACAAAATGTGCCATTAAGACATAATAACTCTGGCTTCCATCAGCTATAAAAATTAAAACAATCTGTATTTTTAAGTTCCCCTAACAGTCAACTTGTCTAAGCTTCTGTGTAACACAAAGAATCTAAGATATTTTTCCACAACGAAGGCCAAAGTCAAATCTGCCATTCTGCCAAAGGGTTAGGGTGGCCAGACAGAGCTTGTCGGGCACTACTAAATTAAAAGGACATTGTGTAATATTTTATCTTTCCATCCTTAATGGATTTTCTCTGGTGAGAAGAAGCTGGAAGACATTCTGGGAAACCAGGTGGATAGCTTTGCCCCTGTAAAATTCCAAGAATGGGGCAGTGTAGTTGCATTATAAAGACATCATGTGGAAACACCGTGAGCTCCTCACATACACCATCGTGTGTGTTTACATAAGGTTGAATCATTGCTTCATATTTCTAGGGTTCAGTTAAAGTGAATTAGATGTGTCGCAAATAATTTCTTCTATTCCAATTTTTGAAATCTATAAATTTTTACAACTTTTTCATTTCTAATTCTCTATTAGGTTCTGGTATTAGTATCGGCCTTCCTGGCCCACCTGGCCCTCCTGGTTTGCCTGGAACATCTTATGGAGACATCCTAGCTCTGCTCCGAGGTAAGTCTTGTAATTCTATCAAGCCATTTTGGAAGGCAATGTGTATTGACTGACAATTTTAGGATCTGTGTTTCTCATGTTGTGCCTGTGATAGAGAATGGGCTAAATACAAAAAATAATTATTAGTCCATTCTGACTAATAAATTCCATTTATTCAGTGGGCCCGCTTTAGGTAGGACTAGCTTTCTTTCAAGTGTAATCCGAAGGTTCATTGACACTCAATTTGTCATCTCTAAATCTTAGGGTTGGAAATTGAATCCATGCATTTTATTCAGTGAACCAGGTAGGAACCAGGAGGTGGATAGTAAGAGATTAAACTTAGTGGGCCATTTCTACTTCACCTAAGATTAGGAAACGGAGACAAATCTTGATTCAGAGATGTATGAATAAGCTGTGTGAGCTGTGTCAAGGTTACACATACTTTGCAGGTTTATTTAGCTATGCTACAATAAGTTCTACAGTGAAATACAGGAGTAGGAGACTGAATGGTCTACATTCATTTACTAAGAGATGGAAGACAGAAAAATCATCCTGCTTATTGTGTGATTCTGTTCAGGCAAGAAGTGAAGAAATAACTGTGCCTTGCTTGCATAGGGAGGAAAGGGATTTAATCCTGTATTGGGGCTTCTGGTTCAACTTCCTTCAAGTTGCTTCTGGTTGCACTCTGGCACCACAAGATGCAGAGCCAACCTTAAGAAATGGGGCCACAAAGTGGAGTCCACGATTTGTGAGTGTGGAGAAGAGCAAATCACAGACCACCTATTACAATGCAGTCTGAGCCCTTCCACATTCACAATGGAGGACCTTCTTATAGCAACATCAGAGGCACTCCAAGTGGCCAACTGCTGGTCAAAGAACATTTAATATAATGCCAAGTTTTTAACTTTGTGTTTTTAAATACATTACAACTGTACCCTTGGTTCTCTTCGGACATGATAAATAAATCCACTTCCTTTGCTTTTTTTTCAGACTCTGAATTTAGTGGCATTGTGGGACCACCTGGTCCTCCAGGCCCACCCGGGATACCAGGCAGTGCTCTTTCCGGCCTCACCAGAGAGGAAATCTTGACATATCTGCAAAGTAAGAACATCTGCCAGACTCTGTATTTGGGAAGCTAGTGGGATTCTGTGGTTTCTTGGAGATGGTGTGGGATGGGCAGAGAACTAGGAGACTATGGCCATCCAGGGCAGAATAAGGACATCTTGTCCGATACAGCTAAATGCAGGATAATCCAGTGATCCCAACAACCCAAGTGGTTTAGTCAATGGGCCAGTGAGCCAATCAACTGAGCCAAAATGTTTTAAAGATGAAAATTTGCTTGAATAACCATACAGTATTTGTTATTTTGGAAAGTACATCCTAGACAATTGGAAGTGATTGATGATAAATTTCACATGTTGAGAAGTCTCTTCCCTCATCCCAGCTGAGTCCAGCTGATTTGAATTCTCTCTTATGCTCACCAGTCAGCAGCAGCAGCAGCAGTGGCCTCTCTTGGTATTTGACAGCTGCAGGAACGAAGGGGAGGGCAAAGTAAAATTTTGTTGCGCGACTTCAAGTGTTTCCGATTTATGGCAACCCTAAGATGACCTTATCACTTAGTTTACTGAAGCTGACCTAAGACAGAGACCCATTTCTCTCCTACACACCATTCAAAAAGCAAGCTGCGATGCTGCTATTAAATCATCAACTGGATTATATCCTGAAGTGGTTCTTGTAGATGCATTTACCAGAGAAGATTAGATCTTATATGGTTTTTAATAGTTGATTTTAATGTATTGATATGCTATGATTTTTAATTTTTTAACTGATTTTAATGTATGTATATATTGTATTTTTATGTTGGTATGGCACTGCATTATTGCCAATTTGAAAGCCACTCTAAGTCCCCTTCAGGGTGAGATAGAGTGGAGTAAAAATAGAGTAAATAAATAAATAAAGCAAATAAAGATGGCTTGCTGAACATAGGGATCATTGCTTATTAAGCAAGTGTAGGGTTGTGTTTTACAGCTGGAAAAACCTAAAGGGTTAAAGTATAAATGGGAACAAAAAAAATCAAAATCCTCATTGCTCATCCTAAACCAGCATCATCTTGAGTGGATGTTTCTTTGTTAACCAGAACATTGTTGTTTTCTTCTTCTTTTTCTTTAAGGTGTGGGGTATTCATCCCTTTCTGGACCCCCTGGGCCACCCGGGCCCCCAGGGCCACCTGGCCTTTCAGGATCTGGCTATGTTTCTCAAGGTGATGGTATCTGGACTGACGAGTTCAGGAGTGATTTGATCCAATACCTTACTAGTAAGTCACATATTATATAAACAGAAAGATCCACACATGAACACTTCTGCAGTTCTCCTTGTTATAACTAGCCCTTGCTCATCTTGCAATTTCAAGTCTGGGCCTCATCCTGGCTCCCTGCCTAGGACTGATCTCATAGCCCATTCGTAGCAGCTGATAAATCCATATTGCAGCTGTTAAGCTGGACTGACAGGCCCCTTGAGAAAATAAAAGTGTTTATTATGGTTTTATTTCAAGATGGAGCCATCGTTTTTCCCTGTTTCGTTTTCTTTGGCCTCCTTGGTCTATGGAAAAGGCATTTTCTCTCATCTGTCCTTTCATAGGAACTGTGACAACTTAGGATGTCTCTTCTGCTGGTGGAGTATTATTTCTACTTCCTTGTCCTGCTTTTTTAAATAAAGTCTTCAACCCAGATTTCATTATGATGCCTGTCACACTAAATTGCTTTATTCTTTGTTATGCTAAAAGTGATGTGCAACAAATTATTGCAACAGGGATCAAGTTACAAATTAAAGCACTGGGGGACAAACAGCAGGAGAGGAGAAGAATCAGAATAGTTGCCACGAAGTCTAATTGTTTTACTACCAAGTGGTTAAAAATGTAGATTTAATCAATTGGTTCATTTTTATTTATTTGTTCAGGCTTTTTGAGTACTACCCTTCACACATTATAATTTACAGTGAAATATGCATCTAATCTATTGCAATAAGAAGTAATATTTGTATGTTGAAACTGCAGAATACAATACTCATTAAAAACTAGAGACAGTCTAGTGAGGGGTACAAACATCCTTCATCCTTCATTTGTAAATATTTATTTCCAAGACTATTTCTGTACTTTGCATTAATTGAAACTTGGCCTATTTTGATAAGCACTTGGCATGTAGAGTGATTTTTTCTATAGCACATCCTTCCTATAGCAAAGGACAAGGCAGTTGATCCAACCATTGCAGATCTCTGCACGGCATTTCTCAACAATCTACAATTCCCAATTGGAGTCTCAATCAATATACCTATACATTGCAGATAGTTTGTCAGCTCTGCTCTTCTCTGTTGCTTTACAATAATACATCCTTTACAATACTCTGCAGATCAGTCTATTATCTGGGTCTGTCTTAAAACCCACTAATATGTTTTATAGGTGAGGATGTACGTGGCTTCATCAGAGGACCTCCAGGACCTCCAGGGCCACCTGGGAACTTTATGGCTGAATCTTACAGAGGGTCTGCAAATTCAGACGGGTCATATGGCAGGTCTTCAAGTTCTGGCATGTCTTATGATGCATCCTTAGCCAGAAGGGAATCCTATAGCAGTTCATTGGGAAGCAATGGAGAACTTGATGGATCGCTTGGAGCTGGTGGAAGCTATGGAGGCTCACTTGGAGCAGGTGGAAGTTATGGTGGTTCACTCGGAGCAGGTGGATCTTATGGTGGCTCACTTGGAGCAGATGGATCACAGATGAGATCAGCAGGTGCAGGAGGCTCCTATACTGGGTCATTTGCTGGATCACTGGATTATAATGAGCTGGCAACCAGAGTGTCTGAAAATATGCAGAGTAAGTAGGACCATATTTCGCTCATGCCACATGAAATGATTTGGGCAAACAGCTGCAGCACAGAACCAAAGAAAGTCTGGAATCCCATATGTTTAATATTATGACCATGTATTAAACATGTTTGATTGTCTTAGACAGAGGAGTGCACTGCTTCCCTCATACAATGTCTATCCCACATCTTCTTTCTATGGGGGTGTGAGGATATCAGCCAGAGAACACCTTGTGGATATTGGAGACATTTTTGGCTATGTTCCTATAACCAGATGCAAAATGAAGAAGGCATCCTCTGAGACCTCTTGGAAGAGAGAAGATATATTATAGTTCCACCTGATTGGAACTTTATGTTTTGTAAAAGAAGATTTTAATGTATAATACATGCATTATACTTTATTATATATTCCATTTTTAAAGGGAGCATGGGAGGGAAATTCCACTCCTATATATATGTTTTATAGAGGCCTCACTGACGGAATTTCACCTAATGTCTCAGAGTTCTGCATGTGTGCTGTGTACATCTGAGGGTTGCTAACAATTAGCATTCTTGGGAATGCATTTTTTAAAGACTTCAGATGTGCACAGACATACAAAATTTTATTGAGTCAGAGGCACTCCCAAAATCAGGATGTGAGATGCTTAGATCTATTGTCGTTATTGCAAAGTATCAGTCCGATTTGATGTAAGTTATGTCATCAGAGATAACATTTCAGATAGTCACTGCATAAGTGCTAAATATTGTTTATATCAAACTCATGTACCAGATTAGATATTTGCTTGTATATATGCTAATATTCAGCACTTTGTGTTGAATATTTTTCTCCTAGAGTTTTAGAGATGCCTTAAATCAGCAGAGAAGGAAAATGCCACAACCCCCAACAGTGAAAAATATCATTTTGTGTTTATTCTTTCTAGAATGTAATTGTATAGCAACCATTTTTGACAGCCAGAATAGATTTTTCAGTTCATAAGGGTGGAATGACTGTCACTTTTGCTTTGAGTTTTCCAATTCAAGACTGTGTTTACCCTTCCCAGGCCGAGGTCTCCTCCAGGACATGATGACTTATGCTATGCAAGGGCCACCTGGGCCTCCAGGACCACCTGGCATCCCAGGCATCAGCAGGGTGTTTGCATCCTATGGCAATGTCACTGCAGATCTCATGGATTTCTTCAGAAGTAAGTAATCCTTGCCATATCCTTTATCATACTGTTCATCCTTCCTGTAGTTTTATGTCGAGCTGTGAACAGTAGAATAAAGCTTTTTGAGATACCGGATTTCATACAGAATCCCTCATCGTCAGATGCGGAGCCACAGTGGTACAATGGATTAAACCCTTGTGCCAGCTGAACTGCTGACCTGAATGTCGGCAGTTCAAATCAGCAAAATGGGGTGAGTTCCCATCTGTCAGCTCCAGCTTCTCACGAGAGAAGCCTCTCACAGGATGGTAACACACCTGAATGTCCCCTGGGCACCCTCTCTGCAGATGGCCAATTTTCTCACACCAGAAGCCAGTTGGAGTTTTTTTAGTCATTTCTGACATGATTAAAAAAAAATCCTCAGATGAAAATGGGTATCTATTGAAAGAGTATAAACTCTTGTGCTCAGCATTAAGGGCATTGATCTCCTGTAGAAAGACTGGTTTTTTTGAAGCCACCACACTGTTTATAATAACAAAAATAAATTGTAATAAGCAGATCTCCTGACATCCTATAACTTGTTCATTTTTCTGCAGCTTATGGAACAATTCCTGGGCCACCTGGACCAAAAGGAGAGATAGGATTCCCAGGACCAAAAGGTAAATATGTGAATGTCATCCTTATGTAGTCTGTAGAATCCAAGGTAGAAGAAGTATGCCTCTTCTCAAGTTATACTTTCCTTCTGACTCCCAAGGAAGCATGCAGATCCCATTTCTGTTCCCTGTGGTGCCCTTCCAGTGTTTTTCATTTCAATAAAGGGCCCTTCCACACAGCCATATAACCCAGAATATCAAGGCAGAAAATCCCACAATATGTGCTCTGAACTGGGTTATCTGTGTCCACACTGCCATATATTCCAGTTCAAAGCAGAAAATGTGAGATTTTGTTCAGCTGTGTGGAAGGGGCCTATGTTTACAGAATTTCCATATACTTTCAACCAAATGGTTATCATGTACTTCCCACTGAATTTCCAATACCTTTTATCCTATTTACCATCCCAAAGGCTTTCCACACGTACAGCATATAGTGCCTCTGCTTCATAGTGGTATTGTTGTTGCTGTTTATTCATTTGGTCACTTCCGACTCTTTATGTCCTCATGGACCAGCCCATGCCAGAGCATAGTGATACAGAACAACATCAATTCCTTTTCTTGGAGTATATTCCCTCTTAATAATGTTACTCTCAGGAGTGGAGAATGGCAGGCCATCTAGGGGGCAATTTTAATTTCCTCTAGACTTCTCAAAATGAAAAACACTACAAAAACAAAATCAGGAGTGGAAGTACATCTCCAGTTATGAAAAAATAACCAGCAGGGGGCCTTAGTAACCTGTTTGAAAAGTGAATAGTTGTTCCTGCAAACTTTCAGAGTAATTCTCATAGGGGTCAGGGGATGGAGAAGATTAATCAGGAAAGCCTAGGGAATCTGGAGTGATGGAGAGCCACAGAAAAGGCCCGATTTGCTATGTATAGTCGTTGGATATCACTTTCCTCACTCCAGATTTGTATGAATAAATGGACAAGCGGAATACAAAGAATTCTGATTGGTGGAGCATTTAAGTACAATAAGGTAGTGCAATGGCTATGAACACTACTCACCTTTGGATCAATTCTGGTTCACCCCACTACTACAACTAGGGAATTAAAAGACAAAATAAAGAGTTCGGAAGTGGCAAATTTGTGGGCACTGTTTAGTCTCATCTTTTCCATCCAGGACCTTACTCCTATTGGTCATATAAACTAAAATAAACCCATTGAATCAACAATAGGATTGTGGGTCAACACAAAGGTAAATCCCACATATTCAATAGATTTACAGCCATTAAGCTGGCAGAATGATTCAGGCTCAGATGCTCAATTCACCTGAGCACTGAATGACAGAAAGGTAACTTTTAGGAAAGGTAAAAGTTTTCCCCTGACATTAAGTCCAGTCATGTCCGACTCTGTGGGTTGGTGCTCATCTCCATTTCTAAGCCGAAGAGCCGGCGTTCTCAGCTGACACCTCCAAGGTGGCCAGCATGACTACATGGAGCACCATTACCTTCCCACCAGAGCAGTATTTATTGATTTTTTTCGAACTGCTAAGTTGGCAGAAGCTGGGACTAACAGCGGGAGCTCATGCCCCCCCCCCCCCAGATTTGAACCAACAATCTTTTGGTCTGCAAGTTCAACAGCCCTTTAATTTAAAATATCTGGATTTATATGGTTCTGAAGAGTATTAAATAATTGCATGATGATGAGCTGTTTTCCAATTAAACCATTCTTGGCCATAGATGCATCTACAATATAGAAATAATGCAATTTAACACCTCTTGAACTGTCGTGTTTGCACTATGGAATTCTGTGATTGGCAATCTGCTGAAGCACCAGTTCTCTTTGGCAGAGAAGGCTAAAGAATTATAAAACTACAACTCCTATGATTCCATAGCATTAGGCCATGGCAGTTAAAATGGTTTCAAACTGCAATAATTCTACAGTATAGATGCACCCCATGTTTATTCAGTTACCTATGGTTCCCTTCAGTGTTAAAGACTTCCTGAAAGGGTTACTTGTTCTAGCTTTATTATCCCTTCAAAGACTTGGTGTGATGATCATGACTTGAATTTGCTATGTTTTTTGAAGTCTGGCCGGTGTGCCATTGCTGGCTTTCCTTTTAAAAGCACAAAACTCCATTTTGTGAGTTTGCAAAAGCAGCCGGCTCTACTGAAGTGGGTGTATGTCTATTTAATTTTCCTTTGTTTGGTTCCGTTTGTCACCGATTGGGAGTGAGATTATCATCCTGGCTCTCTGCCTGTTCTCAGGCAGGAGATACTAATTCAAATGCTGAAACATTTGTAGCCCAAAAGGTGTGGTTACTTAGTTCTTGTGCATGAGGTAATTTGTGGTTGATCTTGATTTAATTGGGAGGTTCAGGAAACAAACATTCTTAGCAAAATCAGGTTTGAAAGGAGCTGGGTCAGGTTTTTTTTCCTTTACCTCCTTTAAATGGCCTGGATTAATGACACTGGAATTTCTGCATTGATACCTTCCTGGTATTTCCACCCAAGCTAATAATAGGATACATTTTGGTCTACAACTCCCAGGGGCCTGAATCACCACAGCCAGTGCTAAGGGGCTGCGAGAGTTGTAATCCAAAAGTTCCCAAGCCAACTACTAAGGGCAGTCAGTTAGAGCTTCCTCTTTAAAATGAAACATCTGTATTTTATAAATGACATTCAGGACCCTGGAATGACAACAGAGCTTTGCTGTCTTAACTTCTTCTGATTGTTGCTGTTGTTCTGTACCTTCAAGTAATTTCTGAGTTATGAAGACCTTAGGGCACTCTGTCATAGGGTTGGTTTGGCAAGTTTGTTTGACTTCAGTGCCTATCTTTATTAATGACTTAGATGAAGAGTTAAAAGGCATGATCATCAAGTTTGCAGACAACACCAAATTGGGAGGCATAGCCAATACCCCAGAAGACAGGAACAGAATTCAAAACTATCTTAACAGATTAGAGAGGTGGGCCAAAACTAGCAAATGGAAGTTAACTGGGACAAATGAAAGACACTACACTTAGGCAGAAAGAAATGAAATGCAAAGATACAGAATGGGAGGTGCCTAGCATGACAGTAGTATGATTGAAAAAGATGTTGGAGTCCTTATGGACAAGTTAAACATGAGCCAACAATGTGATGCGGCGGCTGAAAAAGTCAATGGGATTTTGGCCAGCATCAATAGGAGTATAGTGTCTAGATCCAGGGAAGTCATGCTACCCCTCTATTCTGCCTTGGTCAGACCACACCTGGAATACTGTATCCAATTCTGGGCACCACAATTGAAGAGAGATGTTGACAAGCTGGAATGTGTCCAGTGGAGGGTGACTAAAATGATCAAGGGTTTGGAGAACAAGCCCTATGAGGAGCGGCTTAAAGAGCTGGCATGTTTAGCCTGAAGAAGAAAAGGCTGAAGGGAGACGTGATGAGAGCCATGTATAAATATGTGAGGGGAAGTCATGGGGAGGAGAGAGCAAGCTTGTTTTCTGCTGCCCTAGAGACTAAGATGCAGAACAACGGCTTCAAACTACAGGAAAGGAAATTCCACCTGAACATTAAGTCAAACTTCCTGACTGTGGGAGCTGTTCAGCAAAGGAACTCTCTGCCCCGGAGTGTGGTGGAGGCTCCTTCTTTGGAGGCTTTTAAGCGGCTGGATGGCCATCTCTCAGGGGTGCTTTGAATGCGATTTTCCTGTTTCTTGGCAGGGGGTTGGGCTGGATGGCCCACGAGGTCTCTTCTAATTCTAATGTCCACCATCCTAGCTGTAAAACATGGTAGGAATTGGAGTTGAACTGGAGGGTCACAATTTCTGCACTTCTGGCATAGAAACAATAAAGAATTGTTGCCAAAATAAGGCTGTCATTACCCTCAGTTTCTAGGTGACACAAGTTTAAAAATGTGCTCCAACTGTTTATCCCAGATGAGGGTATCATGTGAGATGATTGTGGCATCAACTTCAGATGATTTGCATGTTATCTTTCAAAGACAGAACTAATTAGACTTTTGAGTTTGGCACTAAAGCAATTAATGATCTAAAACTGTGTTCCAGAGTGTTCTCTCACTGAAAAAAAAAACTGAAGTTGGAAGGCAGGCTTTTCAGGAAGTGTGCCTCTTGAGCACTTATTTTCAAACTAGCAGCCAAGTGGTCATAATAACATTAAAGGTTTCTTCACTTTTCCAGGTGACACTGGACCAATGGGCCCACCAGGTCGCCAAGGGCCAAGAGGACCAAAGGGTGAAAAAGGCGAAAAAGGTATTTATACGTTCCAATACAAAAGGGATGGATTTTATTTACTGTAGGATGGGGTGGGATGAACCACAAGGAAATAGGTTTTCTTGTGATTTCACGAGAAATCAAGGAGCAACTTGTACATTCTTGTACAAGTTGCTCCTCTCCACCAATAATATCATAGGCACTGTCTACAGTAATAGTAATATACAGCATTGCTAATTTCATACTTTGGGATAAAGCAAGAGACACTGTGCACATACATTTCTGTATATACAGTAGTTCTATATATAGAAGGTCAAACAAGTGAACCTATTTTCTGCATATTTACAGAAAGCACAGTATGACCATCATATTAGGAGAGTGACAAACATTGCTATTGCTTTATAAAATAACTCTTTTTCTTGATCTCATTCTCTCCCTCTTAGGTGAACAAGTATATGTTGGTCGAAGGAAAAGAAGAAGCATAGGAGTCTAATCTGAGAACAAAAATTAAAGCAGAAGCTTTCTAAGTCATTTAAAGTAGTTGTTTTGTCCCAGGCAACATAAAAATCCCAAATTCCAGTGGCTTCCAACAAGTCACCACCACCCAGATGCCACTCACACTTGATATTTGGGGAATGAATGACTTTCTTAATTTGTAAGAACTTAGCTGGCTTCCACTATTCCTTCATATTGAACTAATTGCTCATTTGTTTCTTATCACATTTGAATCTGAGTCTGAGCTTAATCTGATGTTATATGACACAGCTTCTGAAATGTAGCTTACTGTCTAAGATCCACACAACTCGGCTTCACCAGAAGATTATAATGAGGAGACTTCTACAGAAACGGAAACAAAGTGAGATGAGAACCAGAGGTCATGTAATAGCTTACTGTAGTACTCAATGTATTCAACATTATTAGCATATTTTGCTTTATCTGACCTTTTTAAAGCTGGATCAGACAAAGCAAAGCATGCAAATATATGCCAGCGGGATGTATAACAATAGGCTGATTCTTTTTTTTAACCCCTTTAAACTCCTGTTATTAGTTGCATTGCAAAATTGTGAAGGACTTGGGGGCTGTTAGTATTTAAAGCACTTTTGTAAGAATGATTTTTTTTTAAAAAAAAGATGTTTTCTTTGGTTTTTGTGATTTTAAAAGTGCCAATTTAATATAAATCTTCCAAATTAGAGCTTGTTTACACTCTGGTCTCATTGAATGGAAACCAGATATTAAAGTATTATATAATGGTATGTTTAGAGATACAGGGGCATATTCCCATGTTAAGTTCAGTGACTGCACCTCTCAAAGCAAGGAGTTTAAACATGCATCCATTCCTCCCTCTCCTGCTGCTTTAGAAGGGTCTTTCTCAACAGCTTTCCATGTTTAATAAGTATATACAATCACCAGTAGCTTTAGCACTGTATATGATGACTAAAGGGACTTTGTAGACAACGTTGTCTCAATTATGGATGGTATGAATTCTCGAAAAGAGTGAATAACCTTCATGCCAACACCTATAAAACATTTTTGTATGATCAGTCACTTAAAAGACTTGGATTTAATTACTGTATATGGCAATCTCTTGCAAAGTTATAAACACAATAAATATCCATAGATGCCTAGACTCAAAACAGTTTAACTAAGTAACCATGGAACAGAATCTTAGGTGCAGTGTAACCCGATATACATCTCCAAATGTTATGAAACCGAAATTTTAAAATGGGTTTCACATTTGACATAAGGTCTCACTTTGTAACAGATGTTAGATGCAGAATTTAACAACAACGACAAACAAGCTATTCACCATTAGAGAGATCACTACCAAGAGGTGGGAGAACACATTTTGGATCCGATGGCACATTGGCTGTTGCTAGAGGAAACCGATCAATTACCTTTATCTAATACAGAGTAGACACTGGAAGTGCTAAACTGAGGCCACAATGCAGAAAACAATTAACGCCACACATTCAATGAAGCTTTCAATGCCATTCCTTTAACAACTGTGGCCTATACATACTTTTGCTTTTTGGGCATGAAAGTTTGAAAAGCAGTTTATGATATGGCATTATCGGAACTGGGGCAGCCTGCTGATGTAATTAAAAAGCTAAATAACCCATACTGCATGCAAACCTTTGAATGCATACAAAGGTGTATTTTTGAGCCTTCTGTCAATGACAAGTGCTATGGAGTTGGATTCTAGCATAGATTAAATAAAAGCACAGGCAAGATAAGATGAATATTCTGTAATTAACATATGGGTTTTCTGATACTGGAATAAACATCCTATTGAGCAGGATATGGTCTTTCAACATGTAAAGTGGCTGTATTTGTTAATGAGACATTTGCTTTTTTAAAAATAAAGATGCTTTTAAAGCTTTTGGTTTCTTTCTCTTTCTCACAATTACTATGTAGATTCAGATAATTCATTGGATTCTTATCTAACAAGCACAGTTGACAGTCACTTAGTGGAGGATGAGAAGTTGAAGGAATTCCCACAAATTCAAAATATTGCACCAAAGTCTGCTTGTGTCCATGCTCTGATTGGCTGAGAATGGACACAAAGGGTGACTACAATTTCCAGAACCCTGTCTTGCTGTTTGTCCTATTTTTTAAAAATGTTATGGTTAAAACTTAAAATAATTCTAAAAAATCAGTAGATTGGTGAATTGTTTTGAAACTCCGTAGGCCTGCAGTTGTAAATGGGGTCTAAAACTGAGCTAGGTTTCATGCAGATAGGCCTTAAAATGATTGAGGATTGAGCCTTTAAAATTTCCCATTGTAGCCAATGGGCTGAATCTTTGCTGAATGAAAACAATACCCCTACAGGTTTGAGTAACTTCCCGGTAAACAAAATGAGGGGCTAATCGACAATGGACCACAGAACTGAATGCCTTTTGGGCGAACTGCACGCCTCTGCTGTCAATTCAAAGTATGACTCATTGATTTCAGTAGGTAAGTATACACATAGCAGCCTTAGAACAAAGTAATTTTCTATTGAAAAACTCAAAAATTACAACAGCAAAACAACAGAGAGTAAACAACCAGGCACATCAAATCACTCTCAACAAAAGATTCCCCCCAGGCACTTCCAAGCCATTAAATGCTAATCGAGGTGGTCAGCTGAAACATTCACACCTGGCTCCAGCAGACAAAAGTCCTTTGTCCCACCCTGGTCATTCCACAGATATATAAACCCATTTTCCTACTTCCGACAGACCTCACTACCTCTGAGGATGCTTGCCATAGATGCAGGCGAAACGTCAGGAGAAAATGCCTCTAGAAGATGGCCATATAGCCCGGAAAAACCTACAACAACCCAAAGTAATTGTCTGTTTTGTTTTGAGGGCCTTATGTAGAAGACCACGCAATTCACTCAAAAAATAAAAACCAGTATGAGAGAACATCATTAATAGTTGCTTTATGTCTTTTTGTGCTAGAATTAGCTAATGATGGCACTTATTCAGCTGGGAATGATATGCTAATGGCAAAGGAAGACTATCTGGACACACCTTACAGAAATATCTATAGCCACATGATCTCTAGGCATATATGAAATGTTTCTGAAATATGAGGAAAAAGAGCAGAACAGAGAGTATTACCCTTGAGCACCAGTACTCAACTATAACACTTGGAATGCAACTCAAAACTTCAATTACACATAGTTGCATAGGTCGAGCCCAAAGCATCTCTACCCTGAATAATGGCAGTAGCTGTGTCAACACATCTCTCTCTCCTGGAAGCATTAACTAAATAATTTGATGATTTAAAGTTGTCCCAGAAAATTTTCTTTTTGGTTTCCAAGACAAAATTATGCAGGAATGTCACTTCTGGCCGTTCTGTGTCTTAATTATCTATTTCCAAACACAACATTAAGAATGAGTAGCACTGCTGCAGGATATAAAACCATATTATTAAATAAACTCTGCTGACCTAAGCATTACAGGGGGAAATCAGTATACTGAACTTTGTTTGGAAAATATTGCAAATGAAATCCAAAACATACATTAAGAATGGTGTGCATCTTGTGTACCTTCAATTCGTTTTTTGACTTATGGTGACCTTGTTTACTCCTGAATATTTTCCCCACTATAATTAGCATTTCTTCCACTTACCTTGCCTTTTTCTGCAGCTGAGTGTGCTACTTGACCAAGGTGACACAGTGAGTTTCCATGGCTGAGTGGAGATTTGAACCACTATCTCCAGAATCATAGTCCAATGTTCAAGTGACTAAAGCATGCTGATCCTCTACCAATAATTGATCACATTCAATTTACTAGACAACTCCAAAAATGTAGTAACTCAGCTGTTGAGTCATTATACACCTGTTTAAATCTAATGTATATATTCAACTGCAGTAGACCTATTCAGTTGAGATTTATGTAATCAATTTCTAAAAAGGGAATAGCATTATGATTTGCGATATTACCACCAGAGTTCCAAGTCTTTGGAACCAAACATATCAGAAAAAGTCTGTGTTCAGATAAGCTGCAGCCCAGTTCATTTTCCTCATGTTCCCCATAGCAATGGATTATACATGAATCTCCCAATAGAAGTATCATGTTGTCTCCCCTGGGAAGTGGTGACTGAAGAGGCTCATCACAATGGCTTTCCATTGCTTGTCAACATTTCCCAACATTTTGTATTCATTGTGTATTGGGCATGTAGAAAAAAGGCAGTGTTTCTACTGGTGTATCAGCACTTTCAAATTAGCCCTCTCAGAACCAACAGAGGTGGCATTCTGATTGTGGCATCCCCTAGATTAGATGCATTGTATTTTCAAGCATCTATGCCGACTCCCTTTGTCACCTGTGGTTTGGATTTCGTGGCCTCCAAATTGGCTTTTCTCAAAATCTATTCCCTCCAATGATGCAGGAGAAAGCATGTTTACTTTATGTTGGAGAGGAAGATGGTAATTGATGTTTGAAATCAATCAACTATTGTGAACAAATAGGGTTAATCCTTAGTTTAACTTTTATAGATGTTTAACTTAGTTTAACTTTTATGGACTATTGGGATGGTCCAGTCATAGAAATTGATAGTTGAGTTAATTCCACCCTTCTCTGACATGGGAGCAAGGAGAATGCGAAATGACATATGTTAAAAAAGAAGAAAGAGCAAGAACATTGAAAATAAAAAGTTAAAAAACTAATAAAGATTATTTACTTATTTTATATATTTATATTTATTGTAATTTTATAATACAAGGTTAACATCCATATTAAAATGTCAAGAAGTTTTTGAAAGTGTAAAATTTGAAACCAAAATAGTTAAAAATGCGGGACACACTCTATAGGAAACTGACTCCTTGCAACCAATTAATCATCTCATCTCTGCTAAAGCCCCTGGTGGTGCAGTGGGTTAAACCCCTGTGCCAGCAGGACTGAAGACCGACAGGTCGCAGGTTTGAATCCGGGGAGAGGTGGATGAGCTCCCACTATCAGCTCCTGCTCCTCATGAGGGGACATGAGAGAAGCCTCCCAGAAGGATGATAAAAACATCAAATCATCCAGGCGTCCCCTGGGCAACGTCCTTGCAGACGGCCAATTCTCTCACACCAGGAGCGACTTGAAGTCATTCCTGACACGACAAAAAAAAAAATCTCTGCTAAAATAGAAAGGTCTTTGCTTTAAAGGAAGGGGGGATGTGAAAAGAATTGGAGTGTATAAAGGTTGGTTTTAAAGGCAGAAGCCAGGCCAGCTTGTTGGAGCCAAGCTGAAGAGTAAAGCAATCAGGCAGTCTCTAAGGCCGAGGTGCAGCCTGATTGCGTTAAAATTAGAGGGAAAAGCTCAGTAGCTGGAGATGGACAGTGCCTGAGTTAAAGAAAGAAGACAGCGGTCATTTTTAAGAGGAGTTAGGGAGTGAGAAGTCAAGAAGGATGTGAAGTAGTGAAGGGAGGAAGGGAGGGGAGGAAGGAAGAGAAGTGGGAACTGCTGGTGGTTTAATTGTTACCTCTTTGAGGATTAAATGTTAATTGGCCTCTAAAGTGCTTAGAGAGCTGTGAAGGAAAGAAGGGAATTGTCAAAAGGGTTTAAAAAGATTCTGGTTTGACTCTTTTGTGCGTGGAACCTGTTCTAAGGAAACTTAAATTCAATAAACCATCCTCTGTAAACAGATACGCCTGATAACTGCAACCATTACGCTTACTGAATATTCATAAATAAACTTCAATTTTCTGTTTAATCCTACTGAAGTCCCCATGTGGCTTTTAAAACAGTTCAATAAAGGAGGTGGTCTGTAAAGATCATAGACTGCCTTTGGAAAGAGCAAAGGCAGTATATAATTTTCAGTGGCAGCTTCCCCCACTGATTGGCGGTGCAAGAGTGAGGGTGTGCATATGCTCTAAATTCCCTCATGGCCTCGCCTGGGGTTGCCTTTTTGTTCTCCATCTGGTGTGTGAGTGTGCCAGAGATAAATCCTAACTACTGTCCCTGCCTAAGTGGTCATTGTTAAGGGTAGCAGGCTATATTTGGTAGCACTTGGTAGGATTTCTGTAATAGCTGGTCAGAGATACCTCTATAGGGATCCTACCTGAAATGTAGCAATTCTTTTATTGCAAACATGCACACATCATGCATACTTTGAAATTAAAATGAATTTCCAAAGCTTGTTTGGAGGAAAAGGGCTGATAGGAATTTATAGCAACTCAAAGAAAGAAAACAGAAGGAGAGATATAGCAAAGGAATAAGACAGGCAGCAGACAAGCAGGCAACGACTTTAAGCACAGCATTAACTGAAATGAAATTCTGTTTACTGAATCTTTAATGCATCTCTTCTTAGAAACGAAAGAAACCCATTTTTTTAAAAAAGAATATTTAAATCATTTTCCAGAATGCATAACTTGTCTTTCTAAAAGTTCCCTCCCCAGCATATTCACCAGAAAAGCTTTTAAGGACTGCAATGAAAATCAAACTGCAATGGAGATGATTTACAATTTGAGAACCATTTCCCATGCAGTTTCAGAAATTGAACTGAAAACCACCCTTGCCGATGTCATCTGATTTCTATGCTATGTACAACCAGCATTAGACAGTAATTAGATCGATATTTTATACCTCCTTTTGACAATCAAGATGCGCTCAATATAATTTTGTCTTTTGTCAGATTTGCCATTATACTATAGATACAAGGAGTAAGAACCAATATTGGTTACCTGCAAGTTTTAAAGTTGAAATCATTCCTATGGGCCCAATACTTTAGCTGCCATACCTTAGTTCATCCAACACTACAAGCATAAGGACTATGCTGTAATGCATATATGAACTATATAGTTAAACACACATCTGCTTGTGAGAGCATTTTGTATTTCATGTGAAATAGTTTTACAGTAGTATTGCATAGTAAATACTATATTTCTGCTTTTAATACTGGTCTTCTTTTTTAATGAAATGGGAAGGAAAATGTGCACTTTAAATAATTTTCTTAATAACTCACCTCAATTATTCATAAGCTTGTAAATACTTTTCAGATCTATATTTCCTTCCCGAGGGAAGAATTTACTGGTCACATCTTAAAAAATACATTCATTGCATGGGTTAGTGCCATTGATTAGATTTCCACAAACCTAAATTCTTCAAAATCAATATGGATACTTAGCTTTTACATGATCCACAATCAGTATTATAGTAACAATGATTTTAGAGTCGTATTTTCCCTTTCTCTTACATACAGGAGGAATTTCCATTTTAGAAGGTACTTGAAATCAACACTTTCTAGTGGTACTTGTATCAATAATAAAAGGTTTAAAATCTGCTGTCAGGTCCAATATTTGTAAGCAAATAACTACAGCCATAGATTTCAAAATAATGCTCCTTATCCTGTGAAATGTCTAAAACCGGGCTTATTTGGAAGATGAAACATAGACCCACATTACATTTGGCAGTGGGTGATTTGAGGAGCCAACTACGGCTCTCAAGATCAGAGTTTGAATTCCCACTCAGCCATGGAAAGCCACTGGGTGACTTTGAGAAGCCACTCCCTTTCAGCTTCAGAAAGATAATGGCAAACCCCTGAACAACTCTTGCCTAGAAAACCCTGTTTCTATGGTTGTCTTAGTTTCACTGTAAGTCAGAAATGAACAACAATAGGGCCAGAGCATCACATCTTCGGCAACAAAGATTTTAATCACCTGTCCCTTCATCTGACTATGTTTTTCATTTCTTCATATTGTGGTTCAGATACCCCAGTCAGACAGCATTTTGATTTTCAAGAACAGTATGTATGCTCCCCTTCTTTTCCTTTGTCTGCTGCAATTTTCCCCATACACTGACTGGATTGATCACTAACCAGCTTGCTGTGATTTCCAAATTGATCCGGGGGAGGAAGGAGGTGTGGACATATAGCTCACATTACATCTAAACAAGAATAAGAAAGCATAATTTGAAGGTGTCACTAATTTCTGGTTTGCAAGAAGACCAGAGTTTACTGTAAGCCTAGCCTATTTCCTCTGATTCTGATGTTACAGCAATCAATGGTAACAACATATCGCAGCACTAATAGTAAGCAGACTGGAACATGTGGATGCACAATCCAATTTGGGACTGAGAAATCAAGTTTGTGCTATGAAACTGCAAGTATACTGGAATAAACATGGATTGATTCAGTGAGGTGTGAAACACACAAAGGAAGGACAACTGCATGTCAGGAATGAGGAAGGCTTACATGTGGCTTATATAGGTCTCATCAGGCTTCAGGTAGACATGTCTCCCTTGGTTGACATACCCCTAATGAAAACTGCCCTCCTGGTATTATACTCCTACACTCACTCACAGTCACTCTCTCTCACATACATACTCAACATTGGACTTCTAGTAACTTCCTGTTATGAAGGGTAATATAAAACTGGGGCTATTATCGTTGTTCACCCCTACTCTATACACTGCTTAGTAGTCATGTGCGTGAGATTAATTCCTACCGTTTATTCAGTTTCTTTCGTGTCTTCCGCTTCTTCGGAAGCACAAAACAGGAGGCCTCCTCCTGACATGGAAATGCTTTTGTGCTGAGCGAAAATTGCCTCCTTGCCTGCATTTGCCTGGAGCTAGGCTGTAGGCATGCTCTGGGCCTGCCTGCAGGCCCCGCCACACACACACACACACACTCCAAGAGCATGCCTGCAGCTGAGCGCCTCTTACTCCAGAGAAGCAACAGCAGATGCCAGGTAAGTAGAACACCAGGAAGGGGAGCCAGTGTGTGTGTGTGAAGCCCCCCTTCCTATAGCGGTCTGAATTTCTGGGCCCCTATTTTTTAAAAAACTATTTTGGGAGGCTCTCGAAAGCAGATTGGGGGCCCCAACTAAAGCCAGGACACAAAACAGGGCAAGATTTCCCCAAAAGCACAAGACTATTTGTTAGCATGCATTATGATCAACCACTAATGTAGGAAGGCGCTAAATTGATTTCTAAGTTTTATTTTGTGATTTTCTTGTGAGATAAAGTGTACAGTGTGACACCCGTATAATGAATTTCCATGGTGTCACAACTGAAATGGACTTCTTGAGACTAACAAAAAGAAAGAAAACAGACAGCTTGCAGTGGAGTCAATGAACACAAGATTTTTAAGCAAAGTAGACAGTTAAACAGTATTTAATGTTATAATCAATGCTAGTTGTTTCATAAAGGTGAAGCTTTAAAAAAGTAAAGGCATTTGAATACTTGTTCACTCTAAGCAACTCAGAATAAACAAATTTAAGTTTGCGTACAGCAAAATTCAATATTCTAATGATGCATACATTAATTTACAACCTGGTACATGATGAATATTTATAAAAGAAAATGTGGGATATTAAGGCTAACTATAAAATATTTGTTAAAAGTAAATTATAATTTGAGAAGAACAAAATGTAACATGCATCTTCAAACTATACTCACTATACTGTCACAATTAAACAACCAGACAAGGTCAAGCCCATTATCTGAGTGTGGTAGCCAATGTATTGATTAAAGTAATGTGATAAACCTCTTCCTTCACATGCAGGAATGCTACTGACATAAAATTTATCAGAAAGTGACTGTTCTCTCATTTAATGAAAGATAGCAAATGTGAAAACTTACAGTTGATTATCCAAAGTTATCTACTAAAGGATTAGGCTGTTGAGGACAGGAAGCAATCAACATTTATATTACAAACCTAACTTGGGCATACCAAAGGACAGCTTACAATACTGTTTTGATATGACTCAAATCTAAAGCCTTAAACAACTACAACTTTTTTTGCAGGCACATCTCCTGCTAACATAAATATTTCAATCCCACCCACAGAGAAAATAAGTTATGATACAACAATGTATTTTAGAACTGAAATCTCTAACTGACTGTGTGGACTCCCAAAGTCCTGCATGTGGCTAACTTTTAACTTTAGTAACTTCATGACAAAACAATGTAACACATTAAACCGTTTGCCTTATATTTAACTTAAACCCTTCTATAGATCAACAAACACCTGAAATTTAAAAGAAAAACTCTTCCGACTAGAGGCATCAGTAATGTTTGTAAGTACAGAGACAGCCATAGCCATTTCCTGCTTTGGAGTCCCAAACTGCTACTTTGGTAGGGAGAGAAATACCAGTTCATATTTCTTTAATGCACGACTGAGTTTGTGGAGAGAGATTCTGCACATATCTGTAGAAAAAACTACAAATCAGAAGCAAAGGGGAAGGAACAGGGAAGCAAACTGTACATTTCAAAGTCAAACTGGGATTTTCAGTGCAAGTATTTGACAAAAAAATGTGGCAGCAGCAACAGCAAGTATCTCTGTTATGGTAACATAGAGAATAAGGGGGATTTCTTTAGAAACAAAAGGAAAATGCCCCCTTCGTCACCTCCCCAAAACCAAAAATTGAAACAAAATGAAAACAACAACTCAGCATATGTAACAGTTGTAGGCACTGAATAAATGAGCAAGAGACTCGTTTCTTCAAAATAATGGGTGAATCACAAAGAAAATTTGGTTGCACTAATAGTATCTTTGTTTCAGAATCTTTATTTTCAGGGCATTGCAAATGATTAATAATAGCATGGGCCGGTGTCCTAGTGCCAACATAGTTGGATACTACTTTTTTTCCCAGATCATTATTGAAATGGCTATATGTTCTTGAAAGGTACAGGGGAAATCAAATCTTAAGATTAATGTCTGTGCTTTGAAATTGTTTCCATAATGGACATAGTACAGGGCAATTCCGACATCATTGATTGTCTCCAAAGAGAGCAGATGGAATTCCACTAAGGGTCTTGGATGCATGACGTAGATTTATTGAGGCAGAAGCTGAAGACAGGAAAAATGAAAATTTCAAAAAGCGCACTCAAAGTCACCTCACAGAGGGACCAGACTCATGATCAAGTGGAATGCATGCTAGGAATTGGGTAGAATTTAGAAATCCGGCTTTGCGTTGATGGGTTAAGGCATTCAGATTCTCCAGACATTTTAAAGAAAACTTCTTGCTCTTGAAGCTTCCGAGCAAATTCTTCTTCTAACGTCTAACAAAAATAAAAGCCAAATTGGTTAAACGTTTTTAACCTAATTTCTAGGAGAAAAAGTAATGTTAAGCTTAAGAGTAAAGAGAAAGTAGTTCCAATATATACAGACTTTCTATATATATTTCAGATTTCAATATTAATGTCAAAAATATGTAGTATGATTTTACATAGGATTTGTGCTACATTAGAATAGTAAAGACAAATATCACTTAAGTAAAATAAATATTTAATAACCAGACAAATAAAATAAGGTGTAAACAGTAAACTAATCTGGGAATCAGCTATTGCAACACATCCATGTAATTCTATGCTATGTAAAGAAGATAATGCCATTTGATTCAGAAATGTTCACATAACCAGACTTTTTATGGTTGGACAACTGGAGACCAAATCTGACTACCCCAAACCTTTCTATCCAGCCAGCTCCTTAATTGATTCACACACACTATTATAAACATTGCCCTTTTTTCACAAGTTAAATCAAAAGTCTGTTGAACTCCCTCTCCCTTCACTCTCACACGTAAATCCACATATTTTTTTTGTTAAAAGCCTTCCTTATATTGCAAAACCACTTCAGTCTTCTGTGAAAACTATAAGCAAAAACACACACAAATGTTACAGCAACCGAATGTATGTTAAGGGAAAATATACTACTGAGCAACTAAAACTTTGTTCGCTTCCTGGTTTGAAAAAAAGACTGATTTTGGGCCTAAAACAGGGGAAAGGTTTAAACTTCCCCTATTAGTTCTAAAACTAATTTTTAGTTTTAGAAAAGGAGAGGGGGAAAAGAATAAAAACTTATTTCCAAATTTTAGTATTTTATTAGTAATTCTATCTTCTCCAGTTTGTAATTATGTGTTCTCAAACATACGTTACCTTTTTCCGTGGTCTCAGTTTCTCTCTCCACTCTTTCAGTTCCTGGCTATGCTCTTCATCTAACTCTTTTAGTTTTTGAGTTTCATGCTCAACCAGTAGATGGCATTTTTCATTCTGAAAATGGATACAGATAATCCTTTAGTAAAACCAAACCAGATTAGATGATTACCCACTTGTACAGCAGCATATGCTGACCTAATTCATTAATTAGCTTACTCTGTATAGTAGCAAAGATAATTCCTGTACCCTTAGTAATGCTCTCTATCAACATGTTACCTTTACTTCAGAAAGTATGACTTGAACTGCTCAGTTAGGGCACCAGAAGTGTATATTAGATAATTTCCTACTTTCTCAGAAAAAGCTAAAGCTATATGTTGGTCTTGATTAATACCATAGATAGGCAGGCTGTTTTACTATATTATAATCAGACCGTTTTACCTGCTACAAGACATATCAGATTACCTCAACAAATAAGTCTTTGCTTTACAACAAACAATTATCATATTTAATGACAGGCAAGTCTCCTTGGGAGTAGTATTCTACATACAAAAATGGCTATTTTACAGTTTGACACTCATTTAACTTCACGCACAACCGTGTCTCAAAGAAAAGCCTCTAAAATCTTTGATTACAATATATTGTTTGTTTTAAGTAGTGACTTCAGGCACTACAATAACAACAACAAAAATATTGAGGAGCCTGGGTAAACCATGATAACTTAAATCTCAATATTATTGCATTATTATAATAATATTTATTTCTATCCTCCCTTTCTTCCAAAATGGGAATTCAAGAGGGATACAACTGCTCAAAAAAGCTTTGTCTCCAAGCAGACAACAGGAAGCATTTAATCTTAGAATTCTAGCTATGAAAAGTGATATCATAGTTAGAGACTGCAGTCTTAAGGTTGAAGAACATTTTTCCAGTTGAAAATCTTTTCAGGGAGCATAATTTTCCCTCTGCAAAGAAAGAATGCTTTGGAATCAATTGTGAGTTTGGTATTACTCAAAGATAAGGCAAGAAAAACCTGGTATCATCGCTCCCTGAGCTCCAATCTGCTGCCCTCGCACCTGCTTATTTATCCAGCTCCAGCAGCTGCAGGACCACTTTGATCTCATTAGTGATGCTCTTAGAATTGATACACAACTGGAACTAGCTTTTTGTATCTCTCTTCTATTTGTTTACTTAAGTACATCATAATTATGATTTGGGAAGACTACAATGTAAGTGTAGCATCCCACCCTATTTCCATTAGGGATTGAAATGAGTGTTTTAATACTGATAAGTTTATTTCAATCTTCCTCTACAATTTGTAATGTAAGAAATCTCCATCATAGAGAATATTTCATGTTGTGTGTAAGTCTATGTAAAAAAATGAATATAACCATCAAGACGTAATGTGTGTGCATGCATGCCTAGTACATTGGAGAATCCATTGCATTCCATGTAAATGTAATGTACAAACAAGAAATCATCATGACTGAGACATCCCTGTACATTAATGCTGCTAAGGAGCATAATTCAGTTTAAGACAACATGCATCAAACTCAAGCCCGGGGACCAAATCTGGTCCACCATGTCATTTTATGTGGCCCTTCAGATGCTGGCTTACACCTTCTGTTTTCCTGATGGAATTTGTGGTACAGTAATATCTGGAAGGCTACGGTTTGTTCTGTTTAGTCAGGAGAGTGGGGTCTGAATTAAGGTACAAGGCTTCTCGATTGGATTTCTGACTTCAAAATGTTATTGAACCTTTCCTCAACCTCAAAGTCACAAGCGTTGTTGGGTTGCAATTCCCATTATCCCCAGTATCCATGGCGACAACCAAAAGGGATGGGGTTGTCATTCAATAGCATCTGGGCACCCAAACTAAGTAAAAACTGAAGAGCATCGATTACTATATAAAAAAATTACAGCTGCCCCTCTGTAGCCATGGATTCTCTATTCATGGATTTAACGGCCCTTTGAAGGCAACCATAAGGTTGATGTGACCCATGAGGAAAATGGAACCTTGGTTTAAGACTTTAGACCAAGCATGGTCAAACTTCATCCCTCCAGGTTTTTTGGACTTCGACTCCCACAAATAGTAACAGCTGGTTTAGACTAATGCTGTTCATTAAATGACATTATGCATTAACCTGTAGTTGATGGAGTTCTCTAATATTGGCTTCACACTGCAGTTGAAGGTCTCTCATCTGATTTTCATGCTTCTGATGTTGAGCCAGTCTTTCATTTTTTTGTCTCTTTTCTTCTTGAATGGCAAACTTTTAGAAAAATAAAGGGAGATAAGTAAAAAAAAACATGTTCCTAAATTTTACCATATAATTAAATGATTGTGCAACCTGCATGAAAAGTAGATTATACTGAAATTAGTAAGATTATACAAGTGAAGAAGGACTGAAAGTGATGTGCATGATATTACGATAATCATTTGTTCTATTCCTAGCAATACTACATTAACTAGCTCTTTTCAAAACAATCTACACAATGCTACTCAAAGGAATGGCCTCTGAGTTACTGGCTGCATTCTCTAGGACAAAAATGGAAACTACTGAATCTAATGGGATCAAAGAGGGCATTGGTTCCTGGTTCATTGTGAAAAAAGAGATTGCCAGTCTTCCACATCAGATATTGAAAAGCACTGAGGAACACAACACAAGCCACAGTATTTATTAGTTCTAAATCAATTCTCAAGAGTTTTAAGAGTAAACACAATAAACTCTTAATAGTTTATGCAGCAAGATACAACTTTCAAAGTCAAACTGAACTGAGTTCATAAGCGTCATGGAACTTCAGTATCTACTTAGGTATATCTCATTTAATATATACAGTAAAATATGTCTGTGTAGTTGTGTTCCTGGGTATAATTTCAGTAACATAGCATTTGGTAGCACAGAATTCTATTTTCTCTTTACTGCATTGTTTACTGCAGGTACACTGCTGCAACCTAATACAAAAAACCCCTGTGTTTCTCCAGGCCTTCTTCACCATCTTCCTAGTGCTTATGTTACTTAAAAAACACCTTGCAGCCAGATAAAGAATGAGGAGGAAAAGAAAACTGGGCTGGTGTAATTGTGCTTTGCAAATAGAATTGTCAAAGGCTTTGTTAACTATATGTCTGTATACAAATCTACTACTTCCACACCTACAACCTTCACTGAAACAATGCAGTGTTTCACTGTGTAAAGCAGCTGTTCATCACCTGCTTTATTTTTTCACGATCCTGTTCTGGAGTACTTGAAGAATTAATTCGTAGGCTTTTTTTGAACATCGCCATTCTCGTTTTTGCTTCACTGCGCTGGATTTTTGGCAATCGAGCTCTTTCCTGGGTCTGCTTATTTTTTAACTCCTCAATAAGTCGTTGGTTGTATCTTTGCATTTGTTCTGTTTCCTGAAAAAATAATGAGTTGACATATGTTCAGGCAACATTGAATTTAATGCAATTCTTGTATCATCTATTTACATGTTTCCTTAATGAGAAAAAAAAGATAAATCTTTAGAAAATGTTCAAAGCTGTTAATAACACCCAAACCCAACTTTATTTCATAAATGCCGAAAGATTCTGGCAACAAGTAGTTTATGGAGACTTGACTTATTAGCCCCAAGTGACATTCTAGTTCCTGTTGCCTTATCATACTCAATTGCAATAGAAGTGGTTCAATAAATGAAACAGCATCACTTCAGTCTTGCTTATCATGTTCTCTGAATATGAGTATTTCCCCTTTTCCTACTCACATGCTCTCAACAAATCAGAGAAAGAATCCAAATAGGCTGCTTGTGTGTCCCAACTAGAATAAACACAGTGACTCAATAGAAACTTGGTAAATTAAATGTAAATTCAAATGCCTGTTCTAATTGAAATTAGGGCCCCTTCCATACAGCTGAGCAAAATTCCATATTTTCCTCTTTGAACTAGAATACATGGCAATGTGGACTGAGATAACCCAGTTCAGAGCAGATATTTTCTAGGTTATATGGCTGTGTGGAAGGGCCCTAGGTTTAAGTCATGGTTTTTGTCTCTCACTGGAAGAGAAGTAAATAACAAAAGGGGAAAATTTGCACACTGCAATAAAAAAGGAGTAATGTACAACCGCAACCAATCAGGCATGCAGCACATACAAGTAAATGGGGCCATCATTCCCAAGCTTGTTGTGACACTGGCAACCGAATATAGTTCCAACAGTTCTGCAGAAAAAAACTATGGCATGTTTCTTTAATAATAAAAAGCGAATCTAAAGGAAACGTTGCCTGTCTTAACTCTGATTCTAAGTTATTCAAAAATGCTGAGAAACTGAAATACCACTAACTTTTTCATGCCGTTTAAGCAGCTGGTGTCTCTGCATGAAGTACTGATCTTTCAGCTGCTGTTTGAGAAGTTGGTGCTTTTCCTGTAAGTGTCGCTCTTCTAGCTCCCATATTGCAGCTTCACGAGCTAGAAGAAAAATGTTTTTTGAGATCTTTGAGAAAAGTTATTTCCCAAACCAAAACACTTTATAAAACAATAGTTTTATCAGATAATATCTTGGGTGAAATAACAGAGAAAAAAGAAAATAATTTCCAACTAAGCTATCAAACAAATATCTGAACAAAACTGTAGGTGCAAGGGGAGTTGGCAGGATTCTGAACAAAGAAACCATTTTGAATGGATTGTTGTGCAACTTTTTACTTGATTAATAAAGACATCCAAGTACAATCACAGTATTAAATAGATTTTCCCGCTTCTGCTGCAGAAAAAAGTAGAACATTATTCCACAAATATTCTGATTCATTTTCATGGGGTTTGCATGTGAGCAGTACTAGGTGGCCTGAGCCCTTAATGCCATCTAGTACTTTAAGTTTATAAAGATTTAATCCAACAGGACAAACAGGGGGGAAATACCTCTCATGAGCTGTTGCTTGTTATTAAGACAATCCCGTTCAATTGTGGCTAGCTCTGCTTTTTGCTGGTGAATTATTTTCTTTAGTGAGGCATCCAATTCTTGTTGTTGCTTCTGCACAAATTCTTGCTCCTATTAGAAATTGGTCAACACTGAATCAATTATACACAACTCCTAGACATGTTATTTTGTATTTCCTAAAAAGCTCAGAGCAGCATTCACATCTATGTCTCACATTCATCAAAATGTGTTAGCAGATAAAAACACAAATTTTCCATAAAGTCCATCCAGAAACAACAGGCCTCTGAACCTGTGTCTTCTAGATTGAAAACCAACATTCCACATATAAACTGAATTTACAGAGCAAGTAGACCTGCTGCATGTACCATGACATTTGCAGCATTTAATACCAAGAAGGATGACAGGGAAACATGCATATTTGAAGAGCCGGGAACAAATCTTGAGAATTGAAACTCACTCTATGACTTATTTCTCTCTTTCACTCTCCCCATAGTATCCCCCTCCTCCTTCTATTGTGTGGGTGAAAGTCAAGAAGTTCATATGATAGACTACAAAACAGTCAAATGTATGCGGAAATATTTTTTCCCATTTGGAAGTAGTTTACCAGCTACACGGCTCTAACCAGTTATGAAAGTTGTATATTAGGACGGAAAAGCACACAACTAGAAAACGAAAGAGCTAACTAAATAAAATCTTCATTTCTCTTGAAGAAATTAAAATTAATAGTTTGCATCAATTTTCTTAGTACAAATAATGACCAATTATGCTAATTTGTATTTCTAAATGAACAGGAAGCAACGAATTACAAATTAATGTGTGAAAAAATTGTTCTTCACAAAAATGCATCAGATTTGAAACATCCCCCTTTTCCAAATTTGTGAGTATTTTTTGAATCATTGCAAAGAGAGTTGTAAGTTTTTTGTTTACAATTTATGATACTTTAGGACTGTTACAAAGTTTTTTCCCCATGGTGCATTTTTTCCATTAGTGATGTCAATACATGTGTGCATCTGTAAGTGCCTTCAAGTCACCTGCTTACTTATGGCAACCCTATGAATTTCGTAGGGATTTCTTGGGTATGACTTCCATATTTAGACTTCATGTGGATATGTCAAACTGCAGGTAATTGCAAAACCTACTGGGTTTATGACTTCTGGCAGAAACATGCCATAAATTTGTACTGGAAAGTTCAGGAAATTCCAAGAGGAGACCTCTCTAGGTATTGCTATGCCCAGTGCAACTTCGTAATTGGCTCCTGATGGGTGCCTTTTTATACACCTCTGACTCAAATAGTCAAAACATAGGGTTTGCTATTATCTGCAGTTTCAGGTATCCAATGGGAATAGGTGGGTACTTGGAATATATCCCCACCAATGAGGAGTTTATACTGTAGAGTGTTATGTCATCATATACTCTACAGAATGCATCCCCTAATTGCTCCTACTGAAGAAAGAATCAGAGGTCAAAGGGAGCAGTAAAGAGAGAAATAAATGCTTCCAATCAATTGTGAATGTGATAGCATTAGTGCTTTTAAGGAAGAAGAGACCATTGTCTTTCCCCCTGCACCCATCATACGTTTCAACCAGAAAAGGAAAAGGGAAGAAACATTTAGCATAACACGAGAAAAAAAATAAGCTTCTATCTTCTCTTCTTATTGCAGATTGATTTCAGCTACATTATATAATAGTACGTATTATTTTACTGACTATGAACTTGTGATAAAAAACCCATGTTTTTAAAGAAAGTAGATTGTGTACAAAGATGCAGGATGATAAGGTTTCAGAAGTATATTGCTGTTGAAGTTTTTACAGTATTTTATTCTGATTGTTTTACACCGCACCTTACAGAATATATAAATGAGCTAGGACTGATCCATAATTAAGTACACAAATGAAATACAAGTCACACTGAATACAGAAGCTTTCAAAAATCTTTTATGAAACGAAATACTGCAGCAGAAATACAATATGCTGATTAAGGTTTTAGACTCAAACACTCAGAAAGCCGTAATTTCTAGATACCTAGACTAGAGAATGATACATAAAGATGATAAAAGAACAGCATAACATTTCCAAATGCAAAAATGCAGAATTTGCATGCCATCTTCCTCAATGGCATTCACTGCATTTTCATGCTTAACAGCTATCTTACTTAAAATTAGCTACAATGAAATGTGATCACCTGCTCAGAAACTAGCACAAACTACTTCCAGAGGCACATTTTGCCTAGGACACAAAAGATGAGGAAGAAAGGGCTAACCAACCCAACATAATCAATCACATGTAGGAACATTACACATGATGTAGAAAAGCTGATACAGCTTTTAGTAGTCCACTTTTACTGAACTGGCATTTCATCACATAGGCCCATTGGCCTACACATGGGAAGTCATTCGTTTGTGGATACAAGTAAATGCGCAAATCTGCAAATCTGACATTAACTAAGTTGCAGAGAAATCAGTCACAATAAGAATTCTTTACAAACTTCTCATAATCAGTCAAAATGCACTGGATGAAGTCAGTAAAAAGAATATTCCAGGGAACCTGCTTACTTCACTAGACCAAATGCAAAGCTGTTCTTAGATCTGTATATGTACCAGAATGTTTATCAGTTCTCTTATTAGTACCTCCCCTATGTTACCTGATGACTCACTTTTGAAAACTAGGTATGGAGCAGCTTCTAATCAAATGGGAAACAAGAAGAATAGGAAGCACCCACTGCTCATGCGCATGTAATGATGGCTGTCATATTTTTTAGCATAAAATCATTTAAAAATTAAATTTTCCAGTTGTAGTTGTGGATATGATTGAGTATATATCAAAGATGATAAGAGAGAATGTCAGTAATCCTTTATTTTTATAGTTTTATTGGTGTACCAGATTTCTTGCCCTCGCTGCAAATTTCCACTTTTTACCACTGACTACAGGGCAGCATTAAGCTAAGCTAGTTGTATAAATTTTGTTAGTATGGATTTATTGTTGTTGTATTCAGGCATTGAATGTTTGCTTTTTATGTTTGGAATCCGCCCTGAGTCCCTTTGGGGAGACAGAGCAGAATATAAATGAAGTTGTTGTTGTTGTTGTTATTGCTTTGATCACAGTTTGAAGAAGAGGTTCTCACTGTTGGTCAAATCCTGGTCGAAAAGCTAACTATAATTAGTATTTCTGTAACATTTCAGTGTTGATCTCAATCAAGGAAGGCCACAAGGGTGGGAAGTGGAGAGAGACTTGTGAGCTGCCTGCATTTGCCCATCACTTGCACTATGTAGGTCCCAGACAGATCAATGAGAAACAGAAATTATTGAAAGATGTAGAAAGTTTTCACTTCTAAGTAAGAACGTAAGAGATGTGGAATTGAATACAGAGCACAACCCAGCCAAAGATTAATCTTTTATAAATACTGTATTTTACTAAACGTTATCTGGATGAAAATGAGAGTAAGTTAGACATATTTAACTTTGCCAGGTTCATGCTGAGAATTATTATATGTCTGTGGAATAAGACTGAGTAAAATATATGTTAATATCGTCTTGAAAATGACAGATTTCTGTTTTCTCTTCATGTATGCATATTTATTTAATCATACCTAGAAATTTATTTGTATATCAAAAGTTCTAGATTATGAAATACTACTAAATCCACAGATACTCAACATTACAGGTTATACTAAACTGTCATCAAAGTAATTAACTAACTTCACAATATTAGTGTAAAACAGCAAATGAACTAAGTTCCAGAAGTGTTAGTATCTAAACTTCAATTGACTGAATGGAGGCTGAATGCCAGCTGAATAGCCTGAAAATATATGAAAATATGAACTGACAAGACAAGAGATTCCATCGAAATGCTAGCAATAACTTTTTCTTACTGCAAAAACTGTTCAACAGTGCAATAGATTGAAGGTGGTGGACTCTCTGTCTTTGAAGTTTGAACAGAGGATGGACAGCCATCCTTCAGGAGTGCTTTATTTGTGCATTCCTGCATGGCAGGGGGTTGGAGTAAATAGTCCAACTCTAAAATTCTGTTATAAAGCTCTTAATTCTTTCAACTAAAAAAGCTACTTTGCCTTATTAGAAAACTTAATTTAATATCAGTATTACAATAAGCCAAAAACTTTAGTTTATGTGTGTCCTAGCAAACTTTTAAAAAGTTAACATCCTATATAGAATTTTATTTTTAAAATGTCAGCTGGAATAGTGAAGGAAAGGCATTTCCTTTGGGATCCTAATATTCCTACATAATTATTTTAAAAACAACATTGATGAGATGCCATATATACTTGAGTATAAGCAGAGTTTTTCAGCACATTTTTATGCTGACCCCCTGGCTTATACTCGAATGAAGGTCCATGATCAGGATTGCTCTACTATGTTTTTGCGCTGGCAAAACTCCCTACCAAGACCTTTACCCAGGAGAGACCAAGAGGCAGGATGGGAAGGGAAGGGTGCAAGGGGAAGAGGAAGCGATTTGCAAGGGACACCCAGAAAGGCAAAGCAGCAGCAGGCTCTGCCGCTGATGGCGTTTGCAAACTGGGTTCCCTCCACTTCCTTTTTCAAGTTCCAGCACCATTTGAATTTCCTGCCTCTTCCTGGCTATTATTGAATCCTAGAGTTGGAAGAGACTCTCAAGGGTGCCCTCCAGTCCAACTTCTGTTTTGCCAGGTCAAAGCATTCCTGGCAGATGGCCATCCAGCTAGAAACCTTACCCCTTCAATATGTCCATGCATGGACTGAATGGCCTTTGGGATCTTGGTTGATGGCTGAACTGATGGCTGCACTTTTAAAGTTATTGCTGATACCATATTGTTTTTGTTGACCCTCTTTTCCAGTTACTGAACTAGTTTATGGTTTTTCTTTGAAATAAATATTCAAAAACATTTGACCTGATGCCTCAATTAATATAATTTTATTGGTATTCATTTTTTACTTTGAAATTTACCAGTAGCTGCTGCATTTCCCACCCTAGGCTTATATTCGAGTCAAGTCAACAAGTTTTCCCAGTTTTTTTGTGGTAAAATTAGGTGCCTCAGCTTATATTCAGGTCGGCTTATACTCAAGTATATACTTTAACAATGCAACTCTACAGTGCTGATAATCAGATTAGACAGTCCAGTAAATGAATTGAAATTGCTAATTCAACAGCCATAAATAGAAGGTTTTTCCCATAAGGTTTGCAGACTTCTTGGAGTAAGAGGATTCTAACCCACCTCCCGAGCTCCTTAATTAGAGAGAACAAAACAGAAAAGTAAAAATAAATAAATAAAGAGGCTTTAAAAGACTGTCATTGTTGCTTAACATAGAGAAGTGTTACAATTATATTCTTTGCGCCATGAATAAAACCTTATGTTGCTAACTCAGTGCCTCTTATTATGTGAAGTAGGGAAAATTCTTTATCATATATTATGAAGTATTCTGGGAAAGGTCCAAGTTTCACAGCAAACACAATATGCAAACACAGAACTCAGATTCACACATATGCTGAAAATAAACTCAGCCCGATTTGTTTTCTATAACCTTATCTTTCATAAGCATATCAATACAGCATTATAAATCAATTTAAAGCAGAAAAGAGATTATTCAGCATGTGTGTTAGAAAAAGCAGGAAAAACAAGCTAACACTACAGAGGAAATAACTATTTTTGTTGTGTTCACTTACATCCTGCATTACAGCATTGAAGAGAGTACATGAGGACAACTGAAAAGACTGAATCATAACCTGAGCAACGCCCTGTGGAGCAGAATACAAAGTACTTCCCAGGTCAGAATGCAACTACAAATGATGCATTAAAATGCTGAGTATCAGCAAAATTATTGTAGGATCCAGTTACAGAAACCTCATTGGGAAAAGAGGTGATATAAATGGCACAATCTCTGCATGAAAATAGTAATACTTCTGAAATTATTTATACCTACAATGATGCAAACTACAAAAGAAATCCAAACAGTGAAAACAATATACAAAAGGGAATATAACTAGTAACCTACAAATATACTTACTACTTTACTGATGAAGCAGTGGACTTAGGAAAGCAAAGTTAATTGTATTCATGGAAACAGTAATTGCAGAAACTAAACAAGGACTTAGTGGCTACAATACAGGGCGTTTCAAAAAGGTAGATCCATCATTTTGAAATATCCTTTATTTGCCCATATTACTAACCCATTGCCATTTAACTTCCATCACAACTCACTCTGCCACAAAATGTTTTGTTTGGGGATTACAAATATACAGCTGCATTAAACCTTCTTGGAATACAATAAAGGCTAAAGGTACAAGTGCAAAATCACAGGAGAAGCACACATTCCAGCATTCACAGTGCTTTGTAAAATAATTTGCCTAAAACAAACAAACCCCTAAACCCACAACAACAACAAAAAGGCAGAGTTGAGCTCCATACATGAGAGAAGCTTGCTCTGAGCAAGTAGTCATGCCTACAGTAATACTTTGACTTACTTCCGTCCTTCCCTTTCCAGAATATTCTGCCCAACCTAGAAGACACTATTAAGTAATGGACTAACACTAACTTCAATGTCTTGAATTAAAGGATTTAACAGCAGTGTGCAGCATTGTTAGAGAAATTCATATCAGTTAGTTTCACAGTTTTTACAACACAAAGACATTTTTAGATCCTGGCCATAAACTACCTTTCTTGACTCTCTATGTATTTCTATGATTAACGAAAAAATACTGAAAACAGAACATGTGTTATACTTTTCTTTATGTACAAAAATTTAAAACTAAAGCTTTACAAAATTTTATTTTTACAAAATAATATGCATTCCAAAGGAAAAACAAACAACTCCACAAAACGGTTAAAGCTATGCAAATGATGCTGCTTTGGGGAGTTTAGATGCATGAAGCTGCTGCAGTTACCTGAGCATGCTGGGACTGAGTAAGCTCCTCTTTCTTGCGTTTCATGAGCTCTTTTCTCAGCTCTTTTGGTGCTTTCTCCACTTCATTAAAAACCTACAGTGCACAAGCATGCAGAAGGTGGGGAAAATAACCTTTTTCTCCACAGCAAGCATTTATGGTGAATATGAGAGTTGGTCAAGCATAGGGAGGTCAAAAAGAGCATGCAAAGCCAGAATAGTTTGCTTAGTAGAAAATGGATGGAGGAAGCAGGCATGCACACAACAACTGCTGATTACATAACAGAAAGAAGTGCATGTGCAGACTGCATTTTATAAATTAGTTCTGTTTGCATGCAAATACCAATGTGGTGCTTTTTACAATAAATTCTTAAAGTACAATATCTGTAAAGAGTTAAAGTGCATTCAAAACTCAAATTAGCCTATACTGAAAAGAGAAAGAGTTTTACTGCCAAGGTAAAAGCTTCAAAGTAATAAAAAGTTTGGCTTAGCTCTACTAGAAGAGAACAATGACAACGGAAACCATGTCATATCCAAAGAGAGACACAGTGGTCTAAATGACACCATTCATAACAGCCATGATAGATTCTAAAGTAATGTTTACTTAAAATAAGAAAAGGTAAATCATGTATTCTGCTTTATACAACCTATCTAGCTATTGGCATTTAAAGAAAGTTGGCCTAACATTGTGTTTTTAAAAAAGTGAGAATGATCCTTAAAAATAATGTTATAATGAATCAACTAATCTTCTGTTAGTGTAAATGATCAAAATCTTGATTGTGTGTGTTCACGCCCTCATAAAGAAATCCCATACCTTTTATTCAAAAAGAATTAACACATCAAAAATATCAAAGAATAAGTGGAGAGTTGTTTAAGTCTGGAAAAGCCCACAGGTCAAAAAACCAAATCACCACATGCTAGTCCTTATGAACTCGATTGTTTTTAATGCATTAAATCTCTTCACCAGGTTCCCGTTTCAAGACCCAATCACCAATAGAGACTCAAAGTGCAAGAAATCCAGCAAGGAAAAAAGTCAATATAATACAGGTTAAAAACAAAATATAATATTGAGGTATCAGAGAATTGCATATTACACTATTAAATGCCTTTGCATAAAAATCCTGGTTGAATACTCTAAAAAAAAAAAACACTGGGGAAAAATTTCAGAAATCTGTAATATGTCTCACCACATTTTGTAATTTGTCTCAAACAGTCATTTAAAGGGTTGACTACTGCCTGACTGGAATGGCCATACTAAGGAAATTTTATTGAAGTCTTTCTGTCAGTTGGCAAAGACTTTTTTATGTTCTGCACAGCTTTTGGGAAATTATTGCATCTACAATCTTTCAAGAGTGTGTTGTACTGCTTTTTGATTTCTTTGCTAAGACTTTTAAATATTTTTTTCTGTTACAGCTGAAATAGTTGTCAACAATCTTCTGAATGCTTTTTATCTATGTTGTACTTGCTCTAAGCCATGCCAGGCAACTGTGAAGGCTAGGAGACTGCAATGGTTCCCAGGAGACCCTGGTGGACTACAACCCACATCTCCATAAAATCAAATCAAAACATTTTTGGTCCTCAAATGTCCTCTGGGGAACAAAGGTGCACCACATTAATCTCAGGAAAAGCCTTGAAAAAATTATATGAAATGAGTGGAAGTCATTTCCTGTTTCAAAATATATACTTACTTAGTTTAGTTGAAAAAATATCATTTTGGCCACAAAGGACCCAGCAGATTTCCAAATGTGATGGAAATGAGATCTATACCTACACCATGAAGAATCATTCTTAATAAGGCTGAAGGAGCAATCCACCACATCTGGATTATCCCCTTGTGTCAAACCGATCAAGCAGGAGTCCTCCAAAATCCTAAACCATAACTACAGTTGACTCCTGGCTCTCTCTTCCAATTTTATTTTTCCTGCCTAGCCAACTAGTTGAGCATTTCAAATTCACCATAAATTATACTATTTTAGGGTTAAGTCAGATGTTTGTAACTCATGGACTATCTGTATTCTAAAATTGGGATGTGCTGCCTCTCTCTTAACAAAATCAGAATTCACTATATAATACAGATATGGCCAATTAGCAGAATCATCCATAGAATCATCCCCTCTCAACAAAATCAATAGATTTTACCTCCTTTTTTTTGTTTTTCAGCATGTTCTGAAATTTGGACAATTCTTTCTCTTGTTCTCCTTTGATGCGTTTTGCTTCATCACGTAAGCGATTTGTATGCTCCTGTTCCAAACGCTCTATTGTCTGCTTTTGCTGTTTTTCTAGGTTTTCAATCTCCTGGTCATACTGCCGCTTCTTACTCTGGAAAGAAATTCCATTAAATTCAGCATTTATCGAGAGGTGGGTTCCAATTTCAGTGTGCCATCTTATTAGAAAACTGATTTGTCACAGTATTTAAAAAAGAATCATTTCAATCATCCACATATACAGAAATACACGGAACAGTATCCTATAAATAAAGTGAAATGTCCAGATGCAACATATAAAAACAAAACCCATACATTTGGAAAGTTACTTGGGGCATAATGCACATTTTATGTATTTTATATGAAGGAATGCGCTACATGAGATACTCAAAATACACATAATACATTCCCAAGTGATAGTTTCTTCCAGTAGAAGAAGAAAGGAAATGCACATCAGCCATCAGCCAGAATATGTATGTATAGGTTGCCTCATTTTAATAGAGACAAAACAAAGATGACAATTTGTCAACGACTGCAGGCTTGAATTATTTGAGGGAGATTTTCTACTAAAACATAAGTTGCTTTTTTGTATAACATTACTGGATAAAATACATGCACTACTTAATAATTGAAATTGGGAGTTTTAAGTTTCCAGAAGGTAGATATGGAATCGTATTGTTGAAGGCTTTCATGGCTGGAATCACTAGGTTCTTGTGGATTTTTTCAGGCTATATGGCCATGTTCTAGAGGCATTTTCTCCTGACGTTTCGCCTGCATCTATGACAAGCATCCTCAGAGGTAGTGAGGTCTGTTGGAATTAGGAAAATGGGTTTATATATCTGTGGAATGACTGGGGTAGGGCAAATTGCTGATAAGGATGGTCAGTTGAAACATTCACACCTAGCTCTAGCAGAGAAGAGCTCTTTGCCCCACGCCAGTCATTCCACAGATATATAAACCTATTTTCCTAATTCCAACAGACCTCACTACCTCTGAGGGTGCTTGCCATAGATGCAGGCGAAACGTCAGGAGAAAATGCCCATATAGCCCGAAAAAACCCACAAGAACCTAGATATGGAATCTCTTGCCAAACACTTCAATATTATTTAAGCCTAATAGACCAGTCTGACATTGTAGAACAACAGCTCAGCTTCACTGCCCTATCATGATTGGCATCAAGCACTAATATATAACACTAATATGCAGTATCATACAGTTCAATCAAAGATTGTTATGAATGAGCTCTGTTCAGAATATGTGAAATGATATTTTACCAGAATGATAATGCTGTGCCTACATAAAAACTTCTAGAGTTTTCTCTATTCATCAAAGAACAGAATAGCTATTAATTTTGCTACAAGAGTGTAACATGTCTGCTCCTCCAGAATATATTTTAACCAGTGAGCTATCATACATTTTTCCTGAGCTGAAACAAGAGAAGCAATCTAGTTTAGAAATTACCTGCATAACTTTCTAAAACAGTGCAAGATATGCAAACAGAGAATATGTAAGGAGATGCAGTCATGTTTCCAGGACAACTGGCCAACCCTTCCTTGTGTCAATTCATTTGTGGCTATTTTAACCTAGATCTAGAAAAATGAGGGAATGCCATCAAACCTGTCATCCTTATCCCGCTACAGCTATTCACAGAATTAGAGCTGAGGCAATGCAAAAGTCCTATGTAAATTATTGTAAAATGCTAAATAAACTATTCTTTAGTATTGTTAAAAGCCACAATTATTTAGTAATGTATAACCAACATATAAAGATAGCAAGCATGGGGCTGTAAATTGGCTCATAGGAGGCAAACACACACAGAAGAGGTTAGGCAGTTTTGGATTATTTCAATTAGGAGTTAATCATGAGTTCGTTCAATAAATACTGAACTGTGTATGTGTACTTTAGTGTGTGTGTGTGTATTTTACTGTGAAATGTATTCTTTACCGTCATTTCCTGTTCAAAGCGTCTGAACATTTGTTCCCGCTGTTGTAATAACTTATTGCTGAGCTGCTGTTGAGCTCGCTGCTCTTCTTTTTGGAGCAGTCGTAGTTCCCGTAATTCTTGACGTCTGGTAGTAAGGAGGGGGAAAATATTGTGAAAATGAGGAAAGATTTAATACTAAATTCAACATCAGTACAAGTGGCATTAAAAAAGAAATGAACACAATCATTTAGTAGATTTATGGAAATAAAATATTTTTTTCTTAATTATAGCTCAAAGACAGTAAAATTATATTTTAACATCAGTAAATCTGAGATAAAAAATTTAAAACTCCCATTGAAAGAGATGCTCTCTGATTTTGGAACTGAATTTTTTATACTCACCGAAGATATCGCAGCTCTTCACTTTTAGAATCATTGTCAGTGACGATTTTTGAAGTTGTCACACTTACTTCTACACCATCAACAACAAATTTGCGAGTTTTCTTAAGCGTTTTTTTGTGCCTCTTAGTTTCCTGAATAAAAGAGAATACAGATGTTATTAAAAAGTCTTCTGAGCTGCACAAAAACCGTCTAACATGCATATTTTGAAATTGTTAGTATTTAATTTTAAAAACCCACTGTACACCATACAAGGTCCTCAATGTTACCTTATCAAAACAAAATCTTGGTATTAAAGGCATTAACATATATATCATATATATAATGGTAGAAATATGAGAACAGGAAAATTGCAAGAATAAATAGATAAGTAGAGTTGGCCTTCCACATATACAAAAGAAAAACAGAGTGTTTAAAGCCCCCCTCCACAAAATGCATGCTACACACTTTATGCCTAATCTCTGCCAAAGAACACTGGAAAGCCCTTCTCAGCCGAGAGAAGTGTGGAGAGCTGGCTGCCCTTTTCTCCAAAAAAAGGATGATGATTCTTCCTCAGGAGATAAAAACATGGGATGCTGGTTGTACACATTTGGACTGAGACAGAGGGGTCATTCTCTGGTGGAGAGAAGCCTGGGAAGTTGGCAGCACCTCTCTCCACCAAAGTTGTGTAGGGCAGTAGCAGTGAAGGTAGCACAGGCAAATAATACAGAATGAATGAAATCCAAAAAAGTTAAACCTGTAAGTGTAGCAGACCAACTGTATTACATAATATTTAACAGGGGAATAATCATGTCATAAAAGGATTTTTTTATTACTCTGTGCCAATATATTTCAGGTTCAAGCTTGGAATAAAAATTACAAGAGCTAATTATAATTGTTGATTCTTACCTGTAAAGATATTGATCCACTCTCCTTATTTTTAGCAAGGAAGCTGGAAATGGATAAGTTCAAATCAATGCTAGTGTTGTCTGCTGTAGAACCTGTGCCTGAATCAGCATCATTTTCTTTAGAGCTTCCAGGATCAATATTCCTTGAATTTTCAACATTAGTTTGAGGGCCTGATTTCTCTTCTGCTTCATTTTCTGCACAGCTTACGCTAATATTGGGCACCAAAGAAGGCTCATGTAGCTGCTTGACTGCAGTATCTTCAAGTTCATTTTTAACCGGTATGTCACAGGAAACTGCTGCAAGCGCTGCGCCTATCTGAATGTTACTCTTGTGATTTTCCCCAGCTCTGCTTCCTAACTTGTCATCAGGTTCTGCAACTTTACTTTCACTGTTTATTTCCTCAGTTCTGCTTGTCTCTTGGACATGTTTTGTGTCATCTTCCATCAGCTTCTGTTCTTTGTTTTCCATTATTTCTGAAACCTTGGTTTCTGTTTCTTTTGCTGTGATTTTTTCATTAGAATCTTGGCTGTATTTTTCAACTATCGGCTGATCAGAATCCACCATTTTGTCCTCACTTTTAACAGAGGGTGGATCAGAGGAGGTTTTTTCCATTGCATCTTCAGAAACATTTACAGTTGGTTCTTGAGTACTTCCAAGCACTTTATCTGTATCTGTGATGAGAGTTTTGTCAATACTATCTGCCTCTTGAGCATCACTGGTAACTTCTTTTAACTGTTCCTGCAGTTCATCAACTGACTCATCTGCCCCTGTCCTCTGAGAGTCTTCTGCAGCTTCTTCCTTCTGATCTTCAGTTTCCTTCACAACACTCTCTTCACATTTGTCATTCCCTTGCAAATCTGTAGTCTCTTCCATTCCTTCTATAGACATTTCTTCCCCAGCTTTGTTTTCTTGAAGATCTAGGCTTCCTTCTTTTCCTTTTTTCATATCGGTTTCTTTTGATATTTCTTCTGTTACTTCTGCACTGCTGCCTTCAGGTTCAGATGCTATTTCTTCATTTTGCTTAACTACTGACTCATCTGAAACCTTAATTTCTTTTTCTGTTTTCAGACTTGGATTGACAGTAATTTCAGATACTATAGTATCAATTTCCTTCTCTTCTTTCTGTGACCCAGTGCTTTCACTTGGTATTGTGTTTTGAACAACTTTTTCATTCTCCTTTCTTTCCTCAACTTCACGAAGTAATGCAGATCCATTTGGCATCCTATCACCATTTTCCTGCGTGCTTACAATGTGTTTCTCTTTCTCTGTGCTGTCAGGTTCCACACTCTTTTTTTCACCTTCAAGTGCATTAGTACTAGTCTCTTCCACAGACGGACGCTCTGTTTTTTCTGAAACAGATTCCAGGATAGAGGCATTCTGTGAAAGTTTATCCTCTTCTGAGCTGGCAATGCTGAGATCAGATGAGGCTCGTTTGTTTGCAGGTAACTGCTAAAATGTGCATTTAAAACATTGTTAGTTTCACATTTCAGCTGTAATGAATTACTATCAAGTTTTTATATCCTGACAAACTCAATTATTTTTTTCAAAAGTGACAATTTAGGAGCCGTTGTCCAACTTTAAATGAACCCCTTTCATAACCATCAAATAAGACAAGTGAAGGTTAGGATACACTGTGAAATACTCATGGCTATATTTCACTTTCTTAACATTTCTTCAGTATATTGAATACCTTAGTCATCTACACTTTTTGTAGCATGGGAAACATTTTAAAAATGCATTTTATTAACAGAAAGCAGCTTATTTATTTATTCTCCCATGCTGCCATCCCCCCCCCCCCCTTACATTGTGCTGGTGGGATCTATGACTTTCTCTAGTGCTGGTTGTAAGAGCTGCAGCCAGTGGGAGACAGAACAGCAGTAACATAATAATAATAATAATAATAATAATAATAATAATAATAATAATAATCCCCTAGGAGACTCAGAGCAGATTACAACAATTTTTGATCGAGTATCTCTTATCCTAAATACATTGGACTGGAAAATGCTTTAGATTTCAGATGATGATTAATGGATTTTGAAATACCTGCATTTGTATATAGATACATAATGAGATATCTTGGAGATGAGACCCAAGCTTAAACATGATATTCATTTATGTTTCACATGCACCTTATACATACACGTAGTCTGAATGTTAAGATTATTCGTTTTTGCAATAAATTTGTGAATGAAAGATTACATAACTTAAGATGAACCTAAATGTTCCTTTTTGTACTTTTATTATGACACCTTAATTTTACCAAATTATAGCAAGAGTATATAATAAAAAATAGGATATAAAATCTAAAAGGCATTACTACTTGAATCCTACAATCATCTACCTAACACATTTATTGAAATAAATATAATGTAAAGCTTCAGATCATAGTTTAATTATTGTAAAGTATCACTTTAACTCACCAAGGAATTTTCAGATTCTTCCTCTTCCTCCTCCTCTTTCCCATCTTCTACCTCTTCTGTAACTTCAGCCTTTGCTTCAGCAATCAGTTCTCTGATTGGTTTATTAGTGGTTATAGTAACAAATGGATGCTGTAATGAAAAAACATGTTTTCAAACAATAAAACTCATTAAAAACAGAATACAGAATGCCTTTGATTTTCACTCAAAACAAATATGCACTCTTAAGAAAATTTATGCTTAGATATTTTTTCATAATTCATTAAGCTTCTTATCGAGTTGCAACTCTAAGCCTATTTACATGTATTCACATTTGAGAATTTATTCCATATGGGTTATCTTTGTGGTAGACTATCTCCCTAGCTCCATTTTAAAGGGTTTCTATCTAAAATAGGGTGTACTATAGAAATTTACTTTTAAGAACCATGTCGATAATTATAAGCTGGCGAAGTGACATGCTGATTTTTCTTAAAATTAATTCCCAAGATTTGTAGGAATACTAGTACAAATACTAGTCATATTTGTACTACTAACTTTATGCAAAGTAAACATGGCTGAAATTCACTGCAGTGGCTGCTGTCCAGTAAGTGGGAATTGGGGGGAGGGCAGAAGCTACAGAATTGTGGTGATTATGTATTTGTAATCACCTAAAATTTGAACCCTGGGCTATATGTACTGTAGCTTTTAAAACTACTAGTTGTTATCTGCTTCTATTATCATTTAACTGGACCAGCAGGTTACAAAACCATAGATAAACTCAAATGTCTACCTCTATGGTGCCAGAAGGGTATATTTCATCTGGAATTCAGATGAGGGTGTTCCTTGCAATGTGACATTTTATTTTTAATACACTAACAAAATCAATATACAGTATTCATTTTAATTGAAAAGTCTATGAATCAAATAACTTTGTTCCTCATACCTGCAGAAGTTCAGAAGTGGTCCACCTAGCATCTACATTTTTTTCTAAACACTTCTTTAAAAAATCTTTAAAATCAGCAGACCTGTAAAAAAGCAGCTAAAATCAGCAACTGCTATACACTACAATTTGGGTAATGCTATCTTCAGTTTCCCCTATCTGGATCTACCATAAACTGAGCAATGAGCATAATGCACTCTGAGCCCTTTTCTGATTACTATAGCATAAAATCTACTAAGAAATATATCAAATACATATCATGACTTTCTGATGAAAAAGAGAACAATTCTAAAAGAAAAATTGTACGATTGTAGACAAATATCTCCCAAAACATTTTACAAGCTATTGAACATTCTCTTGTTAAACACATCTATGTTTAACTGAAAAGTAACTTCTAGTATTATCAAGCTACTTTTAAGATGTCTATTTTATGTGTCTTCAGAAAAGAATGTTCAACTGTGATACTTAAAACATATGCTCTTTTTTGTTTAATAACTAATACTGAAAACAGAAAAGTTAAAATAGAACAATAACCATTTTGAAGGTTGTGCCAATGAAGGTGGCTCTGATTTTGCTATTTTCAGCAGAACACGCATTGGATTCAGTTCATGATGAGGTGGTTCTATTTCAGCCATTTCTATTAAAGTGACACCTAAAGACCAAACATCAGCCTTGTAATCATAAGGCCTATCTTTAGAGGTTTCACACATCACTACTTCAGGGGCCATCCTAGAATGGAAAAAAAATGAAGGCTTGTTAGTTACCAGTACTTTCGACAGCAGTATCCAATACTTACAACAACTAAATGAAAGCGTTAATAAAATTTTAAAAGGTTCAACTTGAACAATAATCTAGTTTAGTTTATTTGCATCAATATATGGAACTGTGGCATGTTCCATTAACTATTATGCTATACTTACCAATATGGTGTGCCAATGAAAGAATCTCGTCTTTGTATTGTCCTTGTATTTTTAGCAGACACTCCAAAATCCGCTTGAAATAAGAAAAATCACAAATCTTTATAAATCTATTTCTGTGCTTCGAAATTTCTACCTAAATCAGGAAAAGCCTTTCAATTTTTCCAGTTCACATCCTAATCCATTTTTGTTTTCTATTACTTTGCCTCAATTAAAAACATTAGGAAAAATATTTAAATATTTAAATATAATTCTTTGTTGAACCTTTTTAAAAATAAAATCATTTATCTGCCAATTTAAATGCCAATTTAAACATTTTGCATGTGCATTACAGGGAACACATCATGTCAGGTTTCAGAAACTATTAAACAATTCATTAAAATATTGGAAAGGCCTGCCCCAGTTCTGAAATCCACAAAACATTTGCCAAATAGAATTAGGACAATTACTTAAAACTATTCTAAACATCTATACCTACTGGAAATTCTTCTTCTTGATATCAGTGTGATGCTATAAATCTCTCTCTCTCTCTCTCTCTCTCTCTCTCTCTATATATATATATATATATATATCAATGTTACTTTTAAAACATTAATTTAATTTTTAAAAGTACTCACCCAGCTTAATGTCTCCATCTAGTGTAAAAAGTATATTGCCAGCCTTCAGATCTCTGTGAATGATCTTATTTTCATGCAAATATTGCAATGCCTCCAGTGTCTGTCTGCAAACTACCCTGATTTGTGGCTCTGTTAGAGGTCTTTCAAGTTCTACAAGAATAAAAGACTTTCAGATAGAAAATTCTTTTGCAAAACATGACAGGTGAAGCATAATGTTTACTAATTTCTTGCAAGTATTAACCTGATAATATATAAAAGCTAATTACATTGATTGCAATAAAATGATGTCACTTGTTTTATTCTGCTCTAGCATTGCTAATTCTCAGAATGGCACAAGGAGCAGTCCACACAGATTGGGTTATTTGCATGCCAACTTGAGTGCGGGAACCCATGTTCTTTTTCTGTTATATCCACTGAGACTCCTTGTCTCATCCAATAGTTTTTAAACCGCCTGCAATCCAATAAGAAACTCATACAACTTCTCTGTAACAAATTTAGTATATGTAATATATTTAATAAATAAACAGAAGGAAAATGAATTCAAAAGTCCCAGTGATGGTTAAGAAGTAGATCGAGGAACATGATAAACAACCTAAAAAAACAAGCTACCCAGATTACTGCTTCTCATACAAAACATGCAAAACTCGACCTATTTTATCATGTAAAATTAAAAATTGTACTTGCCCAACATTACTGCATCTACAGCACCACCAGCACAAAATTCGATTAGTATCTGTAGATAAAAATAAAAACATTTTGTTTTAAACATGTGCAAATGAAATCTGTCTGTGGGCTAGTCAAAACAAAGGAAGTGAATACAAAATAAACAAGTGATTTGAGAATTTGCTGCTATTCCTTCACTGTGTACACACTATCATTAAAATATCTCTACCCCCAAAAATAACTTTCAGTTTGACTATCATGCAGCCCATAAATATTCAGCCCTTCCAAGGGCAATTTTGTTGCCTTCAAAACTCTCCACCTAGAAAAAAATATAAAATTTTCTCAAATTGTTGCTTGCATCCTCATCATGAGTTCAGCCTCTCGGAACTGTTTCAGTCCAAGATGTGCCTCTCCCACTAACCAAAAGTGGCTCCCAGTTTAATTTCTTCTAGAGAGAGTGAATAAAAACACCGAATTGTTCCCCACCAATGGGGGAAGCTTCCCTCTAATGTCTGATGAAGGGTGTGCTTGGCTCACAATATTGGGTAGCTGCTAACCATATGCTTAAATCCATGATACTTCAGTTATAACTGCTCTTTCACTTTCTCATTTTGAGAGGGACCGAATTAGCTCACCATTCCTGAGCTTAACCCACTCCAATATCAGTTCTGCCTTCTCCAGGAAAAAGACTGGCACAGCCCTCAGAATGTTTTGAATGAAAAGAATTTAAAAAGAGTAGTAGTTGAACAGTCAATTTATCAAAGCATTGAGCAGCTAGAAAAAGGTCAAATATACCTTGTGTGTGTGTATGCCTAAAATCTTTAATAAAAAAAACAACTCTGGGTCAACTTATCCACGGGCAATGTATCAAAAAAGAAACCATCTACTTTTGACTGGAGCAGAAAAAGGCAAAAACTTAAGTCCATTGTGCAAAAATCTAAACGAAGAAGAAACCTTTCTACTATCTCTGCTGTGGTACCATGTCTGGCTTTTTTGAATGCCTAGGTGGGGGAAAGAGAGTAGGAATGTTGCTAAGTTAAATCTTAAGACATCAATTCTATACTTTTCTCTAAAGTATAGAATTTATGTGTCTGGCTTCCTGAGGCAGCACTGGTGCCTTCCTCTGTCATCCATGAATCATATCAAAATCCATAATTTGCCCTCAATACCTGTCTTTGCCTTTACTTTACATCAACTTGTGCCTGAGTATACTGTATATGATGGTTATTAAAGTGTTAATTCAAGAATTTAGTTTTTGTTTCAGTTTAATTAAGGAAAGCATATACATAATGACTGCTGAGATTGGCGAGGGTTTTACCAAAAGTGTTAGAGAATATAATACATACAGAGTGTGTATTATGCATCTAATGAGCTAGCAGACGGTTTGGTCATAAGAAGAAAATAAGAGAGGTGGGGACTAGATGAAAGTTCAGGGAGGTCCGAAGAAGGAAAAACACAGCTATAACGGTGACAGGAAGTCATTAGCTAGCCTAAATTCATTTATGTTTTAGAGAAATCTTGTAGTTAAAACGTTCCTTGTTCTTTATTACTGCCTGAATGTATTCTTTTAGGGGAGCTGCTGGAAGTCACATTTGCTCTTAGGAGAGTGGGTTAAGAAAAAAGAGTAAGGTGTGTGGAAGGTGAAGAAAGAAAAAAACCCAACAACAAATAGCCCGTGCTCATGTCCACAGGAGAGATCTAGCCTTTTCAACCAGGTTGGCAGAAATTGACCCCAGGTTGTTCCAAATCTGAGTTTAAGGTCTGAATGGTTTCTTGCTTTGTGCCGATATTCAAATCCAATTTATAAGGGTTCCCCTTAACAAATGTTGCAGTTACATTTTGGAAGGATCAAACAATCAACTCTGTTATGTTGTTTCTGATTTATGACCTTATCAATTTTTTCTTGACAAGATTTGTTCAGAAGACATTTGTCATTGTCTTTCTTTGAGGTAGAAGGGGAGGAGTTGTCCAAGGTCACTCAATGGGCTTCATTTAGCAATCTTTTAAGATCTATACAAACTTGAGCCTGAAGTCTGGTCATTAAAAACAAGCAAACTGAAACAATGTTGCTAAGTTAATTCTTAAGACATCAATTCTATACTTTTCTCTAAAATATATAGCTATGAACAACAACTACTTACCCAAAGATTATTTTCATAATAAAAAGCATCAAGAAGTTTGACAATATTAGGATGATCACATGATGCTAGGATATCAATTTCAACCATGTAGTCTTCAAGCTCTTCCTCGGATTTAGTATCAATCACCTTTGCAGCTGCAAGAACTTTTGTTTCTTTATTCTGAGCCTGAGAAAAGATATAAAAGGAACATTTAAGCTTGTTCAATGCATCCAAACTGCAAATCGATTTTGCAAACTGCAAATCGATTTTGCTCTGTTCGTTTTAAATGACATAACACAAAAAGCGCTGTACTAATTGCCACCAAATTTGGCCACAAGACATCTACTAACCCAAGGAGTGACCATCACTAAAATGATTTTGTCATTTGGGAGTTGTAGTTGCTGGGATTTATAGTTCACCTACAACCAAAGAGTATTCTGAACTCCATCAACAATGGAATTGAACCAAACTTGGCACACTGGACTCTCATGACCAACAGAAAAAACTAGAAGGGTCTGGTGGGCATTGACCTTGAGTTTTGGAGTTGTAGTTCACCTACATCCAGAGAGCACTGTGGACTCAAACAATGACAGATATGAACCAAACTTGGCACGAATACTCCATATGCCCAAATATGAACACAGAAGGAATTTAGGGGAAATAGACCTTGACATTTGGTAGTTATTGGGATTTATAGTTCACCTATAATCAAAGAGCACTAACGATAGAATTGGGCCAAACTTCCCACACAGAACCCTCACAACCAACAGAAAATACTGTGACCATCACTCATAAAAACACTGAAAACCACAGCAGAATGGACTTAAAAAGCAAAAAGACGCTACAGCGCATACCCAAAAACAACTCCCCCTAGCAAACAAAACACACAATAGCATATCCACACTCTCTTCTAGACTACAGCTCCCAGCATCCCCCTAGACCAGGCCTTTTAGGAAAGGAGGATGATCCAAATGCACTGCTTCCAAGTTGCAAGAGGAAAGAAAAAAAGGATGGGGGTGGAAGGGAAGAAGAAGAGAAGGAAGGAAGGAGAGAAAGAAAGAAAGAAAAAAGGGAAGGAAGGAAAGAGGGAGGGAAGGAAGGAGAGAAAGAAAGAAGAGAAAGGAGAAGGAAAAGTTGGCAACAGTAACGCGTGGTGGGTACAGCTAGTATTTTATAAATATCTACCAAGGTATGAAATATTTATTACAGATTTCATATCCCTCTCTCCCCACTCCTTCATTGCCTTCTTTTCTCCCTATCTTTACTACTCCATCTTTGCTGTAGCAGCTGTCTGCCAGCCACCTGGTATTAAAGCAACTCAAAGAAAAAAGTAATAAGCATTATAGGGTTATTGAGAAAACATTATACATTTCCTTTGTGTTCCAAATCTGAATGTACAATCTGGTTCTAGGTTGGTTGAACCAACACACTTGGTTCATAAGAAGAATACACAGCAAGTTACAAAATCCACCTCTATCAGCAAGGTCTTCAGTAAGAAAACATATTGATAAATGATGCAACTTTGCCATCCTGAAGGAGAAAACAGTAAGTAAAACTTTTTTGTATCCTGTCCTGTCATCCCATGGGGACTCAGGACAGTTCAAAACAAAAAAAGGCTAACATTCAATGCCATGAGATGCAAAAACAGACTAAACAAATTTTAAATAAATACAACAGAACATTCAGTAATAAAACAAATTACTCAAAGACAATGATAACAGATTACACAATATTAAAACAAGGTTAAAAAACAGATCTTTAAAAACATAATCAAATTCCATTTCTTGATTCATAAAGTTAAATCTTTAAACATTTCCATCTTCATACGAGTACATAGGAATGTTTTTAATTGTTTCCTAAAGGAGGACAGCAAAGGGGCCACTCTGATCTCCTTCAGGAGGCAGTTTCAGCTGAATGGGGGTTTTGAAGAGAAGGCCCTATCTTTTGTTCCCACCAGCTGGGTTTGAGATGGGGGTGGGACTGAGAGGAGGACTTTCCTTGATGAAAGCAGTGTTTGAGCAGGTTCATATGAGAATATGCGGTTGGCTAGGTAGTCTAGACCCAAACCATTTGGGGGTGTAAAGGTAATGACCAGCACTTTAAATTTCACCTGGTAGCAAACTGGAAGCCAGCTGAGCTGCTACAACATGGAAGTTGTTATTTCCCTGAACAGTGCTCCCGTTAGTAGCCTGACTGCAAATCTCTGAACCAGCTGAAGCTTCCAAGCACTCTTTAAAAGCAGCCTCATGTAGAATGCATTGCAATAGTCCAGTTGAGATGTAACTAAGGTGTGTACTACTGTGGCCAAATCTGGTAGGACTGCTTTCCTACTTTCATTCTTGGATGGACTGAGCAACCCTTACCTGGAATTCCTAAATCTAAAATACAGTACTTACCGGGGGGGGGGGGGGGGGGGGGGGGCATGTGTGGAAATAGTGACTCCTTTGTTTTTTTGATGCCTCCGTGAGCACAAACTTTGTTTCATGCACAAAATTGTTCAAAATATTGTGTACAAAATTACTTAAAAGCTATGTGTATATAGTGTATAAAAAAGGTTAAGGTTTCCCAGGATATTTAGTCTAATCATATCTGACTCTGGGGGGTGGTGCTTATCTCCATTTCTAAGCTGAAGATCAGTAGCTCAGCGGTCTAACCCACTGCACCACCAGGGGCTATATAGTATATATTATGCATAAATACATTTCCTGTTTAGACTTGGGTCCTATCTCAAAAATATCTCATTATGTGCATATATACAAATACAGGCATTCCCAAATAAAACAAAAACAAAAATCCTTCCGTTCCAAACATTTCAGATAAGGGATTGACAACCTGTATTGCAATTTCAGGCTCGTGGATGAAAACTAGAGTGAAAGTAAACACAGTATTTCAGTGTGCACTCTGAAGACTATTGCTGTCATCACTGCTATTACATGTCTCTGTTTTGAAGTCTGTTTCTATACCAACAACTACAGCATTCACAACAGGCCCATCAGCGCTTTTGTTGTGGTTATTTTAACTTCCTCAAAAACATGGCTACTTCCCACCTATGAAGTTATATTTATAAAACAGCAGTGACTATACATTTACATATGCTTGGTTAAACACACTGCTCTCACCACATTTTCAGTAGTTCTGGTCTCACATTATGCTCTTTTCCAATGTGACACATGTTCCATTTTACCTTTCACTGCCTAGAAAACGGTGAAAGAAAAACAAACCAAAATAAAAATCTGAATTTCTAATATCTGTCATAATGTCAGTAACTGAATAGAATAAACAGTTACAGCAACATTATGCCAAGTCTCCGGTAGTAGAAAGTAGTTACCAACAGTGAAGAGTGGCGTATTCTGCAAGAGATTAAGTTTTAAGGCTGATTTCTATTACTGGCACATCTTTTTCATCATGCAGATAATATGGTTGAGAGGTATTCCGAGATAAAGGATGCATCTATCACAATCATACCAAAACCTTTGGCGGATCCTCTGAAATGGGATAGGTGGCACATAAGGGCAAAGTCTTTCTAGGCAAGGCGCTTTCCCTGTAGAATTCCCTTTCTGTTATCTTATCTAGGTAATCTTTGAAGGTGATGCTGTCTACTTGGGGTTTTAATGACACAAGGCTGTTCACTGTAGCGCAGTTCATTAGTGCTTTTAATGTTTTATATAATCACTGCGATTATTCTTGTGCTTTTAATAACTCCAGGTTTCTTTCTGTAAACAATTCAAAGTGCTTGTTTCTGCAACTAAATAGCAAAACATCCCAAAATTACTATTCTATAATGTGTTAAGATCATTTTTTAAGGCCATGCTAGGAAATACTGAGATTCTTGTTTAAACTATCAAGTTGTCAAATTCTCATTCCAGCAACAAATATATATTTATTTGTTTGTCACTCTCAGTGTATAATGTAAAACTCAGCATGATCAAAGACCAATACATACATTCAACATGTATTTTTATTGAAAGGAAGAATACAATGCAATGGATAAAAGAAATATAAAATCACTATGTGGACTGCTCAGTTTTTCAGTTGATAAGTTAATAATTTAGTGATACAGAATACAGAATAAAACCTGTTGGTTTTCGCATGGCTTAGGAGTCTAAATCACTGCTTCTCAAACGGTGGATCCTGACCCAAATGGGCTCACCTTAGCTCAGTGTTGGGGTAATGAAAATTTGGCAACAGTAAGAGGTTTCTGAATGCCACCCATTTACGTGAATCTGTTTGCAACAACGTGCAATGTTTACAGTGGACTCTGCAGATAATGCTTCGGCTGCACTTCATAAAAAGGAAAATCAACTTGTTTAGCAAGCTTTGCAAATGCTGATATATAATCTGTAAATGTCAGATTTTATACCTATTTTATATACTTATATATCTGGGGTCACATATTATCGGGCCGAAAGGAGTCACAAGTGGAAAAGGTTTAGGAAACCCTGATCTGAAGTATGGTGTCATACAACAGTCACCACTGAAACAAACTACTCATTATTGGTGAAATAAGCACTTTTCTCAACAACATAGCTCATATTTTATTTCTGTCATCAAACATGATGTACCCTCAACATGCAAGAAACAAGTAGTATACTCTTCAAATCATTTGTGGAATCTTAGCCATACAGCATGGAGATCTTATACTGGAGAAAGAGTAGTTTTATACCATCTTCACCTGTGATGACTTTTGAGGGTTTATGCCTTCCCCACAAAGGTGAATCAACCCAATTTGGTTTCTACTGACATGCTTTGCCTTATTCAGCACCAAGATTTATCTGTAAAATTGACAACATAAGAGACTTCACGAGGAACAATCCTCTCTACATCTCAATAGGACTGTATGTTTTATATTGGAGACAGATCATAAACAGATTTTTCTTTGAGCTTTCAAATGGAGAACCAATTTTATAACTATTGTTTTATTGCCTTTGTTGGTTGGTCACAGAGAGCTCACAGCTACTGGAGATATGTCCTGATGAGCCTGCTCTGACTGCCTGTATTGTTCCTCCAAACCATTTCAAGGCATTCAGACAAACATCAAAACCTCTCTCATTGCCCCTTCCATTCTTTTTTTTAAATGTATTTACTAGACAAAGACATGTCTTGAAAGCTTGCATGAGCAATTTTATACCTTCACTGTGTACACTAAAGGTATTTCTACTGAAGTACTTGGGAATTTCTCTTATGGT